GACCTTTCATTTGATAATGACATTTTGAGAGATCAAAATTCTGACCATTGGATTCAAAGTGACATTTTGAAAGATCAAAATTTCGACCATTGGTTTCATAATGGCATTTTGAGAGATCGAAATTTTGACCATCCATTTCATAATGACATCTTGAGAGATCAAAATTTAACATATCATTTTTAATGATCTCTCATTTTAAATGACACGTTGATCTGACAAATAAATGATAGGTCACATAATAATTTAATAATTTATTGACAGATCAGCGTGAACCCTAACGAGTTCACTTGGATCTAGAATTTGAGAAAATACATTATACAGTTATACATCATTTGAGTCGTGGAGGAATAGACAAGAAGATCTCGTGCAATGGTAGATTGACCAGTAATCCTTTCAAAGACCCGGGACAAAGGATGTGTCAAGGATATAGGGCGGTAGTTTGACGGATCTGAAGTTTTTCCACGTTTGAAAATAGGAATTACCGTGGTAGATTTCCAGGAGGGTGGAATGAAACCGGAATAAAATGATTCGTTAAACAGAATAGACAGAGGAATAGAAATAGATGTAGAGTAGAGTTCTCAAAACCAAACGTTCGAACGAACGTTCGACCAAACATTTTCGAACAAATGTTGAAACCAAACTTTTGGTTAAAGTTTGCTTTTGATCGTTCAACCAAAATGAACGTTCATTTTCCGTTCGTAAAAAAGTTCGTTCAAAAAATGAACGTTCATTTTCCATTTCAAAAAAGTTCGTTCAAAAAATGAACGTTCATTTTTCGTTCGTAAAAAGTTCGTTCAAAAAACGAACGTTCATTTTCCATTTCAAAAAAGTTCGTTCAAAAAACGAACGTCCGTTTTTTTATGTGAAAAGCAAACGTTCATTATTGTAAAAAAAACGATTTTCGAACTTTTTGGTTGAACGTTTGAAAATGATATATCCTAAACTATCGAAAAATGAAAAAGTTCATTTTTTTCAAACGGTCATTTTTTGAACGTTCGGTTTTGAGAACTCTAATGTAGAGCACCTTTTTAAAACAATTTGATTGATTAAGTCAGGCGAAAAACCGCATTTAGGGGGTAAAGCTATCAGAGTTTTATAAACAAGTTCAGGAGTGAACGAAATAGAGCAGTTAGTGGCTTTTGGGGAAGGAAAAATGGGAATCAGATCGTAAACTTCACCAGAAAAATTTGTGCTAAAAATTTGAGCAAAAAAATCTGCTTTTGAGGAGCTTTCAGAAATAAGGGAATTGTTGTAAGTAATGTTGGGGATGGAAGAACAACATTTGAGTTTTTTGGAGATATATTTGGAAAGTTGAACATAGTTGAAATTGTTAGCAATGTAAGTTTCCTGTGCCAAGGAGATGGAGGAGGCACAAGCTTTGATTTTTTTATACAGTAGATTGAATTGGAGGCGGGTAGAATTATTGAAAAGATTAGCACGAATGAGACTGGCTCTTTTAATATTGAGCCGGCGAATACGATTGTCATGGTTGAATGGGCGACGTCTGATGGGGGGAGATAGAAAACTAGAACAGGAATCACGAACAATTTCATTAAAAATTTTTAAAAAATGAGAAAATTTACTCTCAACAGAGGAAAAGTAGCTGAACTGACGATCCCAGGTAAAAGAAGAAATTAAGTCGTTAACTCTAGAAAAATTACATTTTTCAAATTGAACTTTCGAACGGATGATGTGTGGTTAATCGGAGAACAGACAGAAATGGAAAATAAAATGGAAAAGTGATCGGACCCTAAGAGTGGTTCAGAAACTGACAAATCAGAAAAAAGAGAAGGGTTGGTTGTTAGAAGTAAGTCCAAAATGTTAGCAGTGCTTGAAGTGCAACGAGTAGGAGAGTGAACTAATTGAGTAAGGTTGGAAGTGATAGTAAAATCGAGAAAAGCGGAAGAAAGAGGGCAAGTCGAAGTCATAGAAGACCAATCAATTTTGGGGAGATTGAAATCGCCAATCAAATGGTTATTCAAAGGGAGTAAAAATTTAGATAAATGTTTCAACAAGCTGATAGTATAATTTTTTGAAATTTTTTTCACATTTTTTGACATGTAAAGATTTCATTTCCAATGATCTCTCAGATCAATTGTAATATAACGAAGAGAACCTTTCAACTTCAAATGTATCAAACAGAAAACGCAAGAGTATCTATCGTCTGGGACAGAGGTGGAGGATTGGGAAGGCAGCCCTTGGCTTGGCTTGGCCGCCCCATTTAGCCAAGCGATAGAAATGAGTCATTGACTTACTATTGAAAAAGTCATTTCTGCTTTTGGGCGTTCGTGGCTTGGCAGGCAGGGCGGCCAGTGGGCAGCCATCCTCCACCTCTGGTCTGGGACATATATCAGAGAACCACGGAAGTAATTACGATCTGTGAAAGAGATTAACTTTTTTACATCATCATTTTAAATCAAGAGGAAAATTAGTGAAAAAATGACTAACATGAATCCTAAGAAACATCTAAATGTCTCATAAAAAATATATTACAAAGGAAAGTAGCGCTGCTAAGCGTTCTTGAATGATTAATCCACCCTTGGCAAAGATAACTTCCTAATATTTGAAGATAGAAAAACTTTTTTATGGTCAAAATTTCGATCATTCATTTCATAATGACATTTTTGAGAGATCAAAATTTGACATGTCATTTTAAATGATCTCTCATTGTAAATGACATTTTGATATGTCAAATAAAACGAAAGATCGCTTTATTTAGACATGTTGAAATTTCATTCAACCGAAATGTTAAATTTCATATTTTTGGTGACACTTTATGAAAATGCTGACCAAAATATTGGTCAAAAGGGCGCGCCGTAGCGCAACAGGTTGTGTGCCTGTCTACGGTCCACAGGGTCACAAGTTCGACCCCCGCCCCGACCCAACCAAGGGGTTTAAGAAATGTTGGTAGTGGGAGACCACGACTTCAAAATCCCCAGCCGTCACACACAAGGACGGATATGTCACTGGAGCCAGTCCACTGATATCAGGATAGGACCTCGGCTAATCGACTTGGGGCGCCGACACCGCTCAAGCGGTACAAAGGCGTAAGAAGAAGAAGAAAATATTGGTCAAAAGATCATTTTTGCAGACTCTACTGTGTACTACGACTTGAAATTTCACCGAAAGACATTCCGCTGTTCCGCTGCGCGCCTTTTCGAACCTTAATCGCGCTTTTTTTTTATTTTTTTCTTTTGAAGGTACTCTACTTTCATGTGTTCTCACAGAAATAGAAATCAATTGAAATCGTGACCTACATTCGAAAGACGCTTCGCGAACGCACGCAGCGGCACAGCGGAATGTCGTTCCGTATAATTCCAACGCGTGGCACATAGATTCAAACATTCAAAGTTCTGTTTATCATCGACGGCTACTTTCTATTCTGGACGACGACTTTCAACGGCTCCTTTCTATTCTTGCAATTTCTTTGAAAAATGGCTGATTCTGGAGGAAAAGTTAAGGGAACCCCTTCCAAGCGCTAAAAAAATGTCAGGTATGTATATCAATAGTTTACGATCTTTTTCTTGCTCAGCCCGTTAAGCATCACCACCAGGAAACAAATAACTGGTTTTTTTTAGCAATATAACCGTTTATCAATGAGATTGTTTCATATTTTTATCATTTTCGATTTATTAGAAGCCATGAGTCTTTTTTCAATAAATTTCCTCATAGATCATTTCTTTTACAAATATGGCTGAATTCAAAAGTAAAAAAAAGTTATTTATGTGTAAACTTTCATTAGTGCTGCTTATTTTTGTATGTTTTTCATTTGATTTCGGTGTACTCTTTCACGGAAAAATCTTCTAAGGTTTTTTTTTTCAAATAAAAGAAGTATTGTTGGGGCTTTCCGGTCGCTCTCAAGTAATTCTAGGGACCGCAAAGCCCCGCCCCTTTTCGCGATGGAGTATAGGACAAAAGCGCCGATTCCAAGAGCGCCGTTCAAATTAAGCGCCAGTCCGCAATGCGCCGTCGCGTGTATGCGCCGTGTATGCAGACGCCGCTTTCTTTTGCGCCAAGTCCGTTTGCGCCGAATCGTTTTGCGCCGTTATTTCAAACTTCTATTTTTGCGCTCTCTTTATATTAATTTTTAATAATTGTTTACTACACATTCATATACGACTCGAATGATTTTCGCGCCATCCGTTAATGATGAGTTTTAGGTCTACTTTGGTCCAGGTAAAATATTTTTTTCCCCTTTTTTTCTTTTCAAAGTAAAAAAATAAAAAAAGCAAATATGCTTTTTCTGATTTCGAAAAAAATACAGAAAACGAAAGGAAAAGAGAATGGATAAAAAAATTATTGCTTTAAACGACATATTGAGTGATTTTTTTGTGATTGCAAATTTTTCTGCGTTAGGTAAGGCGAAGTTTCAATTCTAGCAGACGTGAAACAGCAGAAAATCGTTTTTCGTAACGTTGAACTCATTTTCTTGGAACAATAGTTCGAGTTTTTTTCGGAAATGCGGCAGAAAGGTCCATATTAACAGATGGCGCGAAAATTATTCGAGTCGTATATGAATGTATAGTAAACAATTATTGAAAAATAATATAAAAAGAGCGAGTAAATAAAAGTTTGAAATAACGGCGCAAAACGATTCGGCGCAAACGGACTCGGCGCAAAAGAAAGCGGCGTCTGTATACACGGCGCATACACGCGACGGCGCATTGCGGACTGGCGCTAAATTTGAACGGCGCTCTTGGAATCGGCGCTTTTGTCCTATACTCTTTCTGATCAAGATATTGCTCCAATTTTCTCTATCTCTTTTATTAATTTACGAGGTTGTTTTAAATGGATTGGTTTCTTTCCTCGCTTTAACTATATACACTCAGATTCTGTGCTGGATTTGTAAAAAAAAAAGAAAATCAGAAAGATTGAATTATTACTTTTTAATTGTTATTAATGAAACCCACTGTTCGAGCTTTTCTTGCATATAATTCGAAGAACTTTTTAAATCTATTGCTGATCTTACATCTGTCGTCCGTGAAGTTCAGGATGCCTTGATGATAAAGAAGACGTATTCTGAAGTCGTCGCCACGCCTACGACAACCTCGCCTCTTGCCCTCGCTATCAAGGCGCAACGTGCGTTAGAGTCGAGATCAGCCCATGAAAAAGACCTGACCATCGTTGTCGTTGGACATCCAGAAACAGAAGGAGAAGACCTGGCCGGCTGTGCTCGTGAAATTTTATCGGAAAAGCATATCGACCCAAGCCACATTGCTGAAGTATTCCGTCATGGCACAAAAAGAGCTGGTTCTACTCGAATCATCAAAGTGAAATTGACATCAAGGAAAAGGTATTTCTCGATAAAGAAAGCCCTCGGACAGTCGACGTTTGGAACATTCGCCCGCGACGACCTCAGCATAATATAAAAAGAGCGAGTAAATAAAAGTTTGAAATAACGGCGCAAAACGATTCGGCGCAAACGGACTCGGCGCAAAAGAAAGCGGCGTCTGCATACACGGCGCATACACGCGACGGCGCATTGCGGACTGGCGCTCAATTTGAACGGCGCTCTTGGAATCGGCGCTTTTGTCCTGCACTCTCGCGATGGAAAAAAGCCCATTTTTTTGGTATTCCGTCTTTGATTGTTTCGTACAACCGATAGAAACAATGAAAAATGATAAAAATTTCAGCACACATGTAGAAAAGGTTCTTCTTTCCGTTGAAAAGGTTATTAGGTACTTTTCATGTTTTTCAACGGAGTGTCGTACGGAATAGTGATGCGGGTTCGAAAAATAAACTTAGTTTTGCGTTTTGATATTCATGTAGGTCGCGGACAAAGTTGATTTTTTTTTAAACTACTTATAAACAGTAATTGAAATTTTTTTAGCCAAAAAAAAATTCTATGGTCGCCGAAAAATTTGAGAGGCGCGCAAAGTCAAAAATTGTTTTCTCAATTGCAAAGCGGTATTGGAAGGTTTTTATGCCTTTTTCATTTTGAGAAAAACATTTCTCAGATAATACTTGTTGACAACTACGACACGGCGTTACCAAAAATAAAAACTTCTGCCACCGTTCTCACATCTGTTTATCCAGTCCGGTTTGGCACACAGTATGTTTCAATTGTGCACACGCCAATCGCGGTTTTTCGGCGAATTTGGCTTTAGATTGAAATAAACCGAATTTAACCTGTTTTACAAGCAATTTTCGGCATTGAAGATTTTGACGAGAAAATAAATATTTTCATGAACTTTTCCGCTCTCGAAAAATATCATTCACAAAATTTGGAATACGTTCTAGAACCAAGGCGCTGAAAAACTCTTTTGTAAATTTGTTCATCACGAATTCAAGCAAGAATAGGCCAAACGTTTTCTTCGAACTAAATTTTGAGCTAGACGGGTAGGATCAAAAACAGTTTTTTTCTTGGTAAAACTATTTATGCGACATGTAAAAGTAATAAAAAAAACTTTGGAGCCCAGCCTCAGTTGGACTGAACTCAGAAAAAAAATGTTGAAATCGGAAAATCGCTGTTTCAAGGCCAAAATCGGATTCAAGTTGAATTTAGAGTTAGACGGGTAGGCTCAAATGCAGTTTTCTCTGAATGAAATATTCCATACAACATAGAAGGAAAGGGAGAAAGACTTTAAAGACCTGACTCAAATAGAATGAATTCAGAAAAAAATGTTCAAATCTGAAAATCACTGTTTCTAGGCCAAAATCGGCTTCAAAATGAATTTTGAGCTAGACGGGTAGGCTCAAACACAGTTTTTTCTTGATCAAAACGTTTATGTGTCATGTAAAAGTAATAGATAACTCTTTGGAGCCCAGCCTCAGTAGGACTGAGCCCAGGAAAAAAAAAGTTGAAATCTGAGAATCGCTGTTTTTAGGCCAAAATCGGCGTCAAACTGAATTTTATGTTAGAAGGGTAGGCTGAAAGTCGGAGGAAACACTATCATCTATGAAGTACAGCCTTGCACTATCAAATGATACAAACTTGAACACCGGATCTGACGAGAAAAGAGAGGTACAGTACCGCTCAAAAGTATATTAAGTTTTGGTTTTTTGAGGATATCTCAGCGAGTACTTATCCGATTTATATATAACTTTCAGGGATTATGTAAAATATACTTTGAAACATATACGGTATACACATACATGTCCGCAGTCACTGCGACGCGTTTTAGGAATTTTTTTGAATTCAATTTTTTTGTTTTTTTATGCTTTTTATTTTTTTATTTATTTTTTTATCAAATTTTTTTAAAAGTAATAATGTTGCCATATGTTTTTTTATGTTTTCAGACATGAGAAGAACCTCTGAAAAAAAGAATTTTACTGATAACGACAAAAGAGCCATCGTTGTGGGTCGTCAAAATGGACTGACCATGATGACGTTTGCAGGAATGTTCGACGTGACAGAGGCGTGCATTTCTCGGTTCCTAAAGCGTTGGAAAGCTCAAGATGGCTCTACTAAGAGCCAACGCACTAGAAGACCACGTTTCAGTGATCGTAATGGCGATAGAAACATTTTGAAGACGCCTAGAACCAATCCAAGACTCACCGCCCCTGCGATCAGACGGGAAGTTTTCTCGAATTCGCCATCTCCGCCATCCGTCTCGACCGTGAAACGACGTCTGAATGCTGCTGCAATCATGGGAAGACGTCCAGTGAAGAAACCGCTGATTTCTGAAAATAATCGAGCCGCCAGGGTGAAATGGGAGAAGGAGCATCTCAATTGGACCCGTCAAGACTGGAACAAGATTCTGTGGTCCGACGAAAGCGAGTTCCTCCTCTTCGGAAGTGACGGAATTCAGTGAGTTCGTAGACCAATTGGGTCCAGATATCATCCGAAATACCAATTACCCTTTGTGAAACATGGTGCAGAACCGTTTCGTCGGACGACAGAATCTTGTTCCAGTCTTGACGGGTCCAGTTGAGATGCTCCTTCGCCCACTTCACCCTGGCGGCTAGATTCTTTTCAGAAATCAGCGGTTTTTGCACTGCACGTCTTCCCATGATTCCAGCAGCATTCAGACGTCGTTTCACAGTCGAGACGGATGGCGGAGATGGCGAATTCAAGAAAACTTCCCGTGTGATCGCAGGGGCGGTGAGTCTTGGATTGGTTCTAGACGTCTTCTAAATGTTTCTATCGTCATTACGATCAGTGACACGTGGTCTTCCAGTGCATTGGCTCTTAGTAGAGCCATCTTGAGCTTTCTGACGCTTTAGGAACTGAGAAATGCACGCCTCTGTCACGCCGAACATTCCTGCAAACGTCATCATGGTCAGTCCATTTTGACGACCCACAACGATGGCTCTTTTGTCGTTATCAGTAAAATTCTTTTTTTCAGAGGTTCTTCTCATGTCTGAAAACATAAAAAAAAACATATGGCAACATTACTACTTTTAAAAAATTTGATAAAGATAAATAAAAATAAAAGCATAAAATAACAAAAAAAATTGAATTCAAAAAAAAATTCCTAAAACGCGTCGCAGTGACTGCGGACATGTATTTGTATACCGTATATGTTTCAAAGTATATTTTACATAATCCCTGAAAGTTATATATAAATCGGATAAGTACTCGCTGAGATATCCTCAAAAAACCAAAACTTAATATACTTTTGAGCGGTACTGTAGAAATCTCTAACCGCGGACGATTTTCCCCGACAGATGCCAAGTTGAGCCTCTTCGAAGCGATTTCCCGAAATGACCGGTAGGAGAGATCTCTTTCAAAGTAATATCTATTTGTAGGTATTGCTGAGAAGAATTTTTAAGGAAAGTTACCAGCCGTGGTCTTTCTCCTAACACACAGGGTGAGGGAAAAACCGAAATCGCAGACACCAAAATTACCGTAACTCAAAAAAATTTTTTTTTTTGAAATTTAAGCCAATAAATTTGTAAAAATGTTAAATATGCTGCTTTAAGGCCTAATAAAAGTAAACAATTGGCGCATGAAGGAAAGTTCGCTCTAATGCGAGGTTTTCGACCGCGACGCGTCGTGGTAAAGTTTACGCTCCGCTTTCACAGTGTGGTTTCCCGACTTGAAAGGCGAGGGAGGCGGGGCAGGAGGCAAGACGCGTAGCGTGTGCGTTCGCGGTTCTTGGCACGTGTTCAATTCAACCGCCATCTACCCGTTTTTCGCTTTTTTCATTCCTTTTTCAATTATTTATTGATTTTGTTCATTTGTGCATCAAAAAATAGTAGAAAACATTGAAAAAGAGCGGTTGCCGAGCTTTTTAAATAGTCGGCGACAATTGAATTGAGCTCGTGCCAAGAACCGCGAACGCACACGCTACGCGTCCCGCCCCTTGCCCCGCCTCCTTCGCCTTTCAAGTCGGGAAACATTGACTATAACGCCGTGTACAAGAAAATTTACTATTTTGAGTGCCAATAAAGCTGGAGAATTTTTTGCGAGTTGTTTTGAAACATTTCCCGGCCGAAGACACGCGTTTTTTCTTACTCATTTATAAGAGTTTCTAATTTTCAAAAAAATGAAGAAATAAAATCGAAAAGGTCGCCGAAAAATTCTTCAACAAAAAAGGTGAATAAAAGTCGGCGAAATTACATTTTTATGGGATTCAATGAGCGCTGTAGGCTGTAGTTGTGCACTCACTGGGACGAAAGTGATGGTAAAGTGGAATTAAAGCTCGCAAAACCTTCTACTTTGGATCATGAAACCGTGCCGATTGAAGTAACTACGATGCGATTCTATGCCGACGACCAGGGTGACCGAAAAACCTACTTTCCAAACACAAAAATTACCGTAAATCGAAAATTTCTACAGTAACCCAAGATGGTATGTACTATAAAAAAATCCTAAAATTGGATTACCTATCGATTGATATATCACTTGCCTAGTAAAAACTCTTCAATACTTAGATACGCAGGTGCCCACCCGCCTACCGTAAACCGGCTACAGTAAGAGCGAATGGCTCAAAAAGTTTCGTCCGCATTTCTGATGATGGGTTATAGTCTGTTCAGATTTTGAATGTCAAGTGTTCACTGAAGCTCCGCCCCCTAATGGCGCGATAAAACAATCAGAGAGCGAGCCATCCACAGAGCGTTTTCGAATGACGTCATTCTACTTGACATTCAAAATCTGAACAGACTATAAAGCTTTTCGAAGAATTTGATTTTCATTTCATTGCAATAAAAAACATTTGGGGTTGGACAAATAAAAAATAATTTTAGTCGTACACTAAGAATAACTGCCGAGATAAACGCGAGACACTGGCGGTACATTGACGAGCTCGCAAACATCTCGCTTTTTTTCTCGCGCCGGTTTCGCATTAGTCTGGGCGCGAGCTCGCATTTTTCTAGGCGCGAGCTCGCATTTCTCTCGCAATTTGAAAATTTCCGAAATGCAAGATAAATGCGAGATGGCGCCGAGAAAAATGCGAGGTCGCGCCGAGGGAAATGCTGGATCGCGCCTAGAAAAAAGCGACATTTTTGCGAGTTAGTCAATGTACCGCCACCGAGCTCGCGTTTATCTCGTCAGTTATTCTTAGTGTACATGTAAAGGTGTTTTTTTTTCTAATTTTTCACTCTTCATAAGCTTCCATAAATTTTTTGGGTTTCCTCTCGTTCCCCGTCATGAGATGAACATTTCCACGTACGATATTCTCAAGAAGGAAGCGTTTTACAGAATTTAACAGTCAAAAACATTGACACGCGAACGTAAAACTACGCGGAGAAACGTCACCTAAAACTGCGCAACAGTTGCGCTAAGCCGCGCCCACTAGCCACCCTCTCCAGCTTTTTTAAAACGCCGTGCACACTGGATGAAGTTTCATCAGGATCAAAAAATGATATTTTTTGTACTCGTTGCTTTTGAAACTTTTTGAAAATTACAGAGACAGCGTGATAAAAGGATAAATAGACTAATTGGTTCCAAAAAACAAATTTTAAATTTATGCCTCTTCTTTTCAATAGTTTGTTTCGTTGGAGCGAAAATCAAAAAAAAAAAAGCAATCCGAATATACACAATGTTAACAAACAGCACAATCGTTAAAATTTTTTTCACCTTTTCATGTACTCAATTTTCGCAATTTTGACATTAATTTTTTTTTTCAAAAAAGGCGAGAACATTCTGAGGCCGAGGTTTCTGGCGTGAAATCTGCACATCTATTAATTGGTCCGTTTTGAAAAAAAACGGAGCAACTTATGCGGGACGACGGAGACGTTTTTTTGAGTTCTATGTTTAAACATGTTTCTGCAGAAAGGACGATTCAAATTCAAATTTGGCGCGTGTACCGAGAGAAGGTGTAGACAATCGTGGCAGGACCTGTTGACCCTCGCGCCCTTCTCAGCGGCGACGCAACTTGTCCGCAGAGCACTTTCTGTGTCTGTTTTTTTTTTTCGAAATGACGAAATTCGCACATAAATTTGCTATCATTTCGTATAAACTAATTTATTTGTGGCGTGTTCATCGGAGAAACGGATCATACTTCGAAACGAAAAACTGTATTCATCGGCGCGCCAAAGAACAAAAGCATTATTTTTTTAAAAGCAATTTTTTTCGCTTTTCGAAGCAATTTTCGTTTTGTCCGGTGAACACGCCATTGACATAATTTGACACGAATGGAGAGGTTTTTTAAATTTCGCGAAAGTTTAATTTAATGTGTACAACTCGCTATTTTTTTTTAATGTTTTTTTTTTAATTTTTTTGCTCCCGGCGTTCGAAATATTTCGGTGGAGTGGAAATTATCATACGAGAATAAAAAGTTGAGATATTTTTGAATTTTTGAAATGACTTTGAACGAGGCCTGAATTTCTTTTAATCTTCCAAAGCAACTGCGAAAAGTTGCCAAAGGTATTTGGGCGGTATGAAAAAGACACCAGCGAAAATTCAAACGGCGACTTTTCCGATTTTTTCATATCGCTAGGGAGCTTTCCGGCGGCCACCTTTCCGCCGAATCTCTTTCCGACTTTTTTCCCTTATGTTTTTCGGTTTATAAAACATCTATAAAATTTTTTTTTTTCTATTTGTTGGTGTTTTAATCATGAACCAACTACCTAGTATATATAGTAAAATTTAAAACGAATATTTTATCGAGAAAAAAAGTCGGAAAAAAAGATTCGTCGGGAAGTTCCCTAGCGATATGAAAAAAATCGGAAAAAGTCGTCGTTTGAATTTTTAGCAAGTGTTTTTCATACCATCGGTATTTGATATTACAATTTTTTCACAAAGTTTCAATTTTTTTTTGCTTTGTTTTTGTTTGCTTTATGAGTATAATGGCAGTTCTTCGTTACCACTTCACTTTTTTTTGTCATTTACAAACATATGCAACAGTATTACACTTTCCGTTCAATTTTCCATTTCTTCCTGTTATAAAAATTTTTAAGACATCGTCTCGTTCATTTCCTCTACTCTGTCAAATTTAGAGTGCTTCATTCGAGCGATCCGACCGACGAAATCTTGGCGTTTGTTATGCCATCGAAGAATGCCTAAAAGTGTCTTCATCGTCCACCATCAGTCGATTGAATCGCCGCCGCCGCAGTTAGTCAAGCCACTCTTCGACTTTTATGGGATTGAAGCCGCCAAACGACGAAATCCCTTCGTTGCTGTCCATCATGGATGATCATGATGACGTTTCTCGCCGTTACGACGACTTGGTCCTCAAAGACAACAATGCTCCAACTTCTTCCTGTGACGACGCGGCCGAGGTTGAGGCCGCCGCAGCCATGTCAGAAAAGTCTTTGCCGCCGCAATCGCCGCTGCTTTCCCACGCGCTGGATTACATAAAGCCGTTGCACGTACAAGTCAATGGTTTTCCGGGGGTGAGGGCTTATGAAAAAAAAATGCCATAAAGATGGGTTTTTCAGTCTTTCGAGTCTTTATCGGCGGCACGGTCGTCTTCACGAGACTCAACCTTTTCATCCTACTCTTCTTCGCCAGCAACGACTGTTAACCGAACAACGAACAAGTTTTCTTCGTCGTCACCGTCGGTTCGCTTGCCTACCGGTCCCGAGTCGTCTCCGTTTCGTAAGTTATATGTTGTAGAATTGCCAAGATTGGCAAAAATATCCCTCTGGCAGTAATATCTTGGTAAAAATTTTACTTTAATCACTGTTTCTAGTTTTTGTGTCTTATCCCTTTTTTCGTAAACGTTTGCGGAAGCGCAAGTTTTTTTTCTTCACTTTACCTACAGCTTTGGAAATTTTTTTTCAATTCCGCTGTTATCCCTACGTTCTTTCCGAAAGAACCAACAAAAACCAATAGATTTTTTACTTCTCCGACCATTCCAGCATCTTATGACTTTCGATAAGATTGAAAATTTTTTTGTTTTCTTTTCACTGTCAAACCCAGCAACCAACCACGTCTTCCAAGTTCTGATCAATGAAAAAAGCAAGCTTTCAGGAGAAGAACAGTTGGATCATCACTCTTTGCTTAATCCATTCGCCAACAAAAGTGAAACATGTTTAGCAAGGCCCATGTCCATCGCAGGACCCAGTGGCGCTTCTCTCTCGCGTGACGTCATGGGTCCTCCTAGCTCTTCAACGTCCATTCACAGCATGCTGAGCCCGGCAGCCGCGACGATGACCTCAGTCAACAATGGCTTGAGGTACCAAAGTTCGAAAATAAAACGAAACCCAACAAGGTAAAAAAAAAACTCGAATTCTAAACTGAAACTCTTTTTTAAAAATAAAATACGCCTTAGAGCTCTCTCAAGAAACCACCCACCTTTCCTATTTCCTTTCAAATGTTACATTTCTTCAGCATGAAGCAATGCGAACCCGGGGCGTCTCCGTCTGGTACGGCGGCGACGACAATTTGCCGGCCGCGCATCTTGTCGCACTCTTTGAAACAACGCCAAGAGGATTCATCGTCGCCACAAGCGATTCTCGCTTTGCCACCACACCGACTACACAGTGTACAACAGCAGTCCAATAACATGGTCAACACCGCGGCTCAACAACGCAAAGAGGCGGATAACGCCAAGCGCAAGCAGTTCAACGAGCGCATTCATCGGCTCAAAGAGACGAAAGAGCTTCACTTTTTCATTCAGCAGGTTTCATTCACGCAAATTTCAATTTTCAGGTTTCCCCAAATTTTCAGTAGAGAAATAAAAATTTTTGGCAATAATTTCACTTATGAAGCAAAAAAAAAATTCTTTCGAGGGCAAAACAGTATCTCATGCTCTTTTATTTTTGCAGATGTTTTCATTGTTCAAATTTCCAGATGGATGGGCAGTCGGACACGCAGACGGCCATGTTGTTGCGCCGGTTCAACAAGTCGAGCTACTCGCGCGATCTGCCGTCGACCATCCGCCACAACGTCTTCGACGAAGAGCTCAAAGACACTTCGCAGGCTCTTCTCAAGTCTTTGCGCGAAGGCGTCATCGCCAGAAAGTATGCGCAGCATGTGGAAGATGTCACCGACGAGAGCGACGTCGAGACAATCGACGAGTTTCCAGCCATCGCCTCCATCTCTTGCTCGGCAAAAAAGTGGGCATTTTCATGTTGCGTCGAGTTTCTCGTGTGTTTCTCGCAGGGTGAACGCTGGTCGTCTCCAGTGGATGGAGGACAAGATTCGCTTCGGTTTGCAAGACGCTCGCTGTACTCATTTCCTCGAAGAAAAATCGAAAGAGTTGAAACTTGTTGAAAACGAGGTGAGGTTGCCTTTTTTCGAATTGACAAAGTGGCCTTTTCAGTTGAGCTACGCAAGGCAAACGCTCGGCGTGAGGTTTCAAGGCGATCCGCCATTTCTTCCTCGCAAAAAACGGCGAAGGTACCGGCGGACCGAGATGGAATACGCGCCAGGCGTGCGCGAGTTTTGTAACAGAATGGAGGAAGACGCTGGTTGCGCTCGCGCAAGACCTCTGATTTCCTACACGAGGGGAAAGCTGATTCGCAATCTTCATCGGTTGGTTCTTTTTTCAAACCATGTTTTCGGGCAAAACTCCATCTTCATTTTATCATCGGCGGGGTGTTATATCTTACACCAGTGGCGATTTTCAAACAACTTTACCAACATGTTTGATTCTCAGCATGAAAGTATAATCATTCGATCCGTCTCGTCGAGATACGTACGAATATCATAAACTAATTGGGCGCTGACCACTTAGAAAAATTTAAGATGAATTTTGTTAGTTTTCAATTTAGTAGTTATTTTCAAGAATAGAAATCTTTCGTTCTTCTTTTCATGCACAATAATTAATACATCACTTTGAAAAAATAGGCTCACTAGGGAACTACCCGGACTCGGGTACGGGTTTCGAGTTGAAACTTTAGGGGTTTATAGACCCAAGTCAGAATACTTGAGAACAAGAGAGGATATCTGCTAAACCCGATAGAGAACTGAGAAAAAATTAGTAGAAAATGTGAAAATTAGGCCTGAAAATTTTCAGAATACTGCTTTCTACTCCATTTTATATTTTAATACAATCGCCTTGGATTATCCGGCTATGATACACTCTAAAAAACGTTTTTTCTAGCCAAAAGAAGGAGGAAAGCAGCAATTTGATAATTTTGAAGCCTAAACTGTTCATTTTAAACAAGCTTTTTCTCAGAAGCTTATGGGGTTTAGCAGATAATCTCTCTTGTTTCCAAGTACTCTTACCCGGGTCTATAAGCCACCAAAGATCCAACTCGAAACGCGTACCCGAGTCCGAGTAGTTCCCTAGTCAGTAAAGGCTTCGCACGGGGGCAGAGCGCGCATAGCGCGAAGCCGACTCTGGCTTGCTTCGAAAAAACTGAGCCACAGCGAAAAATTCGTTAAATGAATGAACAATTTGACATAAAAGTTATGTAGGTTCAAAACGTGGAATACTAAAAAAAAACTATCAGGTAGCTCTAAACGAATTGATACGCGTAGCGGAAAAATCTGTAAAATATGTTTTCCGAAAAAAAAAAATTTAAGAAGCTTACCATGGGTATGCGTGGGCTTCGAAGCTGTCGGTTATTTTTACTGTGATTTCTCTTTTTTTTGCGTAGGTTTTCTATTAAAAAAATTTTTTTCTCATTGCGTAGCAGCGATAGTTGAATTGAGTCAGCGTCGAAACATGCAGCGAAGTTATTATTACATTTTTGAACGCTTCGGATTTTTTTTTCTGTTTTTTGCACAACATAAAGTTATCTCTTCTCACTAGCCCCCTAATAAGATGGTAGAAAGGAATTTTGGGTTCCCGAATATTTGTGAGCGTTAATTGTGCATACACCAATCTTGGAGGCTCGAATCTTTGAAAATTTGAATCTTTGCAAACGATTCTTGAGAATATTTACCTCTTTTCTGATTTTTTATAATTTTTACAATGTTTTTGTTAACAGAAGTTGATGGCGAATATATACAGAGTGAATGAAAATGTGGTAGCCGTTCTGCAGCGAATATTTGACTACGTGTATGCGAGAAAGACGCATTATTTGATAAAATGTTAGTTGAAAAAAATCATACAGTGTTCATTTGTGGTCGAAACACGGCATCTTCACAATAAAACGACAAAGGAAAAAAATGTAGGAAAAAAAGAAGGAATTTCAAAAAAGAGAGGAATATTCCCAAGAATCGTTTGCAAAGATTCAAATTTTCAAAGATTCGAGTCTCCAAGATTGGTGTATGCACAATTAACGCTCACAAATATTCGGGAACCCAAAATTCCTTCCTACCATCCCTAATAAATTTATAATATCTGTACATAACTCATCGAGACGGATCGAATGGTTATACTTTTATGCTGTAATCCAAACATGTTGGTAACGTCGGATTATTCCAGTTATTACATCACTATCTTTATTTCTTTGAAGGTAGAAAAAGAAATAGGTACGCTTATGCTTATCATTAATTTTTTACATTCTAGTAACGAGGATCCTTCGTTGGCCGGAATGGCAAGTGCCGATCCAACTGGAGCGTCCGCCGTATCCCTGCTCACGACGGTCGTGACAGTAAGCGCTAGCGGCGAGCGTCACTTGGAGCATGAAGAAATGTTTGACGACGAGTGGGATCCAACCAAACCGTACGCCTGCCTTAGCCCCGACGTCGACTGCGATGTCTTGAGGCGCGTCGCTCCTCCCGATTGTCAGTGTGAAACTGCCCTTGTTTTTCGACAAAACAACTGTTCAGTCAAGCCGTTCGAATCGAGAATGCTGTCCTACTTTCATCGCCTCTCCATGGTGCCGGCAATGACGTTGAGAAGGACGGCGGAGAGGTCGACAATGAGTGCCACGGGCGATGACGAAAAGACGAGGAACGGCGTCAAAAGAGTCGTTCACAAGTATGCATTTCTCTTTCTAAAACTTTCATTGTTGTTGATTGTGAATGTATGTGGGGAAAAAAATCTTGGGTGAATATAAAAATTGCAACTATAGTTAGGGACCGCCAAGGTCCGCCCACTTGCGGGGTCCTTTTTTTTGCTCAGTACTTCGCTTTTTTGCTATTCCAATTGCGCGCGCATAGTAATCTTTATTGGGTGAAATATGGTTGGCCAACACCTTATTTTACACGTAGATTCTGAATTTCATATTGACAACGCGGAGAAAATTCATTGAAGCAAAATATTTTCTGAAGACTACTTTTCCAGTGTTAACCATATATTTTTTTTTCTTCAATTTGTTGCAAAAATTGTATATCTAAGTTCAAAAAAGATCCATCGGAACTCGTGAACGTTAGAGTAAAAAAGCAATAAAAATGACACCCAAAACGCACAGTTTTTGAAATTCCAGTTCTGTTTCAAATATTGACTGACCACGATTGGACGAAGTGAATTATATAGATGAGCAACTTCTCTATCTTCTGAAAGTCATAACTCGAAAAATGAGGCTTGGTTGCGTTTGGAAATATAAAACTGTCGAAAAAAGAATAAAAAAGTGAAAAGCGTATGAAGTTCTACGTTTTCGAATAGAATCAGTTCTTGAGAAAACATTTCAACCAATTTTTTCGAGATTCACCTTTGTGGAAAAAACCCGAATACTCCAAATCCCAGCTTCGCATTCCTCTTTCTAAACAAAAAACATCCATCAAAAAAAGAAAAACTAAGAGGTAGTTCAACTTCAAATAGTGCTATAAAGGTTGAAAATTTTTTCTAACAGAAATTTTTCCGTCAAAAAAGATTCTGGCTAAATAAAGCTAATTATGGTTATCCACCGAACCCTACTAAACCTAAAGAAATGAGAATTTTTCAAAAAATAACTGCCAAAAAGCTAAATAATGATTTTTCGCTACGTTTTCCTGCAAACTTCGATCATTCCGGAGTGAAAGTCCTGAGTCATCGTTTGCTTGAGTTTTGACGTAGTGTACGATGAAAATACTATCTGTATATATATATATAAGAAGCTCGGGAGCTGTTAGTTGAGGTAAGTTTGGAAATTTCTGAAAGGTCACAAAAGCGGTTGATTGTGAGAAAACCTGATTATCTTTCTTTTTCAACTTCTTTGGGCTATTATTCTGCTTCGTTTCAGGACACTGTAACTCTTTTTTACCACATCGATCTATTTTTACGTTCCGTTAAAAACATTTTTCCAATTTAGAGAGAGAAAGCCAGCTCGCGAGGAATACAATCGTCGTCGGCAACAAGAGACGGCAGAACTCACCAGCGATGACGACGACGACGACTTTGAAGAAGAAGACCTCTTCGAAGACTCAGACTACTTTCCAAAGCACGCCAAGTCAAGAAGACGCGGAAGCCGGGATTCTGAGCTGATGCGAAGGGCGAGACGAGGAAAAACAAGGCTCCGCACAACTTTTGTACGTTTTCATGGTCGCTTTTTAGTCGAGTGGACAGAGAAGGCCATCGAAGTCCAGAGATTTTATTCTTTAATTTTTTTTAATTTTTAGCATCGGTCTGCAAAAATAACCCTTTGACCAATGTTTTGGTCAACATTTTCATAACGTGTCACTTAAACAATAAAATTTTCACATGTTGACTAAATGAAAAGTTGAAATGTCTAAAAAAAAAATGTGACCTATGGTTTTTTTTCACAGATCAACATGTCATTTATAATGAGAGATCATCTGAAATGCAATGTCAAATTTTGATCTTTCAATGTGTCATTATGAATCCAATGGTCAAAATTTTGACTTTCGAAGTGGTCGAAAGATCTTTTTTGCAGACTCTATTGCCAACATCCATCGTACGCCTGCAAAAACTTGAATAAGAACACTTTTATTTGTTAGGAAACTTGAAAATTGCAGGCGAATGGAAGCCAACGAGTGCCGCCAGTGCGTTCACGCGAATGGCACATTGATGATTTCTACCTAGAAGATCCAACCACTCTGCCGCTCCCGCAAAAGCTTACCTATGCGGTATCTTTTTAGGGTCTTTTTTATTTTTAACTGCATTACAGTTTGCGTTGAACCATATTCAATTTTTCTGGTTTCAGAGGATCCACGTTCCGAAGTGGGATGTTTTGGCGGGAGAAGGGCAAGGGGAAGAAGGAGGAAACGAGGACGCTGAAGCCGAAAATGAGGCGCTTTTCGAAACGAAAGAGGATGATTTGTTGATAACAGTTGCGCGTAGTCACCATGCTCTGACGTACTTGGAGAGAGAGAAAGTAAAGGTAAGAGTTTTTTTTTCTTGCCAAACCTATTCTGAATGTTAAAAAATAATCGAACAGCAATTTTAATAATCATATCATGTCTTCAATGGTTTGAAATTTGTTGAAAGTCAATTTTACTTGTAAGTTTTGGCTTCACATTCTTACATGGGATGAGCATGACTAGCGACAGACAGCCAAGCCTCCCCCTTCCCCATGCTCGAAAAAAAATAAAAGATAATTTTTTTGTTAATTATTCGAATTACAGACACGCCTAATGTGAAAGCTCTTTTTTTCGATAACTTTTAGCTAACCAGGGAACGTTTCTTACCCCTAGAAAAAAATGTCTTGCAATAGATCTCGTTCTCGAGTTATGGAGCTTCAAAGTCCACAAATTACGCAAATTACGACAAAAAAGCGTTACTTTGAGCTTATCAAGTGTCCTAACTCGAAAATGAGATTTATTGCGAGAAATTATCTTTTTGTTCTGGAATTAGGAGGTCCTAAAGTACACTTCAGTAAAGTTTCATCAAAAGTTCAACCGGGGATAATAAACGTTCCCTAGTTAGAAATAAATCGTTTGGGCCAATCAATTGAACCTTGAAAAATGAGCAGTTGTTAATTTTTGTATCTTATTTTTGTTGTTATTTTCGGATTAAGCAGCCTCGAATTATTCTAGTTTGACTCTTTAATGTCAACTAATGAGCGAATAGGCTCCAGAGAGTGACTTGGTAGTCACTCTCAGGAGCCTATTCACCCGCTAGTTGACATTGAAGAGTCAAACTAGATTAATTCGAGTTTTGCATTTAAATCAACTAATATAATTTCTTCATTTTGCAGAGAGATTTGATGAAAAAGACTAGAGCAAACGCAATTTCGTCTGGAACACCAACAGCAACGGCGGCAGCGACAACTATTATTCCAAGTTCGACCGCGCCAGCTTTTGGGCAAAGCAACAATGGAAACTACGGCGACGAGGTGCAAATGAGCGAAGAAGAAGTTCTGAAAGACTTGCCTCCGTTCGACTTGAGCCAAGTAATCTCGCCGAAGCTGGTTAGTTTCTTTTTCCTCTTTTATGTCGTGAATACGCTCAAAAACAGAATAATAATGCCAGTCCTCTGTAAGAACTGTACAAAACTTTTTTCAAAACCAGCTTAGAATTTTTTTTTTTTGAAGGCCTCCCGAGTTTTTCTAGATTGAGATCTTTACTAGTCTGGTTGAAGATTTTTTTTTATTTCTTGTCAGCCCTATCTTCCTGCGATTGAAATTAATTTTTTTACCTCATTTCTCAAAGTATCGGTCATCTAACCACTCCTTCTGGGCTAAGTGAAACAAAAATTAAGTTTAGTGTATCCGAAAAAACATTGCGAGCGGGTTAGTCCAGTGGAGAAAGACGAGACGAGACGAGATAAAGTTAAAAAAAGATGAAAAAAAAAAATTGAAGTTGATGCCATGTTCGAAGTAGATTCCGCCAAATGCAAATATATCTCTGACTCTCCAAATTTTAAAAGTAGTTTCCGACTATTCCCTTTTCGATAATCTCTTCGTTTTTAATCTTCCTATATAATGTAGGTAGTTGATTCGTGAATAAAAAACAGAGAGATAGGAACATTTTTTAGTAAATTTTATATGAACCGAAAAAAATTAAGGAAGAAAAAAGTCGAAAAGGCACGGAAATTTCTTCGTGGGGAAGTTCGCTCGCTATATGAAAAAATCGGAAAAGTTGTCGTTCGAAAGTTCGTTGGGTTCTTTTTTCATATCACCTCCCTGACGGCTATTTTGGATTTCGCGAAATCAGTTTGAACATGGCATTCATTTTTTTGTTTTAGTCAGATTTAATCGACTAGGTGGTGAACAAGGAATTTTGAAACTATAGGGTGGCCCAACAGTATTGTCGCATAACACTAAGAATAACTGACGAGATAAATGCGAGCTCGGTGGCGGTACATTGACTAACTCGCAAAAATGTCGCTTTTTTCTAGGCGCGATCCAGCATTTCCCTCGGCGCGACCTCGCATTTTTCACGGCGCCATCTCGCATTTATCTTGCATTTCGGAAATTTTCAAATTGCGAGAGAAATGCGAGCTCGCGCCTAGAAAATTGCGAGCTCGCGCCCAGAAAAATGCGAGACCGGCGCGAGAAAAAAAGCGAGATGTTTGCGAGCTCGTCAATGTACCGCCAGTGTCTCGCGTTTATCTCGGCAGTTATTCTTAGTGAATACAAACAGGTCATTTTAATAAGTAAAAATGTCTTTGGTCAAAAGTTACTTTTTTTTGTAGCATCGTGGTCCCTTCTTCTATGTTTCCCGAAAATTTCACCAGAATCGGCTGAGGAACACACAAATAGCAGCAAGTTTTGTCTGGCTGACTTAGACGCAATAGTTGAAAAAATTTGACCGCTTAGAGGAGATTAACTCTAAATATCATAACTATATTGAACAGGTATAGAATCGATTATGTAAAATAATGTCGTCTGTACAACTCATTAACTTTACATAGCCACAAAAAGCTAACCGTTTTGAATGAAACTGATGTCAGTATGATCAATAATGTTGAGATGACTCAAAAACTGAATAAAATCGGAAAAATGCATTGCGAATGACGAGCAACGGATCAGTTCGGATGCAATAAATTCTATCTTAGAGTTCAATACATGAGCTACCATATAAAAAGTTTTGTATCCTTTAGCTTGCTCTATTGAAAAGTTATGAGCGATAAACTGAAAAATTGACGTTGCTTGCACGCAGCTCAAAAGACTTTTTCGAAAAAATAAATTTTCTTTTCTCTCTTAGCACCAAATTTTATAATTTATTTTTCTTTATGTGCCTAATTGAAAAAAAAGTGTAGATTGCAAAAGATGAGTTATCAAAATGTTTGGGAAGCTTACGATGAATTTTCTAAGTTCGATCATGTATTTGTTGGTGTGCCGACGATTTCTTGATGCTAATCGAGCCAGAAGTGTAACACAGTAAAATCAAAGTGATAAATGTTTTTAGAAACCTCTCATCATTTCTCATGCCAACTCTCCATCGAGTGGGTTTATCCAAACGAAATCTAGAAGCATAAACGTAAAAAAGCGTCAGGAAGGTCATTTTTCGCCGGAGCCTGATTTTTTGGAAGAAAGTGAAAATCTCAAAAGCTGTAAGCTCGTAGCCCCTCCATCTTTAGGTATTATGAAACTTATGATGTGGACCTCTGTTGACCAAATCACCCGCTCCAGAAAAATTCGTTGAGACCTTTAAAAAAAAATCAAAGTTCTAATATGACCCCTGCGTGCGGCGGCAGGCTTGTTCGAAATGGTTTAGGATCGTTTTTCACGCATATGAATTGAAATAAAAATGTTTTTTCTCTGGTTTTATCTATCTATAGGGCATGTTAGTCTGACTCAAAAAGTTTCAGCAAAATCCATAGTGTCTGCACAAATTTACGTTTGTTTTTATATGCGACAATACTTTTGCGCCACCCAACAACCGCCTTTGGCGAACTAGAAGTCCAAACGTGTTGTCGAAAGAGTTGAAAGCATGGTCTTACGGTTCTTCGCCTCGTCCTTCTGCGCGTAGTCCATCCAGTTGCGCCTTGACGAGCTCAGAATATAGCGGATGGGATAGCTGGAGCCTGGAGACCGTGCTCTAAGTCGAAGCCTCGAAAAGAGAGCGACCACTTCGAGTGAAGGTTTCACACGGAATTTTTTGTTTTGGAAAGCTTTTCTCATTTCTTTCTATTTTTCTTCGCAGATAAATTTATGTCGTTGTTTGAAAATGTTCTTTCGTAGGAAAAGGCCTTTTTCCTGTTATTAGAATGTATCTCGAGACAAAGAGTTGACTGATACCCGATTCGAATATTTTCACAACCTTTCGTCAAGGCTAACTCCAGAACTACTCACAAGAATGCAAAACCCCTTTCATTTGCTTTTTCTAAAAAAAAAAAGAAAAACTCATCTTTTAGGTCCACCGACTTCATGGATCGACAGAGAAGCCATTCACGCGCCGCGAGTTTCCCATCGTCCCCGAAAGATGAAAAAACTTTCAGAGCCGAAGCCCTTAACTTCATGCTTTTTTTCCGTTTTTGTTTTTCATTTTCATCCGATTTTTGATGGAAGTATATTTTTTTCGTGTTTTGATCAAGTTGCTTAATCTTTTTCTTTACACTTTGGTTGTTTTGATTAGCGTTTTATCCAAGTTTTACTCATTCTCCCGGTGTCTAGCTCATGTTTTATGCTTGCTTACGGAAAATTACACGGAACAAAATAATTTTTTTTAAAGTTTTATGTATGAAGCGCAGCATATATGCGTAAAGTGCGAGCTCAGTTTGGTCTCTGTCATTTTCGTCGTACCTTTGAAATCTCGCATTTGGTCTGATCATCTCTTACAATTTCCGGTTTTACCTCGAGTGCTTTTAATCTTAATTTCGTTGACATTTTGTTGTTCCATTTTAGTTGACTTTGCTCCTTTTTGCGCCTCATGCGTCATTTATTACTTGGCGACCGAGTTTTTTGAGTCTGACAATTCGAAAAAATTAGTTTGTTTCCTTTATTCGTTCTTCGAAATTGTATTGTCGCGTGTTACCGGTTGTCATCGTAGCTTACATGGTCCTTTTGTTCTGTTGTTGCCTTTATCCCACACTACGATTATTTCTGTTATTATCGAGGATTGCATTATATCATCATGTCCAGTTGGTAATTTTTCCCCTTTCAAAAGCTTCATTTCTTACACAAAAGCTGAAAAATATCAACAACTTGCCTAATTGCCCAACAACTCTTCTATTTATCTTCGAATATTTTTCGAAACTGCTTTTCCGTCTAGTTGTTTTTTTATTGTTTTTGAAATTTTACCTTATTTTGTCGGTCTAAAAATTTGTACCTTTTATTCATTTGATTTTTGTGATAAAAATTTTTAAAAATTTCACATAGAAGTATCGCGTCCGAGTAGCGGCGTTCAAAGTCGAAGTCTTTCAACTATCTGTCAACTTACAAAATTTGTTTTGGTGGACTCTTGAGAAAACGAGAAAACCCAAAAAAAAAGCTTGATTTTTTTATTAGTTTTTTGTTCATTTCTCAATAAGCTGTTTCCTTGAAAGAAATTTATAATTCCTTGGTCTCTGTTCATCCGAATTATTTTTCGGCACTCGTCAATTCAGTTTTCATTATCTTCTCAATTGTACACGATTAGTCGTGATTCTGTTAGACCCGAGCATATTAAGTTTTTTTTTCAATTTTTTTTTTCCTGTCACGTTACTGTATATTTTCGAATTCCGCATCTTGGTAAAGTTTGAAAATGTGCTTCAAAGTTACCTATCGCGAGCTATTCTCTTTGATTGCGAACTTTGTTGCGATGAGTTTTTCGATTTTTATCTCGTTTTCTTTAATGGCCAACTAATTAATTTAATATATATAAGCATTAGTAAAATAAAAACTATTTTGATCGTAAGTTTTTTTTTATTAAGCGTGATATTTAATCGAAATTTATCCAGTTAAGCAGTTAGCTCCTATCGGTAAAGCTGGTTCACGGCTGGCTTGAAACATCGAAAGAAGGGTCGGGACACGATAAGAAGAAAGACAGTACCTGGTTAGTGCAGAGCGCAGACAGGCCACGCCTTTCGTGTCCCAAGCTAGCCGTGAATAGCTATAACTTCCTACCATCTCAATTTTCGCCATTTGAGGTGATGCAAGGTCTGCAGAACGGGCTGGGAGCCTTCGTTTACAGCGGTGGTCTTTCTTCCCGTCGACATGGTACTTTAGTGCAAATTTACTCAACGAAAACATGTTTTTTTTTCGTAACGCTTGCAGCATCGAAACCACTGCTGAAGTCGACTCGAGTCGTTGAAAACGTTTCTTGCGTCTATCGCTCAGTTTTGCGACAACTCGATAGCTCTCCACGAAGTTTGGACCGCTTTTTGCAGAGTTAGTTTCAGCTCTTCTTAGGAACGCCGAAGTGACCCTATAGGGGCAACTTCAGGGGTCTTTGAAGGATTCCTTCTAACCACCTCATCTCTTCCTATAGAGGGCGCTGAATCTCACAAAAGTAGCCAATTGAGGAGAAAATGGTAGGGAGGAATTTAGGGTTGGCGAATGTTCGTGAGCGTGAATTGTGCATACACCAATCTTAGGGGCTCGAATATTTGCAAATTTGAATCTCGGTAAACGATTCTTGGGGCGTGCTCATTGGAGAAACGGAACATGCTTCAAAATTAAAAAGCGTGTTCGCAGTTTACCGTGCTTTTTAAACTGATACATGCGCTCTGACCTGCCGTTTCCTTTTTAAGATGCGCGCTGGCATGCCGTTTCCCCTCTGACATTAGGAGTCATTTTACCGTTCCTACTGGAATTTTCTACAAACTTGCTCATACAACCTTTGATGGACCGAGAATCCATCCCACATAGTCGCTATCTGCGCAAAATTTTCGTTTTGGAGATGTGAATTTTTAAACTTTTCATCCTTTAAAGGCATAGGGGCAGTAAAAAACGGTGTTTCAGTTCAAATCAGTACTTTGTAGAGCTTTTCATTGCGAATCGAACGGTGATCTTGGAAATGTACCAAACTTCCTAGTTTTGGAGAAAAAATAATTCAAAGTCGGAGAAAGGAAAGTTTGAGTTCCCGCCAAAAGGGGGGTTTTTGCAGTAAAGTTGCTCTACGGACCATGCGCTTCGCCGTTTTTCGGATTTTCGCTTTTTTCTTCGCTTCTTTCAATTTTCAATTTTTTTTTCTGTTGTCGCCAAAGCTCTTTTCGTCACAAAAGCGTTCTATTCATGTATAATTTGCAAACTTTAATCGCAAAAATGCTTTTTTGGTAAAAAATGATGATTTTACACAGGTTTCGATTGGGATAGCGATTATTTGTGTTTTCTTTATTATCAATGTGTGTTTTTTGTTTTCTTAATCAATTTTTCAAAGTAGAAACCCTTGATTTGAAGCAGATAGCCGGTTATTTCTCACAAAAAGCGAGTCTAATGAGACGTCCGCAACATCGCGTGCACAGCTACTGTAAACTGTTGTCTGAGCGCCGATCCAAAGCATTTTTCAAAATTAAAGGCGGGAAAGTAAAATCGCGTTTTTCTTCTAAAGTTTAAGCTGAGGCTGATCCCTCTGAGCTCCTTTCTTTGTTCACTTTTCCGATGAAGACAGTTTAACGAAGAATTTATCTCAAACTTGGGTAATTAAACCATATAAAGAAAATAGAACGAAACAAAATATTAAATTCGACAATAAATATAAAATTGCGGAAGAAGGGGAAATGGAAAGTGGCAGCGGGGAAGAGACAGAAAACTGAGGGCGACTGGACGCTGGGGACGGCGCTGCACAGTTCTGAGTCAGCGTCTCTAGAGTGGTACGGGTTGAGGGCTGGCCAGAGGAGGGAATCCAATCCAAAAGGTTTGAGACAGGCCAGAGATGTCGAGGAAACGGTCTTTTTCCTCTTCAAGGAGCGGACCAGAATAGTTAATAACGGACGGTCTCTTCTAATCTTGAAGGGGACCAGCATCCTCTTGTTAGGCGTCTTTGGCCTGTTTATGTGATTAGTTGTGATTCACAACAAAGTTGTCACATCTGTAATTTTTTTGAGTACACCATTTGATTCTCAAAGAAATAAAGGCATAGGGGCAGTAAAAAACGGAGTTTCAGGTGAAAGCAGTATCCTGTATAGTTTTTCTTTGTGAATCCAACGGTGTACTCAAAAAAATTACAGATGTGACTAATTTTGAAGAAAAACGCGATTTTACTTTCCCGCCTTTAATTTTGAAAAAAGCTTTGGATCGGTGCTCAGACAACTGATTACAGTATAGTCTGTTCAGATTTTGAATGTCAAGCAGCTAACTCCACCCCCAAGGCTACAATATATTTCGCGTCAATGTTTTATATCCAGATGACGATGTCCCTTTAATGAGGCTGCATTTTTGACTTCTTTTTCTATCTTTTAGATCAAAAAAGATCAAAACTAGTCCCGCGTGATAAAACATCGACGCGAAAAGGTCCCGTCTCAGCAGGGGCGGAGTTAGCTGGTTGACATTCAAAATCTGAACAGACTATAGCTGTGCACTAGAGTTCGCCAAACCGAGAGATCGAACGAGAGATCGACCAATATTTTTGGCAACATGTTGCCAAATTTCGATTAGTTGATATTTTTTTGCAAACGAGAGGTTAACATATCTCATTATTATGATCCTTCGTTTTTTTGACATGTCAACATCTCGTTTGGATGAGAGTTCATTTGATTCAATATATCAAATTTCGATCTCTCAAAATGCCATTTGAAAAGAATTGGTCGAAATTTCGATCTCTCGAATATCATTTTAAAAATATTGGTCGAAATGTTGATCTCTCAAAATGTCATTCCTAAAATATTGGTCAAATTTATGATCTCTCGAATATCATTTTTAAAATATTGGTTAAAATTTCGATCTCTCAAATATCATTTTTAAAATATTGGTCGAAAAAATGATTGATCAAAACGCCATTTTCAAAATATTGGTCGAAATTTCGATCTCTCGAGTATCGTTTTGAAAATATTGGTCATTTTTTTGAGAGATCAAAACGTTAACATCCAATGACTGGTCATTATTCTGACTGATCGAAAACCAATATAATAAACGGTCTCTCGAAAAAGACATGTCAAAATCATGTTAAACAGTGACATGTCAAAATTTTTGATTTGTTGAAATGGTTGAACGGTCGGTTTGGCGAACTCTACTGTGCACGCGATGTTGCGGACGTCTCATTAGACTCTCATTTTGTGAGAAACAACCGGATATCTGTTTTAAGCCAAAGGTTTTTTTTTTCCTGAAAAATAAATAGGAAATCAAAAAACACACACCGATGATAAATAAAACACAAAATATCGCTATCCCAATCGAAATCTCTCATAACTCTGCAAAAAAGTTATCGGCAAAAGGATTTGAACCCTCGTCATAGGCTCCGCAGACTACTTCGCTACTGACTGCACCCCGCTCCTAGCTGTTAAAGGATGAAAACTTTAAAAATTCATATCTCCAAAACGGAAATTTTGCGCAGATAGCCACTATGTGGGATCGATTCCCAGTCCATCATAGATTGTTTGAGCAAGTTTGTAGAAAATTCCAGTGGGAACGGTAAAGTGACTCCCCATGTGAGCATCCAGACCTCAAACCTCTATAGGGACAACCTTAATTTCAGCTCTCTAGGGACCTTTTTTCCTAATTCCACCAGGAGCTTGTCTGGCGTTCCTAAGCTCTCCTGTAGTGGTACTTAGGCTCAAGAAATTGTACTTTGCAGGGAACACGCCATTGTTATCCCGAAAATTGAGTAAGAAGCCTCAGATTTCTTTTCCACTCGATAATGACGTCGTTCTACAGCTTTCGCCGGCCACCGGGCAGTTTGGTTGGTTTTTTCATTTGAGTTTCACACTTTTAAAATCTGAAAAATATGTTTACCTCCATTAAGAGCCATCAAACTCGAATTTTTTTTCAACCTAGGGCCTGTTTTTTTTTTGGTTCTTTTCTTTTCTTGTTTTAAAACCTTTCTCCTATTCAGTTGTGCAACAGCGTGGGTTCCGAACCAAACGGGTGGCTACGTACGGAGTTGGTTCGTCGGGCGTTAGCTCCAGAAACAACGACAGGTTTTTTTTTTGTTCGATTTCATCGGCGCTATCCCTTTTCTTTTACTTCTGAAGCTTCTCGTTGGCAAAAATGTTCGGGGTGAAAAAGGAGCGAATCACGCAGGATGAGGATGTGGATAAATGGCAAAAGTACGACCAGGAGTTGAGAAAGGTGCCGGAAGCACAGCGAGAGACGTACACGGTTCGTTCGGAGGCTGATTGTTGAGAGACTTGCGGAGAGTTCAGGATGCCTTCATCAAAGGGCTTCTCGTCTCGAGGGGCGGACAGTCTTCGAAGGAGCCGCGCAAAATAAGCCTCCTCACTCGAATTTACATTGCCGTCGCCGTCTGCATTCTTTTCGGTTATGTAACTGGTGGTGAGTGTTTTGTCGAACTCCCTTGCGAAACTACTGATTTCTTCGCCCCTTTCCTACTTTTGCAATTGGATATGCGAAGAGGGCATGCAAGAAAGTGCGCACCGTTCAATTTGTACAGACAATTTCGCACTCTTTTTAAATCAGGAAAATGCGCACGGCTGTCAACTTTTGTATTTTTGGGGTAATTGTTGTTGCTTAGACTGAATATTATGAAGCATTGAAATTTTTCAATGTTAATATCAGGCCGTTTGATTGTTAAGAAATCTACTAAAGCGTTCGAACTTTTTCAATACAGTATATATTTTTTCGAATCGTTCAACATCTGTTCATGGTGTAAATCACAAAATCGCTATTCGAAAGTTTTTTTTAGCTGACTTGTGCTTCACGATGCTTCAAGATTTTCGTTCAGTTATTTTTTTTTTTGGCCAAACCTGATAAGGGTTTTTAAAGTTAAGAATCGTGTAAAGTCTCGGCTCTACGGAGTAGATTAAATCGTTTCGTGACGTCATACTTTTTTGCTCATTAACTTTCATGTCGAAGTCTAGATGGAACTTGTAGTAACCTTTCAAGGTAAACGCAATTTTTGCGCGCCAATGGAAAAGTATGAAACTGACAACCATACAACTTCGAAGGGAAGTAGACCTCCAAGAGAGCATGTTGCAAAGCACTATTCGCTCCGTGTTTCATTTAGTGAGCATTAAATGAGAAGAAAGACTCTATCAATTTTCAAATAATCTCGAATTGTTCATTGGAGCTTTAACTGAAAGCTGTTATCATGACGTAACGAAAAGTAAATAATTCATGCAAACCAGAGGTGGAGAAATGGCGCCCCTAAGCGTTTTCAAACGTTTACATTTCTAAACCAACGTAGGCCGCCATGGCTATTTCTTGATAAGTCGCTGCCCAGGGCGCCCGGGGCCAGAACCGCGATGGCAAAAAAACGCCATTAGAAGAAAAAGAACGCGCAAAAATTGGAATCTTCTAAAATCTTGTAAAATCGTTGTTTTCGAAGCTTTAGAACAAGGTTTTTTGAATTTCCAATTTGGTGGCGACGGAAATTTATTCTCTCACTAGTCAGCGGGTTCGTAACCATAAATCTGGACCTAAGGAAAAGAACAAATATAGTAAAAGATCTTTGCTCTTGCGAGCTAAAATCCTTTGCTGGAAGAAACTTCATTTAAATGCGGTACGCGGAACAAGGATTAAAAGCCAGAATATCCATTAAACATGACCGAAATAGCAAAGTTAAAATGGTAGATGAGAGAAAGAGGACGGCAGCGCGTCCGCGGCCGGATGGATCTAGTCTTTTGCTCCGTGTCGCTTGGTTTTATAGAGGCTGGATGGCGAAGTCTGAAAGCTTTACAGTTAGAACGTTCGAAATAACTGCGTAGGAGGTGGTAAGAGATTGTACAGAAGCGGAGGCTCAGAGAGGAGCCTTCGCTCGAGGCTTTTACCGGTCGCGTCTGGTGATGCGGCGCGCGGTATTGAAAACCTTTTAGCGTGGGTGCTTTTAGATGATGCTTTGATAAGGAGCCGATTTCAACGAAATCGAAGTTGTTTCTTTGATCGGTCAAGATCATGAGATTATTCCTTACAATATAACCGTACTTCACATAAAAAAATTCAACTGGACATCATATCCACTGAAAAGTTTGAAAAATTATTGAAAAAATTACGAAATCCACGATTTAATGAAAAAGGAACAAAAATGACCATTTTCGCCCTACTTTCGCAACGTGGTATTATACGCCATCGACACATAATGACGCGGCTCATTTCTTCTCAGAGGCCTGATGGCTGAGGCGGGCATGTTGCGCCCGGGAGGGCCCCTCATTTCTTCCACCTCTGATGCAAACATTAATTTAGAAAAAAAGCAAAATTTGACACTCGTGCTCATTGTCCTGATGTTAAGAACAGTGCGCACATTCCTGTACAAAATTTGAAAAACGAGTGAGCACTTTTCCTTACGTGCGCACGGGAAAAGAGTGTGATTCTCACATAGTTGACTACATCCAAAATATTTAATTTTAAAAATTAAAGTTTCCCGAAAGAAAAACGAACTTTTTGAACGAACTTTTTTGCAAATCAAAAATCTACGTTCATTTTTTGAACGAACTTTTTGAAAATTAGAAATGAACTTTAATTTTTTGAACGATCTATTTACGGACGGAAAATGCAAACTTTAACAGAGTGACAATCTTGAAGAGAACATTCATTTCAAACTTCAACAAAAAATTTGGTTTCAACATTTGTTCGAAAAGTGTTTGGTTTTGAGAACTCTGGTATGAACCATGTGCCCTTTTTTGCATGCCTGTGGGAAGCTAGATTTTTGATCATATTATTTTTCGAGTTATTAATTTTTCACTCGAGTTCGAGTTCTTCACGTCTTCCGCTCATCACTGATAAGACCCTTTCGATTATGGACTTTCTGGCAAAATGTGGAAAGCAGGGATGTACGAGATACGATCTCGTCTCGAGATTTTTCATGATATCTCGAGACGAAAACTTGTTTCGATCTCGTCTCGTCTCGAGGTGCAGTAATTAATACGATCTAATCTCGAGACATTTCGAGATGAAAAAAAAGACTGTTTTGAGATGCAAGTTAAAAATAAGCCGCCATATATGACGCTCCGGTCGTAACGGAACATACCAAAAGCGATAAAATTCACAGCGCAGTTTTAGATTTCGCGTAATATCTCTCAATAAAAATAAGTTTATGCTCATTTTTTAGTTTTAGTCTTTTTCAAGAATTATTTGGAATTAAAAATTTTTTTTTCATTTCGAATTGTCTCGATCTTGTCTCGAGATGAAAAAAACCTCGTCTCGTGCATCCCTGGTGGAAATATCTGTGAATGTCATTCGATTCAGAGCACAAAAAACCCGTTTTTTCGATGGCAATCTTGTAGGAACAGCGCTAGGATTATGAAAGTTTTGTTTTTGGGGTTATTTTGTACTGTCAATCGAATGCCTTTCACAGATTTTTAATATCTTCTTTTTTATTCCGTGTATTTCCTTCACTCGAAGTGGTAGCTCTCTCAATCGGCCGAGGCTACCCTAGAGTGTACACGGTGTCCGTGCCCGATCCCCACCATCACCGCCGTACCGTACTCGCAAAACTGAGGAATCTACTTGTGGACGAGCGAGGAGAAGGACCGTAAGACCATGCTTTCAATCCAATCAACTACACGTTTTGACTTCTCTTTCGCCAAAGGCGGTGTTAGTGCCGCTCAAAAGAGCAATTTTTTCACCGCCTAGTCGATTCTATCTGACTTAAACAACCAATAAATATTGATGATTGATTGATGATGATCTTTGCGCATTTAGCCAGAATGTTCAAAATCGAGGGGGTCCTATCCGTATCGAACGCAATTTATAAGAGCTTTGCTGAAATGTAAATTGCGAGGGCCGGCCCGGCTGGCCTGCAACGCAGTCGCGAAGCGGTCAGAATGGACCCCCTTTTTAAAGTTTTTTGTGTCCAAATTTTCGTGAAGTGTGTTAATCGGTTATTAAGAGCAAATATGTGTTAATTATCACTATCATTTGATGTGATTTTGAATATCAGAAGGAAATTTTTTTGATGTCGACTAGAGTTCTCAAAACCAAACGTTTGAACGAACGTTCAACCAAACATTTTTCAAACTTTTATTGAAACCGACCTTTGATTGAAATTTCGAAATTGAACGTTTGATCGGAACGAACATTCATTCAATGTTTGAAAAAAGTTTGATCAAAAAAACAAACGTTCGTTTATTGGTCGGAAAAAGTTTGGTCGAAAAACCAAACGTTTGATTTCGGTCGGAAAAAGTTTGATCAAAAAAACAAACGTTCGTTTTCGTTTGAAAAAAAATTGATCGAAAAAACGAACGTTCGTTTTCGTTTAAAAAAAGTTTGGTCAAAATAACAAACGTTTGTTTTTCGGCCAGAAAACGTTTGATCATAATTTGAACGATTTGGTTGTGACCGTTTTCGATCAATGTTTGAAAATGAAATTTGTTCGTAATGTTGAAAACAAACTTTTTCATGTTTTCAAACTTTCATTTTTTCAAACTTTTGGTTTTGAGAACTCTAATGTCGTCCGTTTTCGAGCCAGAGATGGGCGGAACAGTCGCGTAAAAAAATTGTATGAGAGAGTTTTCGAAAGAGGAAAATTTTTTAAACAACCGGAAATGTTTGCTGTTTTGGGGATTTTTTTGAGATTTGGTAGACTAATTACAAATAATTTTTTATCATCTTCCACATGGGCGTAGTTTCACAATTAGTTAATTTTTTTGGTGAAAAACTTTCCCTTTTTAAAAATTTTGTCTTCTGCGTTTTTTTGCGGAACTGTTCTGCTCACCTCTGTTTTGGCCCGCTTCGACGAACGTGGCACAGCTTTGCTAGATTGCCTTGGATATGTACGCCAAAAGAAGGCTGTGGAAAATTTGTGGAATGCAGGCGCAGGCGATCGTCAAATCAGCTCGTTGTTTTTCTCCAACACACAAGAGGTGAAGCCCGAAGATGTGCAGGTGACCTTCGAAGACGTCCGAGGGGTTGGTGCTACTCTGAATGCAAAGTGCAGTAGGTCGCAACACGAGTTACATCACGCATCTTTTCAGTTCAAAAAATTTCTATGAAAAAGTAATTTCCTGTCATACCATGACGCACAAGAAAAGACGTCGTGGATTCTGATTGGTTAGGGAAATGCCATTGCCAGAAGAAAAAAACGAGCGTTTTAATTTTCTAATCATAGTTTTCAGATGGATGAAGCCAAGCAAGAAGTCGAGGAGATCGTCTCATATTTGCGAGACCCCGAAAAGTATTCGAGACTAGGTGGACGACTGCCCAAAGGCGTCTTACTCGTGGGACCGCCGGGTACGGGAAAAACACTACTTGCGAGAGCGATCGCTGGAGAAGCGCAGGTATGATAAATTGATCAATGGCTGAGAAAGGTGCAGTCGCGTTCAAGGTTCCCTTCTTCCATACGTCTGGCTCTGAGTTTGACGAAGTTTTGGTCGGACAAGGTGCGAGGAGGGTTCGCGACCTTTTCGACAAAGCAAAAGCGAGGTGCGCGAACGAGAAAACGATGGTAGGACAAAAAAGTTGATCCGCAAAAATACGTGGCCGGGAAAATTTCGTCCACATAGGCCACTAAAAGTTGAAACCTTAAAAAGTTTTACCATTAAAATTTGAAGACGTTTAGATTTGCCTTTTTTTAACTTCTTTGCTTTTCTAATCTTTCCTCTTTTTTATTCTTGATAGTGATTCATTCCCAAGTTAGCGCTACTGTTTTAAGTAGGTTTCATACATGGGCAGACCTTTTTTAAACCCCGCAGACCCCTCCTCCCAAGTTTACCTTTTTTTTTATTTCTCAACTCGTGTCCCGCTTGGGCGCGCCGTAGCGCAACAGGTTGTGTGCCTGTTTACGGTCCACAGGGTTACAAGTTCGATCCCCGCCCCGACCCAACCAAGGGGTTTAAGAAATGTTGGTAGTGGGAAACCACGACTTCAAAATCCCCAGCCGTCACACACAAGGACGGATATGTCACTCGAGCCAGTCCACTGATATCAGGATAGGACCTCGGCTAATCGACTTGGGGCGCCGACGCCGCTCAAGCGGTACAAAGGCGTAGGAAGAAGAGGAAGAAGAAGAAGAACTCGTGTCCCGCTTCCTTAAAAAAATTTTTTTTCCGTAACCCGTGTTTCTTCTTTCTTTTCCGAAAATTTCACTTCCGTGCAACCCTGATTCAGTTCTGCACTTGTCCCTCTATCGTTTTTAGTCATTTCAATCATTGTCGTTAATAGGAACTCTCCCTTTTTTTTTTCTCATAAATACGAAAAACGCATTCAATTGACAGAGTTTCAACTTCAATGATTTATGAGACAAAAAAGTTGGAAAAACAAAATAAAAAAGAGTTCAAACTCAAAATAAGGTTTTTAAATCTTATCGAAAACTGGGGTGTTTCAACGCAGAAATAAGAATTACTACTATAGGAGACGTTTGAAGAAGACTAAAACAAATAAAATACAAAAATCGGAAACCTTAAATGCAAGTAATTTCCAATATTGATGGAAAAATTTTTAAAGGCTTTCGATTTCGGTTGCTCCTAGATTATGGACGAACTTTTCACGGCTACGTATTTTTGCGCATCAAAGTTTTCGTTACCATGAAAACAAAAAAGCCAAAATCAATGAAAGATTCCGTCTCTGCATCGTTAATTCATTCATTAGGCAAACAATGACGCTTCTGTGAAATTTCGAGTTTTGCATAGATTTCCAAGTGATTGCAGAGCTCCTTGTATCATCTTCATTGACGAAATTGACTCTGTTGGTTCGAAACGCGTCTCAAACTCGATTCATCCCTACGCCAATCAGACAATCAATCAACTTCTGAGGTTTTTTTGTTGTTGCGAGAAGTGAATATTTAATTGAACGGATTTTGTTAGCGAAATGGACGGGTTCAACAGGAATGAGGGGATAATTGTCATCGCAGCGACGAATCGCGTCGATGATTTGGACAAGGTTCGTAGAGGTTGAGGGGATCTGATGAAAATTGAAAAATTTGCCAAACGGATTTGGGTTCAAGTTTGATAGAAATGTTACATTTCTCACACACACAAGACCTCAATTGACTTTTTTTTTTTGAAAAATCGCGGCCTCGTCTCGAGATGCAGAAACAAATCTGATTTCGTCTCAAGAAATTTCCGAGTTAAAAAATATTTGTGTACGTGGAAGAAATGAAAATATGAAGTTGCGGGAACATCAATTCAAAAATTCATGAGAAGTTTAAGACTTTGTGTAATATCTCTCAATAAGGAGAAGTATTCTCAAAATTTTGCTTTTTGTTTTTTCCAAGGATTATTTGGTTCAAAAAAGTAGCATTTTTTTCATTTTGAAATGTCTCGAACTCGTCTTGAGATATTTTTTCTTGTCTCGATGAAAATATAATTTCCCCTGTGCAAAATTTCGATCAAAAAATCTCGTCTCTTGCATCCCTGGTTCGTAGAGGTTGACGAGAATTGAAAAGAGTTCGAAAAAAATTTTTTTATTTTATTATTAACGGATTCATTTGCTAGTTTGGTCGAAATGTTACATTTCTCACACACTAGATTTCAATTTACTTTGTTTTCAAAAATCGATAATCGATCATAAGGCGGCTACAACTGATATCTGGAAATTTCGCACAGGAGAAATTTTATTTTCATCATAGTTTAACGACCACCAACTTTTTTATTTCTGACCGTGCTTTTTGAAAATTGATAAATTTAATATTTTCAGTTGACTCTCAATTATTTCAAACCAAAGGTTTTCAGGCACTTTTACGGCCAGGACGGTTTGATGTGCGAGTGACAGTGCCCAAACCTGATTTGGCTGGTCGCCAGGACATCTTCGACTTTTATCTCTCGAAGATTGTTCACTCGGATTGCGTCGACCCCCACGTTTTGGCAAAAGTAGGAATTCCGGAAAATTTGCAAGAACCAATGAGTTTATTTTATATTGGTTTTTTTTAGTCGTTGATGTGCTCCACTACTTTTTCACATTTTTTTTTTCAAGGGGTCTACCGGTTTCACTGGGGCCGACATTGAGAACATGGTGAATCAGGCGGCGTTGAAAGCGGCTACCGAGAACGCCATCGAAGTCACCATGTCGTATTTGGATGAAGCCAGAGATCGGTACTTGTAGCATTTTAAATTTGAATTGATTATGAAGTGAGTTTCATGATCTGGCCAAGTTTCAAGCCGTTTGGATAAGTTTTAAGAAAAATATATTTTTGGACCATCGTAAATTGATATTTTTTTAAAGTTACAATTTCGTCCAAAGGGACCCGAATTCCAAATGCCTTCTTATAGTCGTTCAACATCAAAAATAATGGAAAGCGATATTCTTGTGACTTCTGGATCATTTCGGAGACGGCCAGTGTTTTCTGAGGTCGAGATTATTAAATTATAGAGTCATACCCATTTGGAACCAACTGGAGAGAGAAACTATCATTGAATACGAAATCGGCAAGTTTCGGATTATGCTCACCACATGGTTCGAATCAAACACATCGTTTTTAAAATCACTAGATCCTACTAAAATCTAGAAAAAAATTCTAACTCATTAAAGAAAAAAAGAACAAACTTAAATATCAAGGGGGGTTAGCACCGTCTATTCAGACAATCTTTTTCCTCCAGCCGTTTCCACAGATCAGCTGTTAGATTTATTTGATTTTTTTATGATTTTTTTATTTATTTTTTTGTATTTGTCGTGCAGAGTTCGAAATTCCGTATGTTCGATAGGTTCAATTGTTCGATACTTCATCCAGAGTTTACTCAAGATTAGTAATGATTTTGAGCCAAAAACTGTAAATTTGAAAATATCAATTTACGGTGGTCCAAAAATTCTTAAAACTTATCCAAACGGCTTGAAACTTGGCCAGGGTATGTACTTTTTTTCAAAGGGGGGTGGGGGGTACGTAATGATCACAAAAAAAGTAGTTGGGTAACCCATGTATGACACCAATCTTGGAAATTAGAAAAATTTTTATATTCGCAAATTTGAATCTTGGAATGCGATTTTTTTGGAAATATTTATCTCTTTTTTTGATTTTTTTATAATTTTTTTCCGATTTGTTTGTAAACATAAATTAATGGTGAATACAAACTGAAGGAATTAAAAAAATTGAAAAATCTTTGAATATGTGTATGCGAGAAAGACGCATTGTTTGACACAGAAAGAGTGGGAAAAGTTATAACATGTTCATTTGTAGTCGAAACACAACGTTCTCACAATAACGACAAAAGAAAAAAAAATCAAAAAGAGGTGAATATTTCTAACAATAGCTTTCCACGATTCAAATTTGCAAAGATTAAAGCTCCCAAGTTTGGTGTGCGCACTATTCACGCTCACGAAAGTTCGCGGACCCAAAATTCTTTCCTACCAAAAAATCAAAACTTTTGTAGGAGAAATTTTTTTTTTCATTGGAGAAAATTTTCGTAAATCTCTTCCGTACAACCCCGGTGGAGGCCTAAGCCAAAGTGCGCTTCTAACAACATTTTTTTTTTTTCTTCATCTTGCTCTTTTTAGTGTTTTGATGGGCCCGGCGAGGACAGGCGGCCGGATTCCAGATGAAGAGGCCAACAAAAACACGGCGTACCATGAAGCTGGCCACACTCTCGTCTCTTTGTACACAAAAGACGCGGTTCCGCTGCATAAGGTCCGTTTTTGGGTATATGTCAAAAAAGGTGTGAAAATCAAGCTAAAAAGTGAGCTGTGTTTTTGGAGGCCGATTGAACTTTTGATGAAACTTTGCTGGAATGTATTATAGGACCTCTTCTTTCAGGAACACAAATAGAATTTTTCGCAATAGATCTCGTTTTTGATTTATGAAGCTTCGAAGTTTGCACGCTAGATAAATGCTGCAAGGCCAGAGAGAATGTGGGTCGCGTAGGCGCCTTTCAAGTTGGCAGCTTGGTGTAGGGGCCTTTCGAGTCATTTTAAAGATATATCGTAAACTTTTGAAAAATGGGAAAGTTTATTTATTTTTTTAACGGTCATTTTTTGAACGTTCGGTTTTGAGAACTCTAGTGAATATAATCGACATCTCTAAAAGACTATATCTTTGAAACCATGTATTTTTCATGAAGGTGCGAAAAAGTAAGATTTATCGCGAAAAAAATTGACGAATTTCACGCATTTCGGAAAACCAAGTGAGGAACGCTTCTAAATTTTTAGTATGTTATACATTGACACATTCTGGATTTTATGAGTGAAAATAAAAAAATTCTAGCAAAGCGAAAAAAAAATCGAAGCTTGTAAAGAAACACCAAACTTTGAAACTAAAATTTGAAAAAGTTTCAGCGAAATGGTATACTTTTTATTTGATATAATAACTTACAGTGTGCCAAAAAATGAAGATAAATATTACTACAGCGAATCAAATTATATCCTCCAGGTGACGATAATTCCACGTGGACAATCTCTGGGGCACACGGCCATGTTGCCCGACAAGGACAGCTACCAAGTGACCAAGGCTCAGATGCTTGCCCAGCTCGATGTCATGATGGGCGGTCGCGTCGCCGAGGAAATAATCTTTGGCGAGGACAAGGTATTGTGTTTAGTCTAGTTGTTTGAGTAACTCGCGTAATAAGCAGTTTTGTAGGCGCGCGATTGTAGTGGAATCCTGGAGTAAAAAAAGAAAAAAACCAAGAATTCAAGTTTTAATATAGGTAACCACCGGTGCCGCCGATGATTTGAGCAGAGCCACGCAGCTCGCCGTTCAATTGGTCAAGGTTTTCGGAATGAGCGACAAAGTCGGCCTGCGTGATTATACCGTCACTGAAGACAAAGACTCGCCCATGATCAAGGTTTTTTCCTTATCGCATCTTGTAGATTGAAACAATTCGGCGTATTATTTTTTTTTTCAACTCCCTTTTTGATATTCTTGCTGGGTCCTTTGAAGAAGCATGAAGAAGATTTCGCGCCGATGAGTCGTTTTTTAAGTAGAACTTATTGATTTTTTGTATGCTCCTCTGTGAATTCGGAAATGAAATTGGAGCAGAAATGGTAGTTGAAGAATGCGAAGTTGAAGATTTAAGTTCAGTTGGGGAAAAAAAAACTAATAAGAATAAACAATTTAGTTTATATAGGCTGAGAGAAAATGTCCTCAAGACTGAAACTTTCCAGAAGAAGGTTTAGAGATCGTATAAGGTAAGAAGTATGAGCGAACATTTCAAGGGCTTGGAGGTCTTTCCCGAAGGTTCTACAACATTTTTTTAAAGAATAGTTGCGGCTTCTAGAAGTGGATTCATACAATTTATCCACATGGCATAACGAGCACTTAAAAGTCTAGAAAAGCATAATCTCATGTTGGCCAGTAGCACTCGTTGGGCTAATGCTTTATTTTTTTTTTTTGAAACGAGAGCTCTACGGTTGTTACTGCCGCTGGACTTAATCTGCGGCTCGATGCGTGATTTTCGGGGGTTATGTGCGGCTGAAAATTGTTTTTCGCTGCTGCCAATAGGAGAAAAATTAGATCTAACAACTGGCAGTTTCTAATTCACAGTGACCGTGTTGCAGTTCTAATATTAAATTCAACAACTGGCAGTTCCGAGTTTGAAGCTTCGCACTGACATTCTTGAGATGAGTTCTAATAACTGACAAACCTAAATCTAAGATATCCAAACGGCATTTCAATGACTAGATCCAACAACTGGCCGTCCCACTTTTGGAATTTTTTCAAATTACAGTCCTGAGATTAAATGTAACAAGCGGCAGTTCGAAATTTAGAGTTTCAAACTTTCAGTCTTTATATTAAACCTAACAACTGGCCGTCCCTAGTTGGAAGCTTTTAGACCTAAGTTCATAATTTGAAAAAAGCCCAACAACTGGCAGTCTCAAGTTTTTTTCCGGTGAACGAAAGTTACATCCGCAGGTGCTACTGGCCAACATGAGAGTAGAATGTTCCAGAAAAAGCTGAATATTAGCGGAATTTTCCAACGATTGGAAATCTGGTAGGAGGCAGTCTCGTCAAGACTCTGAGCGCTTAACGGTAGAAAAAATAATATTGTTTTCCAGGTTTCCGATTTGTCGCCACAGACAGCAGAGCTCATCGACAGCGAAATCAACCGAGTCCTCAATGAAAGTTATAAACGAGCGAAGGAAATCCTTGTCACTCGTAAGGTAGACTCGCATTAAACAAATTTTTCGGCTTTCGAATTGAAAGCTAAAATCCCCAGAGGATTGATCAGTTCAAGCATGTTCTTTTGAAAATTGGCTGCGCGAGACCGCTCTTGCTTCAAATTTTGTCTACTTTGGCACAGAAAATTTTTCATGTCATCGAAATATCATTACGTTATTAAAAGATGGAGACTTTGGTCATTTTCAATATTTGAGAAAGAACACCAACTGCTGGCAGAAGCTCTTCTCGAGTACGAGACGTTGTCGGCCGATGAAGTGCGGCGAGTGATTTCGGGGCAAAAAGTGAAGCGTCCGACGCCAGCCGCCGTCAAGAAGAGCAACGAGCAGAAGCGGTAGAGATTGAAATTGATGAAAGGACATTTTTATTTTTCAAATTTTTTTTTGCAGAAACACTGGCCTCGTTCTCCACTTTTTCGAGGAAGAAGCTCGGAACAAGTAGTTGCACGTTGTTTTTTCTTTAAACTGAAAGAGGCTGTTACAATGTCCCCATTCGGATCATTTTCAAGCGCAACCTTTTTTCAAGTATCAAGCTAAGTATTTTCTCAGTAGAGCATCTTGTCTTCAAAACCTTGTACATTAAACTTTTGACAATTGTGTTCATGTGATAGATTTTGCAGTCCAGAGAGGCTCGCCTTCTAGTTGAGATCCCTCATCTCGGGTTTTTTTTAAAATTCTCTTTCCTAAATTTTCCCTTTCTTATCAAATTTATTTTAGCGGTTCAAACGAATTTCTATTATTTTATTCGAATCATCGTTTTTTTCTTTTGAAGTCTCGATATGTGAATGAATGAGCTTTTATTTATATTGACGAATAGTATACATTTTTATTTCCAATTTTTGTAAACACCTGATAAATTACTTGAGCTTGTTACTCATTTCAGCTACCGGGGCTCAAGAAAAGTTGACTCAAGAGCTACAAGACTGGAAAAAGTCCGAGTGAAGCGAAGCGAGCAAGTCGATTTTCAGATTTTGCATAAATCAATTTTCAGACAACGAATCTCGCAATAAAAACGTAAAATTGACGAGAACAAATTAAAAGAGAGCGACAAACGTGGAGCGGTTAGAGACGGAGAACGCAAAAATGGAGAGAAAAATTTGCGAGTAAGCAATCGGACCATTTTGCGTCGCGTTGCTCTTCTCCTACGAAACCGAGCGCCGGAAGCAGCAGCGGCGAAGCTGCCTCCGACGCCATCGATTTCCAGGCACGAAGCCCCTCTCTTATTCCTTTTACCAACACTTTTTTTTTGCCTCACCCAATAAGAGACGGCCTGATAATATCAATTTCGAGAGACGGAGAGAGTGAAAGTCTTTAGAACATCTTTTCCTCGAATGCGGTCTTGGATTATTTCAAAAACCTTCTTGACTTTCTTTCTGAAATGAAAAACTTTTTACCTCAGAGAAAATGTTCTACGTCATTATTTATATCCTTACAGACTTCACCGTTTGGTAATCCTACTGGTGATCTTTTTTTCATCCCGCTCGATGTTTGGCTCTCATTTATATTTAATTTATAATATGGGTTTTTTTTTTCACTTAGTCGATGAATTTTTTTTTTGTAACTAATCGAGCTTTTCGGTAAAAAAAAATGCTCTAAACGCTTGCGATTTCAACCAAAAATCTTGTACTGGGTTTCTTTATTGTCTAAAAATCGCAACTCATCAAGTTACTTTGTCTCATTACTGTGTGTACCAACTTTAGGGAGTATATCGGGATCATGTAAAATGGGAAGAATAATCAGATTGATTCGTGCTTATATTCGAGAATTTTGGGTCCCCGAATATTCGTGAACGTTAATTGGGCACACACCAATCTTGGGAATTAAAAAAAAAACAATCTCGAACTTTTGCAAATTTAAATCTTTGCAAATGATTTTTGGGAATATTCACCTCTTTGTTTTTAATTTCCATGTTTTCTTGCTTTTATTTTTTTTTTCTTTGTCGTTCTATTGTGAGGATGTCGTGTTTCGACCACAAATAAACACTGTGAGATTTTTTTCAACTAACTTTTTATCAAATAATGCGTCTTTCTCGCATACACGTAGTCAAAGATTCGCTGCAGATTCGGCTACCACATTTTCATTCACTCTGAATACATTCTTCATCAACTTCTGTTTTCAAAAAAATCGGAAAAATTATAAAAAATCAGAAAAGAGATGAATATTCCCAAGAATCGTTTGCAAAAATTCAAGTTTACAAAGATTCGAGCCCCCAAGATTAGTGTATAGCAGGGCTTTTCGGCAATCGCTTCTCCCTAGCGATCTGAAACAATCGGAGAAGTCACCGTTCGAAATTTCCCTTATTTTTATTTCGTACCATCAAAAAAATATTTCTGAACGTTGAGATGGAAACGAATAGGATCGCATCATTTTTCGCAACGTGTATGGTTTGCGTAGCTTGCTTCTCTGTTGCAGGTTTTACAACCACAGTTACTTGAATGTCGGCGAATGGGGGCGCGGCTGGTCGCCACCGCTCAGATTCGCGATGACGCTGCCGTCGCTGCGGGATCTCTCCAGAACTTCTCCGTCATCAGAAGCATTGGCCGCGGCGCTTTTGGCAAGGTTCAAGAAGTTTCCATTTCAGAAATAAACTTCAAGTTTCAGGTATGTATAGTGCAGCAGAGGTCGACGAAAAAATACTTTGCCCTCAAGTACATGAGCAAGCGACGATGTATAGATAAGGTTCTGAGAAAATTTTCGGTGACCACTATAGAGTTTTGACGTTTCATTGGCCTTTTTAATAGTCAGATTAGTGGCCACTTGAAGGATCAAAAATTAAGGGGCCACAATAGAGCCACTAAAACTACTATAGTGGACCGTAAGGCGCAAATTAGTGGCTTTTATAAATGTGGTTTTAGTGGCCACTCGAGAGTCCTCTCTGTAGGCCTTGAGGAGCCTCTATAGTGGCCACTAAAATTTGTTGGTTTTTTTTTTTCAAAATTTAAGCAGTTGTCCTTTTATAATCGGTTTTTCTCTTGCCGTTTGCCATTACAAAAAGGAGATTCAGGGGGTCGCGGCAAATGTGATTCGTGAGCTGACGCTTCTCAGCAAGATTTCTCACCCATTTATCGTCAACCTTTGGTACACGTTTCAGGTGGGTTTCGAGTTTTTCTGTCCTCTAAATCTTTTCTAGAGATAAAGTTTTCCATTTGGTATAATCCGGAACAAGGCCCTCAAGAAGCCAACGAAAAAAGTCGTTTTCAGGACCGCGACTACATGTACATGGTATCAGACTTGTTGCTTGGAGGCGACCTCCGATATCATCTCCACCAGCAAGGAAAATTTGCAGAAGATCGGTATCTTCAGGCTTCAAAATATGATGAATTCTGCGTACAGGGCCAAGCTTTACATGTGCGAAATCGCGTTAGCCGTCGAGTATTTGCACGAAAAGCGGATCATACATCGAGATGTCAAGCCGGAGAACATTTTGCTCGATGAACAAGGCATGGCGAGGCTCCACACTTGTAACCATTCAAACTTGAGGTCACGCGCATTTGACCGACTTGAACCTGGCCACGCAGCTTGAAGAAGGAAAACTCGCCACTTCTTACTCTGGTTTCGTTCATGATAAAAATATGAAAGTGCGATTTCTAGGAACCCGTCCGTACATGGCGCCGGAAATCTACGCCACGTTCATTGGCCTTGCCGACGGCTACGAAGAGAAGGTGGATTGGTGGGCTTTGGGCGTCTCGTTTTACGAAATGCTTCGTGGCAGGACGCCGTTCGAGTTCAACTCCAACACGACGCCCGATCAGGCAACACATTTTTTATCGTTCGCCAATTTAGGCCCTTCATAAAAGAACTTTTGTTGTTTCCTCCGAGTCATTTATGAGATTTCTTTCGCGAACTGTCTAATTGATTTTTAGGCTCATGTCGTTTTTCGAGAGTCTTCGATCCCGTTTCCGGCGCACTGGCCAACGGATCTCATCTCTTTTATTGGAAAAATGCTGTCCGTAGATCCCGACTCGAGGATATCATGCCTTGAAGACATCAAGAAAAACCCTTACACGGAGCGCATCGATTTTTCCAGTGTTTTCAACAGGCGAGAAAACGATGATTTTGTGGAAATTTGAAGTGAAAGCACGCGAGTTTAAACCTTCAGTCTTGCACAAAGTTTTGCAGATTAGTTGGAAGAATGAGTTTTAAAAAAAGCGGGAGAAAGGGACTTCTTATCAAGCAACTTTGGCAAGCTCTTTGAAACAGAGTTGGATGAAAATAGGGGCACTCCCGGGCGCAACATGCCCGACTTAGTCATCAAGCCTCTCATTAAAACTGTTTGCTGTTTATTGCATCTTCAATGTAAGAATACATGTGCAATCGACTTTCATTGGTTTAACTGTGTTTATAGGCGACAGGAGCTGTGGCTTAGGCAGAGAAGTTGTGAATTTGGCTTGTAGAACATCAGGTACAAGAGAGGTCGTAGGAAGAAGTACGGTGCCGGCTTTCCAAAGGCCGATGGCAGAGATTAAACCTTTTCGCTGCATGCAGCTCCCAATTTTATCTACCCCGGAGGGATGAAAGGCTTGGTCGACCTCTCATTATATGTACTTTTTTTCACAGAATTTTTTTTGAGAATCTTTTTATGGCCGACCATCACATCATCAGAAACTTTTTTTCAAAGAACAGTAGAAACCATTTGAAAGAAGCGCTAAACCATTATCAAAGATCTTCGTACTTCTTGGTTGAAATAAATGAGAGTTTGGTAGCATTTAACTGTGTCAAAAGGCAACTTTCGCCTTTTTGCTACAGAAAAGTCCATAAAAAATATGAATAAATACCTGGCAAACGAGCTTTATTGAAAAAAATTTTTCTTCAAGTTTTTTTCTTTTTTTATCACAATAAAAAAATGAGGTTCTCTTATGTTCGGAGTCCAAAATGTTTTCGAAAAAAAAAACGGAGGAAAAAAATATTTTTTGATGATGTCGAAACTTGAAAAAATTAAAAAAAAAAAATTTCTGTGAAAAAAGTATTTTTTGAAAGAAAATGACCATCGAACGGTTTCGGAACGATTTTGATCGTAAAATTTCGACATGTTCATCATAATCCGTCAGAAAAATGATGGAAAAAAAACGATAGCGGCAAAGAGATGTGACCATCATCATAGGCTTCGCAGGCTACCGTGCTAGCCACTGCACCATAATTCTAGCTGGAATTCTGGTGGCGCAAACTTATTACTCAGCACGGATGACGCTTTATTCTGCTTTTTTGCGCTCTGGTGCGAAACTGGAGTCTGCACCGTGCAGTTTTGGTGCTTTTTTGGTGTCGCACTGGTGCAGCACGCTAAAAGCACTGATTTGACACCTTTGCACCAGAAAATCGCCGAAATCGCACGGTGCAGACCCCAATTACGCACCAGAGTGCAAAAAAGCAGAATGCACCGTGTGCCATCCTTGCCGAGTCCTTCCAAAAGGTCTCGCCTGTTTAAGATTAAAATCTTTAAAAAATCATTCTTTTAAAACGAAGCGTTTGCGCAGATAGCGACTATGAGGGATCGATTCCCAGTCCATCGAAGATTGTTTGAGCAATTTTCATGGAAAATTCCAAACCCTACGCAAAAAATGACCTTCCCTGTAAGTAGGCTTTAAAAAAAATGGTGAACCAAAACGTTTGAGAACGTTTTGGTTCCCAATTTTCCACTTCTGCTTCGAAGTTATTAACAAAAACTTGTTCCTGCACTTTACTTTAAATAGAAAAATCTCTATCACACCAGTTCAGACCTACAATGACCCGTTCGGTTTGCACTGCGCCGTCTCCGCTGGCCATACTAGACCATTTTCGATCATTTTTTCTATTGATTAAAATCAACAAGGCTATTTCCGACAATAATAGATAAAAAAAATTACAGAAAAAAATTCTTTTTACTTACTGAAGACGCATTTCCCAAATTAGGCCGTTTTTAAGACTTTCTAGCGTTTGCAAAAAATTAATTTTTAAAACCTAATTTGTATCTATGAATGCTCTAACTGTGTTTATCTTCAAATTAGTTCATTTTTTCGTGCAAAAAAACTCGTTATTAACGAAGATCTCACCCAAAAACCGCGATTGGTGTATGCACAATTTAAACCTACAGTGTGCCAATCCGGACGGGCTGAACAGATGTGCTATTGTTAAAGTCTTCTTGGTAACCGATCATTTCAGACTACCAGCACCGGTTTTCGTCCCCTGTAAAGAAGGCCTCAACTGTGATCCCATGTACGAGCTCGAAGAACGGATCCTCGTGTCGACGCCGATCCACAGGCGTCGCGGGAACACCGCGACCGGCAGGCGACAGTCTTTCGAGCCGCAGAGCGCCGCTCTTCGCGAAGTTTCTCAGGTTACAGAAAAAAATTTTATTCACGTGAAGTTAGCTCTTATTTTCCAGGCGTTTGTCGACTTTTCGCGGCAAGACCCTGTTCAAAACGGGCTCATCAAGAAAACGCGGTAGCCTTTCCCTTCACTGTTCTCGTGGTTTTCCAGTGTTTACGGTTTAACTTCTATTCGTTTATTGTCCTAAAAGAACAAAAATTTCCCATCAACGCTAACAACGAAGGTCATTTTACTTTGTGGTTGAAATTTCGGAGAATAGGTCAGACCAATCCTTGAGGTACCAGATGAAAATTGTGAAAATTTTCTTCAGCTTAAGATGAACGAAACTTTAAAGCTGAAGAAAATCATCACATTCCCCAAAAATTGGCCATTTTTTGATTATTTTCCAAAAGTTGGGCAGTTTGAGACTTTCAGGACTTTCCTATGGTACATCAAAAAATTTTCTGGCCAATTTTCAGGAAGCTCCTCTCATCAAAGTAAACTGACCTTTAAGCATTTGCGACAAATTTTTTCAACGAATATAAATTTTCTCGTATTTTTTGTCAGAAAGTTTTTCTTGTTTTCTTAATTAAATGAAATGTGAAGATGAGCTTTCTTCGGAAATGTTTCCGTTAATTTCCAAGGCGGCAGATTATTTGTTTTCGTGGTGAGTCACACACGGGAGCGGCGGGCAGAAGCTCTAGTAGAATCTTGCTTTCTTATTTCGCACTGTTTACCGACATTCCGCACTTTTTTCAGGGCTTTTTTTCGATTCTTGCCGCTTTTCTGATTTTTCTGCAGAACTCTTTATTTGTGAAATGAGAAAGTGTAGAGAATTCAATTAGTTTTTTTTATTGCGATTTTACTTTTTTGCTTATTTTTTAGATTATCATTTGAATATGACATCTATGGAACATTGTTATGATAGTTTGAGCAAAACTTGAACGAGTTTATTGTAGCTTTTTTCCTCAGAGTTAATCTTCATGCGGTTGCGGCTTCTCAAGTGTGCGCAATCTATGGAATATCTCAACAGAGGGATTAAAAAGGGTGGCGCGCGGATTCAGTGATAAGCACTCTCTTCTTCCGTATTGCCTTAGTCTCAACGACTATTTTATCAAAGTCGAATCGGAACTTTGTGTGTAAACTTCACATCTACCACTGTTCATCCCGTATTTTCTTGAAGAAAAATTATCATCTCTTCAAAGTTTACGTTTTCTCATGCGCCTAAAGTGTTTACGCTCACTTTTTAAAATCACAGTAGAAAAAAAAAGCTTTTTTTGTAGTTTTGCCCTACAACACTGTGAAAATCACAGCAAAAACAAATTTCTTGGAGCGAAGTTGGTCATTTTGCAAAAGAAGCGTGGATGGGCTATAAGACCTCTGAGTTAGTTTATTCCGCAATCGCCTTTAGTTTTTAAAATAGGGAACTGAGGAGGAAACGTATTCGTCGGTAGGTTCGATATGCTTGTTGGATTTTTTTTTTCCTGCCGAGCGTTTTCGGCAAGTCGGAGGAGAGAAATGAGAAAGTAAGCGAGGAGCGTGGGACAAAGTCGATTGTTATCCGTGGAAATTTCATGAACAAAACGGATCGCGTAAGAAGTTTTCCCAATCGTCGAGAGCTTTTTTCTCTCTCGAAATTTTCGCTTTTCTTGTTTTTGAATTGATATTGATCAGACGAAGAAACATCACATGATGAGGTTCTTATCGATTTCCTCCTAATTCACATATGTTTTTTTTTTAAAGATGTATTTTGATACTTACCTCTGTTTTAACAAATTTTTGACATAATGAACCGAGGTTTTGTTTTTTTTAAATAAAAGAGAAGGTTTTGGAACGTCGTAGAAAATGCGCATTATAAAATCCTGCCCGATGGGTTTAAAAGATGAAAGGGAATCGATGACGTCGCCTAGCGTTGACGCCCGCCTCCATTTGCCTTTCTCCATCAATTTGTGGAATTCCCTCGGAAATTTTTTTTTTTGAATTTTAATTGCTGCTTTTCATTTAAAAAAAGATTTGAAGACCTGCTTTTCTTTTTCTTCTCACCGATATATCAATACAACTGAATAGCTAGAGGGTATCGATTCAAACGTTTTGTAAAAATGAAACCATGAAGAAAAAAAAAGTTATATATGGTAACAAAAAATGGTCCCAGTGTTCGCTGGAAACGAGGAAACCTTCGAAGCATCGTTGAAAATTTTTACTATCTTCTTTAGAGCTTTTTTGATTGTTGCCGACGCCTTCAGCAGCTGTACAAATTTAGTCACAGTGTTCGCTGAAAACGTTAAATTCTTGATACGTTTTGTTGAGTCACTCGCATGTTTTTCAATGGTTCTTTTGGCTAAGACACATTTTTACTTTCACAGTTTTCTATCTGTGATAATGAAGCAGTTTTCGCTTGTTTAAATGTCTGACTAGGGAACTACTCGGACTCGGGTACGCGTTTCGAGTTGGAACTTTGGTGGCTTATAGACCCGGGTAAGAGTACTTGGAAACAAGAGCGATTATCTGCTATATAAACGCCATAGGCTTCTGAGAAAAAGCTTTTTGAAAATGAACAGTTTAGGCATGAAAATTATCAAATTTCTGCTTTTCTTCTTCTTTTGGCTGGAAAAAAGTTTTTTAGAGTTTATCATAGCCGGATCATTCAAGACGATTGTATTAAAATATGAAATAAGGTAAAACGCAGTTTTCTGAAAGTTTTCAGGTCTGATTTTCACATTTTCTACTAATTTTTTCTCAGTTCTCTATCGGGTTTAGCAGATATTCTCTCTTGTTTTCAAGTATTCTGACTTGGGTCTATAAACCACTAAAGTTTCAACTCGATCCGCGATAACGAGTTCGCGTAGTTCCCTAGTGATTGCTCTTTTGAATTCCTTATCCCTAAAAAACCTTGATAAACCGTAGTTTCGAAATTCTGTCGATTTTCAAGGTGTTTTTTCAACTTGATGGATAGAGTGATTCCTCCTCCTCATTCAACGACGGTAGATAGCGCCGGCGATTCTTCACACGCTTCGGACGGATACTACACTCCAAAAGGATTTCTAAACCAAGATTTAATTAAACAGTCAGTGTTTTTATTTTGGACTATTTTTTTTTCCTTTTATCGAAAAAAAATTGGCTCTCTTAACTTAATTTCTTTTAAATTTCTATGAATCTCCAAGTTTTTTTCACAGAGCTGCAACGCAACGAGAGTCACAAAGGTTGGAAGGACAGCGAGACTCGTGCGCCTCCAACCTGAGCACCTCGAGCAACGCCTCAGTCTTCCGATTTCCCTCCACCTCACCGCTCATCGTCATCAGGTCGGACTGTATTCGTTATTGCAATGGATGTTTTGTTTAAAAGTAAGCTAAAGCCCGCAAGCTAGAGCCCGCAAAGATCATCAAATCATTTATTTTGTTGTTTTAGTCTGATGTAATCGACTAGGCGGTGAACAAGAACTTTAAAAGCTATAACGAACAACCGCCTTTGGCGGACTAGAAGTCCAAACGTGTAGTCGAAAGAGTTGAAAGCATGGTCTTACGGTCCTTCGCCTCGTCCTTCTGCGCGTAGTCCACCCAGTTGCGCCTTGACGAGCTCAGAATGTAGTGGATGTTGTGCTGGAGCCCGGAGACCGTGCTCTAGGTGGAAGCCTCAGAATGAGAGCGACAGCTTCGAGTGAAGATTTTACGCGAAATGTTTATAAAATATAGCTGATTCACGGCTGGCTTGAGTCATCGAGAAAAGGGTCCTGCCACGAAAAGAGACGAGACAGTGCCTTGGTTGGTGGAGAGTGCAGACAGGCCACGCCTTTTTGCGACCCAAGCTAGCCGTGAATCGTCTATACATACATGCAAGTTTGAAATTGAAACCTCTTTTGAGATTTTTGAAACTCATTTAGTCAAAATGTTAACATTTCATATTTTAGGTGACATGCTGGAAAATTGGTGATCGAAAGATCCTTTTTGCGGACTCTACTGTAAGCTAATAACCGACCACTCACGCTAATTGATTAGGGTGGCTACTTGTATTCCTTTTCGATTCACTATATGTGGCAGCTTGTAAAATACCCCCTCCCTTCCGCATGTATCGATCATTAATAGAGTACTTCTTCACTTTTTTCTTTTCAAATTACGTATGTTTTCAGTCCACCTAAAGACGAAACACCTCTAAAAATCACCGCCGCCCCCGACTTCTCAACTAACCAACAGGTAGTGGGAACTCATCGAAGGTACGTCAAATTTCAGATAGAAAAAGAAATCTATGCAGCATTTCTCGAATCTTCAGACCCTAAAAATTTTTTTCCTCATTTCAGATCACTGATTATCGCAATCGTAGCCGCGGGGCTCGTCGTCCTATCAGTCGCCATGATGATTCTTCTGGTTCTTCTCTGATCCCACGAAACTTCTGTACACACCTTTCCCATCATGAACAGAAAACGAGGTCACATCATACTAGTTATTTTGCGCTCAATCATCTTTAAAGAATAAATAAACGTTTATTAGGAGCCAAGAAGGGATAACAACAGTCAGCGGAAATCGATCACACAATATTTCATTGTATTTGAATTGAAAAAAAAGGAAGGCTGCTATATAAAGCCTGCTCAGCTTGAGAACTGTAGGTGCAATCGAATTGTTGCAAAATGTTTAATGTGTGTAGTTAAAGCTCTAGACCGGACGAACAATTTAAGTAATGCTCGAACCTAAAATTTAAAACTTAGAACCAAAAGCCGGTGGGTATGGATTGATAACCGAATATTTTCCAAAAAAACAAGTTATACAAATAATCATGTTCCTGAGAAAGTGCGCTTGCGGGGGTTAAATTTTGCCGCCCGCTTTTTCCTCAGTTGATACATCTTTTCGGGGTTTTGACAAAAAGAAGATTCAATTGATATTCTACAGTTAACTTTTTTTGTTGCACGAGCAACTTTTTCAGGCTCCTCACTGCGCTTTCAAAATTCTTTAGCAGCACGCTTTTTCGATTGAATCAATACTTTGAAATTGCTGGCTCCTCCTTCTCCAATGCGGTTAACTGACGGAGCGATCTGAATTATCTCTTTTCTTTCCCTATTTCATACTGTATTAACAAATTGGACAACACTGCGAGTAAAAAAACGACAAGATAAAATCTACTAGTGACTAGGTTTAAGCAGTGGAGCAACTTTCCCGTCTGTGAGCATGGGTGATTCGAGACACGTTTTGTTAGTTTTAGAAAGCTTTTCTAAAAAAATGCAGACAAAACAACAAAAAACAAACTCAATGAGTATACATTCAAAAAAAAAAACTAAGAAAACAGCGCAAAAAAGGACAAGTTGCTCACTCGGGTCGTTCCTTTAGGGAAATGTAAGGGAATGAGAAGATTGAGCCGCTCTTGTCCGGAAAGTACCTGATGGCAGCGGTGAATCTGAAAAAAAGGTTGAGATTTATTTTTTGACACACCTTTTCCAAGAAAGATATCAAAATTTTCAATAAACGATTCAAGAGATCGAAGAGTTTTGAAAAAAATGATTTTTCACGGGGAACGGTTTCCAATGACCCGTTACAAATTTTTCTCTCATTCGTTTTTTTTAGGATTCAGTTAGCTAATTTTCTTGCAACTTCAGGTGATTTCAGGTTGACCATCATTTCCAAATTTCTATTTGAACTCAATTTCGGCCTAAAATCGAATAATTCTTTCGAGGTTTCCTATCCCTAGATCTCGCCCATTTTGGCTTGTCTCCTCCTGGAACATCGATGTGAAATTGAGAACTAACATCCCAAATAGAAATGATTTCGAGGTGATTATATATCTTCTCGGAAATGAGTTGAACTCAGTTGTGCCTTGAAAAGGCATGGTTTCTCCTTTTCAATCGGTTTATTGGTTCGAGGGATGCTGCTCTTGTTCCCAATCACTTTTAAATGTGACCATTTAGATAAAAAGTGAAAGCTAAAAGTTGAGTTGAACCAGTCTCAAGGTGACAATCAACTAGAAAAACCCATTATAAAATTTTGTCTCAACAGACAAACTTTCCGAATAAGTGAAATGTTGAGGCCGACCTGTGCCTGTCGGATCTCGTGTCGATGTCTATGACGCTGAACATGATGAAGATCGTGTAGCCGGCGACGCCAGCCAGCAAATGGAACAGTGCATGCAGGTACGGCGTACCTAGGAACCTTTTTTTTTCTCATTCATTCCAGTCCAACCATGAACCTAGGTATAGCCAAAAGTCGCAAAGCAGTCGGTCCGCAAACCAGAAGGAAAAGGCGGCTCCCCAGAGAGTGAGGATTCTCCGGGGGAACGACTCGATTTCCGGCAAACCAGAGCTGAAAACGTAAGGTTTTCGTCAATCGCCTTGATTTCACCATACTTTGTTCCTTCATAATTAATGACGACGGCTGCTGGAACGGAAAACAGCATGAGGGCTACAGCGTTGAGATTTGGCTCGAGGAAACAAAGAGCCGAGATGACCGCCGTAACCACCACTACCGCCCATCGAACAAGTAATCTGCAGGTTGTCAGTGATCAAGATAAGACAATATGACAAGTTTTTTTCAAAATACAAAACTCAACGCCCATGCAAAGAAACATTTTGAAAACTTTTTTGGCGAAATCTCCCTCTCAAAACTCTAGTCGACCTGCGTTCCAACTTGGGACGCTATGAGGTGTGGCCTGTCAGCACCCTCCTTCAGCCAGGCACTGTCTTGATTAAATTTTTTTTTGATGATTTAAATTTTCAATATAGCAATTAATCTATTGCTTTTCTTCTCTTTCCAGAACCTATTTTCTATAGCTCAAGCCAGTTGTGAATCAGCTATAGCTTTTATAATCAATTTTTTCTCATCCCAAAACTTAAACGTACAGTCTTTGGTTGAATTTTTTCGGGAACCATCTCATCACCGGTATGTAGACGACCAAAAAAACGGTGATGATCCAAACCAAAGATAATTCATCCACCAATTGACCTGCGAAATAGAATCATGTTACGGCAAGGATAGTCGAGTGAAAAAATTAACCAAAAAGATTTAGAGTAGCGTGATAATAAGTTGAAGCTAGGCCATTGAATGTGAGCAGCAGCTGGGGCAGCAATAGTCCCGCATTCACATCCCGCACGTATTTCCTCAGCAACAGGCAATTGAGAAGAGGCAGGACTATTATGGGCAGGTTCGTCACCTACAACATGAAGAGTTTTTTTCAAAGGTTTTGGAGTTTTTATTAGATTTGCGAAGATTTATAGTCTAATCAGGGCTGGGGCAAATAACAGTCGCAAAAAACTCGTGACGGTCAGTGTCGAATATGTTTCAATGACAAATAGTTGACTAATAAAACGTCATTTCGGAATTCAAAAACAATTTTTCACTTCTTTTACTTCCAGGTTTTTCCCCTCTATCAGAGGTGAAGGATTGGGAAGGCAGCCCTTGGCCAAGCGATAGAAATGACAGCCATTTAGCCAAGCGATAGAAATGAGTCATTGACTTATTATTGAAATAGTCATTTCTGCTTTTGGACGTTTATGGTTTGGCAGGCAGGGCGGCCAGTGGGCAGCCATCCTCCATCTCCGACCTCTATAATCGTTGAGCTAGCTCACAACTAACCGTATTTGCGAACTCGGCGACCATGGGTAGGGTCTGATACTTGTAGGCGCTCTCGCACCAAGCGTGCCCTGACTCGTACTCAAACCACTTGTTCATAATCGAATAGAAATGCCTCTCCTGAAACTTTTCGCGACAAAATACAAAGTTAAAATCTTTTAAGAAACGAAAAATTCATAATTCGAGCGAGTTTTCCAAGTAAAAAGAGACTCGATCAAACAAAAAAAAAAATGAAGATAAACTGCCTGGTGACGTTACCGTTGGACTCCGCCCGAAGTCCCACCCTTTTTTCTTTCGTTCCAAATTGTCAGGATTCGTGCCAGAGAAAGTGAGAAAACGAAAATACTGAGGAATCACATGCTATTTTTTGGCTTCTCTGATAAGGACTCAACCCTAAAAAATCCTTACCAAAGTTTCGAAAAAAGCAGCCGCCATGTGCAGCAAGCAAAATAACTCACTTAGTTTTTTTCTTTTACTGAATTGCGAAAATCGCCCTGAAACCATTAGAAAGAAAAAAGCCTGAGAAAATACAATTCTGAGGCCAATATGGCTCTATGAGACAAGGTGTAGATGTTTTACCACCTGACTACATCACTTGAAACTACATGAAAAGCGGGTCGTCGACAGGGCAAACAGCAGAAACCGTAGGCTAAAACTTGCGCGCACACTTTACGCGTATTTGTAATGTCTTTCACTTCTTGTTAAACTCTTCTTGCTTTGGTGCTGGACAGAAAAACCAGTTCGAGAACCGAAAATCGCTCGAAACCCTATTGCAAGCTCGTATCTTCCTGTGTGAATACTGATGCAAATAGACTTAATTTTCTTGAAAACCTGATATACGTTTTCCGAGAGAGTCGATGAGCTGTCAAACCAAAGAGGCACCAAATTTAAAGTTGCTTTTGAGCTCCTACGTCACAAAAACGGCGCAAGTCTGTGAAACTCTTAGTTCAGGTTTGACAGACTCCGCCTCTTTCGACTCTAGCCAAAAAGAAAAATTTTTTGTGTTGAAATAAGATAAGAAAGTTTCAAATAAAAAGAACCTTCAGTACATGATTTTTTTTTTGGTCGATGTTTCAGGTCTTGCTACCTTACAAGGAAGGTCATTTTACTTTGAGGTAGGGAATACTCTGCCTGAAATTACGTCAGGATACTCTTTGAAAGGCAGTCTGAAGATTCTGAAACTCTCAACATGCACAACCTCCTAGTTTTCGAAAAATTAAGGCTCAAACGCCCAAAATAGCCTATTTTAACTGGTTTTCAGAGTTTTGTTTGACTTTGAGCTGTCTTCTCTAAAAAACTAGAATTTTGTGCAGGTTGAGACTGCTAAGACCTTTATCTGGTACATCAAGAAACGTTCTGAAATAGTTTCCGAAATTTCCATACTACAAAGGGAAATGATTTTCCTTGTTAGAATAATTGGGCTTAGTCTTATCTGACCTATTGAGTTTGTTGAAAATTTCTCTGAGAATTCCAAAAGGTTTTTTCTTTCATAATAACGTCTTTGTAGGTGGGTCCGAAATTATTTCAAAGAAAATGAATAATTACACATTTCAAAGCAAGAGATACACATCTAAAATTTTTTCACTTGGTTTCGAATTGAACGCAAAACTAAAGTTTTTACAACGCGAAACATTCTTTAAAAATTTAAGGATCACCTCGCTCGACCTCTCGACGCCGAAAGAAACCGGTTAGCTACTTGTATGCTGTAAATTTGGACATCTGGGCAATGGAATGGGACGTTAAAGGTTCGTTGAAACGGCCAATTTCCGACTTCTTTTAGTTTTCTAATTTGAAAAAAAAACTATGGATTTTGAGGCATGCTTCAGAAAACTTTTCTTTTTTTAAATAATGAAGCCACACGTTTTTTTTTACTCGTAGTCCTGGGATTGGAACTTCATCTTCCTAGAGAAGATCTTTTCAGACTTTCAAAAACAGAGTTGACGGACTTAGCGGAAATTTGAACTATGATTCTGCGGAAAAAGCCTTTTGAAATATGACTTGAGTACTGTTTGCCAGAGACACTTGAACAGTTATAGTTGTTCGCTGCCAACCTTTCGACTCGCTTTATTTTTTGTCATTGTTTACGTATTAAAAGTTTGACTTTTTTGGCGGTATCTAAAAAAACTTAAAGGGAGCACGTGACAGAAGTCTCATTTGATTGAGAAATTAGGGATAAAAGGAAAATTTCCTATAAGGGTACTTGTATGAATTCTGAAGAACCCAAATCTACACTTTCTGTTTTAAAGACTACAAGCTCGAAAATATATTAGGACAACTTGACATATTCGGAAGAAAACAAGAATCAAAACTCTTGTTGTTGGAGATAGTAATTTTCCTTCAAAGTACATCTCAGCAATATTCAGGCTTTCCCCCTCGTCCAACACAAAGTTCCGGGATACTTTGAAGACCCTTCGAGAAAAAGAAAAAAGAAAAAATAATGAAGTGAAAACAACGACGTCCTAGGTTACCATGTGAATAAATAGCCTCTGCGAGACATTGGTTGCCCAAACAAGCCTGAAAGAAAACAAGAAAACAATGCGAATTGCCCAAACAACTACGAAACTGAACAAAACGTTCTTCTGAACCCAGGGAACGCGTTTTCCGAATTTACTTTATTAATAACGGACCAGCCTAGTTCTTTTTTTCGTTAAAAGAATAGCCTAGATTTGTGAGATCGAGATTGGCCGAGTCGATTATAAAGTCAGAAAAGTGTTCTCTCTGCGGATGCTCTTCAATCTAGATGCGGATAACGATATTATCAGGTTGAAATGTTTTTCATTGAAAAATGTGTCAAAATAATATTTAAAACTTGACGGTAAAAGATGAAATAATATCACTAAAAAAAATTGAGCATCAAGTTTACTTTAAACGCGTCTCCTTTTCATGGTTTCGTCTTACTGAAAACAGCTATAGCTGATTCACGAATTCAACTTGTAACGGAGTTGATCTTTGACAAGATTGCATAGGAAACATTTAATTTCATGACGCCTTATCAGTTGCAAGAACGTAGCGCTCTTTGCGATGAATCATCTAAGAAAAATGAAATTGATATCAGTTCATAAGATCATATAATCTACAAAAATGGCGTAGATTATCTGCAGCGTTTCATGAGGAAGCCATTCTTTGAGTTTTCACTCCAGAGAACGCGTTTTGCGCAAGGCAGATCAGGGAAAAACTAGTTTGATAAAATATGAACTTTCATCCTTTTCTACTTTTTGACTACTAAATAAATTCGAAGAGAAAGCTTCCAAAGGAAAAAGTGCGGATAATTCCTTACCAGCCTTCATAAATCATGATCAATTGCAGACAGCGCAAAGGGTGATCAGATGATAAACGAAAAAAAAAAAGTTTTTAATAAAATCACTTGAATGCTGTAAACCAATTCAAAGACAAACTGGCACTTTGAAAGAAAAAAAAATGTTACGCACACTATAGTGTTCTCACAAGTATACATTTTTTTGAGTCTACACGAGCAAAAATAATTTAAATTTAGTACTTTAAATAGTTTTTCAGAATTTATATCGATTGATTCGTATCTTAAACATACCCAATCACAATTTCCTCATCCAGCTTGGTTTCTTCACAATGAATTATTCATATCCTCTAGGTGTGGAATTTGAAAGATCAAGTTAAATCTGTCGTGAAAAAATAGTCAGAACTGGTTTTTTGAGGTGGTATAAAAAAAAGGCCAGCGAAAATTCGACCGGTGACTTTTTTGATCTTTTCATATCGCTGCGGAACTTTCCGACAGCCACTTTTCCGATGAATTCCTTTCCGACTTTTTTTCTCGATAAACTATTCGTTTTGAATCCTCCTATATGAAGTAGGTATTTGACTAATAATTGAAACACAAAGAAATAGGGGAAAAAATTGTTAAGAGATGTTTTATAAACCGAAAAAAATAAGGGAAAAAATTCGGAAAGGTGGCCGTCGGAAAGTTTCCTGGCAGTATGAAAAAATCGGAAAAGTCGTCGTTCGAAAATTCGTTAGATTTTTTTTTTCATACCACCTTTTTTGACAGTGCTCCGTTTTTTACGGTTTCGCTTTCTAGCTATGTCTTCTGTTATAATCTCTTTTTCGATAGAAACGTATGAAGAAGCGAAAAAAAAAATCAGGAACAATAGCAAAAGGGAGCAATGTTGTTTGGGTTAGGTTAGGTTAGGTTGAGCTAGGTTTTGAGCTGAGACCTGGATAGAATAAAGTATTTTTCTGAAAAAACTTCTACAAAAAATTTGTCTTTTTTTGAAATAAAAAATGGTAGGTGAAGTTTTCAAACGCAAAAGCCACAGTTTGTCGAAAGACGGGTTGTTTCGCCGCCATCGTTGTCGTCGTCCTCGCTGACGGCGAACAGGTATGAAGGCCTGGGGGGCGAGGCGCCGCCAGCGCCGCGTCAAAATGCTTAATTGTAGTTCGTCTTACGGCTATACCGTCTTTTCTCTTGTGTCGTTTATGGGAATTATTAAATAAATAAAAACAAGAACACTGGTTAATCGGGTGAAGCAGTTCATTCGCTGGTACTTTCGGTGCGTAACTTGGGCCTGCACCGTGCAATATCGGGGCTTTTTGGGTGCCGCACTGGGGCAGCACGCTAAAAGCACTGTTTTGACACCTATGCACCCGTGTGGCGCCAAAAAATCACCGATGTTGCACGGTGCAGGCCCAAGTTACGTACCGAAGTGCTCAAGGCTAGACCGCACCGTGCGCCATTCTGGCAGAGTATTGGACAACGATTGTGGACCGCAACCCGCGCCGACGACTAACTCTTCGATTATACCATGATTCAGCAGAGAGTTTCTTCATCTTACTCTGAAGACTGAATAAATTGAAATTGAATTGAATTGGTGAATCGGGAGGTCGATGCGAGTAGCTACCGGGTAGCGACCTGACAGTCGCGATTTTTACCGGATAGTCTTTCATATCTTCTCATGTGGCTTTTTTTGTTTCAGCATAAGCCAATAAGAAATCAAATAAAATCATTTATTTTGTTTTTTAGTCTGGTGTGATCGACTAGCCGGTGAAAAAAAACTTTGAAAGCTATAACGAACAACCGCCTTTGGCGAAGTAGAAGTCCAAACGTGTAGTCGAAAGAGTTGAAAGCACGGTCTTACGGTCATTCGCCTCGTCCTTCTGCGCGTAGTCCAACCAGTTGCGCCTTGACGAGCTCAGAATGTAGTGGATGTTGTGTTGGAGCCCGGAGACCGTGCTCTAGGTGGAAGCCTCGGAATGAGAGAGACCACTTCGAGTGAAGATTTTACACGGTCGATCAATTTTCTCCAAGAACGCTTCGGAAGTCATCCCGCCAACGTGATCGTGGTCTTCCGATGGACCGTTTCTTCTTCCAGCGACGCCATTCTACGATCTTCTTTTCACGTTTCTTCTTCCGTCACGATTTTATTTCCGAAAAACTACTTTCTTCATGTTGCAACCATCATCACGCATCTTCAACCTTTCGAGGAGCCAACTGTTTGGTCTTCTATCCATTAAAGTCACACCAAGCATTCTTTCATCATATTTCTCTGCGCTGTCGCTAAGAGGCTCTCTGTTTGCGTGTACTGTTTGCCCTCTCCACGAGCCAGGCGCTATCTCGGGCATTATCGTGTCAGGACCCTTTTTTCGATGGCTCAAGCCAGCCGTGAATTATCTAGAGAGCTCCAGTGAGAAAAACCCATTCCAACTCAGATGCCCCTCCGAGCGCAAAAGTTCAAACACTACTTTTTGATATCGCTTTTTTAATTCTTTTTTTGAATTTTTTATTGATATTTCTCATTACTAATAATTGACGTTTTGCTTGTTCTGAACTTGTATTGAAGGCATATGGGTAGGGGGCGCAAAGCCCCGCCTCTTCATGCCACCAAAATGACGATTTTTTTGTTGCAAAAACGGTTTTGAGGCTTTTATACTAGCTAAAGTCCCACTTTAAAAATAAACTTTTTCATTTAATCTATGTAATCGACAACGCTCTACAAGACTGAACAACTTTTAAACTATGTATTTTTCAAAAATAAGCGAAAAAGTAAGATTTAACACGAAGAAAACTGACAAGTTTCACAAAATCATCGCGTTTCAGAAAACCAAGTGAGGAAAGCTTCTAAATTTTGAGTATGTTATACATTAACACTTTCTTTATTTTTTGAATGAAAATTTAAAAAAATCTAACGACGCGAAAAAAAAAATCGAAGCTTGTAAAGGGACACCAAACTTTGAAGCTGAAATGCGAAAAAATTTCAGCGACATGGTATACTTTTTATTTGATTTAAAAACTCACAATGTGTTCAAAAAAATAAAAAAATTCAGAATAAAAAAATAATTATTGGGACAGCGAATCAAATTATATTTGAATTTTACCAAAAACCTCCTTTTTTTCGCCTGCCTCGTTGACGCATGAGAGAATAGGATCGCGTTTATATTTTTGATTATGTTATTAAGCGTTCAAAACTCTATCAATGGAAAAATTATGAAAAAAATCAAACGACGCGAAAAAAATAACGGCTTCGAAAACCTCGAAAAAATGGCAATTTTTTTTTGAAATTTTGGAAGAATTCGTGCAAGGGTCTGTAGCTGTGTTTGTGTCAAATACACCGATGCGCCATTTTAAATGTTGCAGGAGCCGTTTTTCGGAGTCAAATTGCACATTTTCCTGTTTTATTTCGAAATAACATTATTTTTCATTTTTTCTTTTTTCCAAACCAAATGATAATATGTTTTCTGATTAGAAAAATAAGCTGAAAATTCCTTCTGACCTTTTTTTCTAAGTAGTTTTTTTGATATTTTTATCAAAAAAATGCTTATGAGGATTGTACAAAAGATTCATACCAAAACACGAAGCTCAGTTCGGACAACCTCTCAGAACAGAAAACCGATTTGAAAACGGTTCAGAAATGCGCAAAAACATTTAAAAAGAAAGCGTGCGGCAGCTGGTAAACCGTGAGATTTCGCCTCCAGTTGAACGCCGCGCGCGCTAGTTTTTTGGCCATAACTTTTTTCTTAGTGGACCTTTTTTTCTAAAACTAAACGGATTATGAAAATGGACAGTCTCCTCTATCGAACAGTGTGAAAAACATATTTTTTGGATCGTTTTGAAGAAATGGCCTGCGGACCCTACATATGGGCAGTAAAAAACGGTGTTTCAGTTCAAAGCAGTACTTTGTAGAGCTTTTCATTGCGAATCGAACGGTGAACTTGAAAATGTACAAACTTCCTAGTTTTGGAGAAAAAATAATTCAAAGTCGGAGAAAGGAAAGTTTGAGTTCCCGCCAAAAGGACGCTTTGCAGTAAAGTTGCTCTATGGACAACAGGCTTCGCCATTTTTCGGATTTTCGCTTTTTTTCTTCGTTTCTTTCGAATTTCAATTTTTTCTGTTGTAACCGACGCAATTTTTGTCATGAAAACTTTCTTTTTATAAGAAGTTTGCAAATTCTGATCGTAAAATGCTGCTCTGCCGAAAAATGATGATTTTACCCAGGTTTCGATTAGGATAACGATATATTGTGCCAAGCCAGCCGGGAACGGGCTATAATTTCGCGGAAATTTATTCGAAAACGGCATAAGAGTTTTGTCAAACCTGTCCCTTTAAACCAGAAATTTCATTTTTTTTTTTCATTCGAAAGTTGCTTTAGACGTTTCTTTACGCGGTTTCACATTTCAGACGCGGCTTCACTTTAGGAAGTCAGTTCCATTATGCCAAAACTACTTCGAACGCGGGATTAAAAACCTCCAGCCCCGCACTTTCTCACTTTTTTTCAAAGTGTATAGCCTATTCCGCGCCAGCTTGTCCCGTTTTTCTTACCGCCAAAAAGATCGTATACCAACTTAGATCAAATTTGACCAACTTCGCTTCACGAAACTTGGCTTTTGTTTTGTGTTTTTTTTTTTTTTGCAGTTTTCGAGAGTTCCGAGCGAGGCGGTCACGTTTTTGAGCAGAAAAAAAGGTTCCCTCAAAAACAGTTTTCTTAGCAATTCTGCTTTTAAAACAGCAAGAAACAAAGGTCTTGAAGCGAAGTTGGTCAAATTTGATCTGGCCTTTTGGCGGAAAAAAAACGTGACAAGCTAGCGCGGAATGGCTTATACCGAAGCCTTCATTAATTGCGCTAGACTATCAAAACATTTTTTAAAATATGACTTACGTTACAATATTGTATTCTTTTACGGTTCTTTTACGGTTGTGTTTTGTAAGTAGATCAACAATTTTTGCACGCATGTTCAAGGCGGCCGGTCATATTACGGTAGTTGAGATATGTTTTTGGGTGATAAAATGAAATTTTGTGTACTTTTTGTGACGTAATTTATCTTGTAACCTCGATAAATAGGTCCTTAACAAATTGAAAGGAAAAAAAATTTAAAAAATTTTCTGGTTCCGAAACTGACGGCGCAATGTTGACCGGCCCCCGGCCGCCGTAGCACTATCTTAAACATGCGTGTTTGTCAAAGATTTATTCGCATTTGCTCAATTTGTGTGTTTTTTTTCTGTTCCAAACCTCGAAAAATTATAACGCTTTTTCGAATTCGATAATTTGACTTTTTTTGTTTTATTTCTGAATGAGAATTTGATGGAACTCTGCTGGTAGTTTCCTGGGGAATTCGGAGAACATTCCTGTCGAATTCATTTTTCACACGATTTTGTTTCTAGCAGAAATATGGTGGACAACCGACAGGAATGCTACTATGGTGTAACGGTTGTGTACTTCAGTTTGCAGCCTGAATACTTTTAAGCGCCATAACTCGGTTCAAAAACGGAAAATGTTATACTCTTTAAATCACCTATGATCAGAAGGCTCTAGAAAATTTTTTTTAGCGAGATTTGATTAAATCATCAGGCTTTCAGGCTCGCTCTTTCCGTACTTCTGTTTTCCGAGAAAAAAAGATGTGAGAGAAGAACGGCGAAATTGGGCTTTGGTCGCTGCGTTTTATATTTCCCTCTTCTTCTTTTTTTTTCTCACGGCGCATGTACGCCCCTATGTTTATAAGGACAACAATTTTCTGGTGTTTGGCCTTTATCCAGCAGTTACCTGGGATACGGAAGATTTACGAAAATTTTAATAATTTTCTCCTGCAAAAAGCTAACTAATCTGTGGTTCCTAATAAAATTTTTCATGTTTTGAAGTTTACCGTCATTGAACACGATTAAAATTTTCTCAGTCTGAAAAAAACTTTTCCATTCAACCGCGCTGGAAAGGCCTCTTCGAAATCTTTTTCTAGGAATTCCTTTTTAGCTTCTTCCAAAAGTTTCTTTGTGGGGTTTTTCTAAATAACAGTTTCCCGTTTGGTTAGAATTGCGAGTTCCACTTGTTTTTTTTTTCAGTTTTCCAATCGTCAAACGAATTAGAGATCTTTTGTAATGTAAAAAGTGAATTCCATTTTTCTTTCAGACTGAAATTTTCAAAATGTAAAGAGTACCCAAAAAATTCTGGGCTTTTCTAGTCGAAATGCACTTTTCGTTGAGTCAGTCCAAATGGCGAAGAAAGAGAAAAAAAAACTGTTTACGCCGGGTTTCAGAGACCATAGAGCACGTAAACAACTCGGCGCTGCAACCATCAACAACATCCACAAACAGCTTGCAAAGCTCCGCCTTCTAGCTCTGTTTTGTTGAGCTCTGTGCCACCAACAGAGTCGGTCAGAAGCGCTCCTGCCCTCTATTCCATTCTTCCATTTTTCGTAGCCTTTGAGAGTTTTCAAAACTTTCTGCTTTTCTTCGCTTTTCAAGTATAAGGAAATTGTCTAAAAAAGCTGACTGGGCGAGTATGTAGAGTACTAAAAAGAAATCTTTCGTCGTATTTTCGAAAACTCAATCTGAATTAGTTCACTTTGTGTGGGTTCGCTGAACGTTTTTGGCCACCTTCTCATGTAATTTTTTTTGTTTTCCAGAAATCTTCTCGAGCCTTTCAGATCTGAAATGTACAGGCCAATCTACCACTTTCGCCCGGTAAATTTCGGATTTCTGAGTTTCTCATTCAAATCCTTTATTTGCAGGAAGAGCCGAAATGTTGCATGATCCCGGCGCGTGTGAGTTTTTTGTTTATCTCTGTTATTTTCGTAGTTTTGGGAGCCTCTTCGCGCAGAATTTGTTTGAGCTAAGAAGTTGTGAACTTCTTTTGTAGTTATTATAAAGTTTTTTTTGAAAAGCTTTAACGAAGAGCCTGAAGAAGACTGAAATACCGAGGTGAAAATTGGAAATTATGAAAGTTTTCAGGGGCTGCTCATTGTCCTGGCTATTCTGACAATGGGAGCTGTGTCGATCGGGTACGCGTCTGGGTCGATTCTTATCAACCTTGCAGGTCTCATTTTTGTGGTAAGCTCGAAAATGGTTTTTTTGAAGAGTTTATTGTTTTATAAAGCTCGTTCTTGGTGTTCTTGCGATCGCAGGAACCATTCACAACAGCCCTGCCGCTCTCCTTGTCGTTCTCGTCGTTTTCGTGAGTTTTATTTTTATCTGTTTTTCCCCAGCCTCAATCGAAGGCAAACATTTTTTCAGTGGATCGATCTCATCATGACATGCGTGTTCCTGCTGACTGTGCCCATTTACGTCGCCTGTTAGTTTTGATGCCAATTGTAAAGAGTACCCAAAAATTTTGAAAATTTTATTAGAGACAGCACCGACAATGGAGCTGGAAAATTTAATTCTATGAGAAAGTTTTTTTTTATCATTTGAACAGTCCTACAAAACCAATTTATGTAGTCGATTCGACCAAGCTTAAAATGCGATAGACGCATGGCTTCTGTAGTATAGGCCGCTCCGCGACAGTTTGTCACTTTTTTTTCCCTCCGAACTAGAGAATCATTCCGTCCTAAACGCGCGGGATGTTTATCTGCCTGCGTCTTTTATTCGGCCTACAATTTCTGTTATATTTAAGGCGCAGGCAGAGATAAATATCGCGAGCATCGAAAAGAAGGGTTTATGTAGCTCAGAGGAAAAAGAAAGTCGTGATGAGCTGACCCGGAATGGGCTTTTCGTTGTTTCCCGAATTTCTCAACAGATGGGTCAAATACGATGCGCTAGCTTCATAGACGATTTCTTGGTTTCAGCGGCCGTCGGATCTGGCCATCACCGCAACGTTACGACGGCCTTCTCGCGTCCCTACTACATTCCCTACGAGAAGACGGCTGAAGAACACTTTGCCGCCGCTCTTACCGCCGGATACACTCTCCAGTTTTTCGCCTTCATTCTCCTCACCAGTAAGTCTTTGATATTTTCACGGAAATTTAAAATTCGCTCATCTGTTTTCAGTCGCGTTGTTCAAAGTTATGCTGGTGAAGCGCGTCCACTCGTTTGCCCGTCACTCGATCGACATTGCCGCCTAAACTTTTCGAAATCAAACAGCTGCTTTCATTATCATCAACTTCCCATCCAATATATCCGGTTGGCAATGCTTTGCTCCTTGAACTTGCATGTTTTAGCAACACATTTTTTTTCGGTTTTTAAGCTAAACCCACACTATTGCTCCCCAAACTGTAAATGTTGTTCATACGTTGCATCATTGGCTGAAACGTTTTGTATGCATTGTTGTACAAGCTTTGATTTTCGATAGAATGAAACCAATTCTCAGTTTTTGATAATAGCTTTGTCTTCCCGTTCATATCTAAAATTTATCTCTCGACAAAGGCATCTCAAATATATGAGTGCTTTATCATTATATATACATCTTTTATGCTTATTTCAATCCGAATCAAGTGCATCATGTGATCTCTGTTTGTATTTTGTTTTAATAAATTTTCTTTCGAAATAGTTTTTATGTGGTGCACAAAGTAATTCTGCGATCTTTAATCGAAAAATACTTACTCACTTTGATGCTTCGATGGTTCGTCTTCGGTGATGATCTTCCTTCTCACTAGGGGTATGGTCTTCCCCTAGTCAGCGCGAACCACACGTCCTCCATGCATCCCGGTCTCTGGCGACGGTCATCCAGTGGCGTCCATGACGGCTGATGTTCTTCTTGAAGTGGTCAACCCATCGGGTCGCTGGTCGTCCACGGGTGCGCCTCGTGTTTCTGCGAATCCAAGATGTTACTCTCGTGCTCCAACGGTCGTCTGTTCTTCTGATGACGTGTCCTGCCCATTGTTTTTGCCGCGGCTGATATGCTTTTCGAGGTCTCTGGTTTGGGATAATTGCCGAAGGCCTGTGCTTCTCTGGTTTTGGTTCCATTGTTGGTAGCGGGTGGTGCCGAGAAGAGCTCTTTTCAGTGCGCGATATGCCGTTCTTAGGGCGGAGGAGGTCTCCTTGGAGTCTGGCCAAGTTTCGAATCCGTAGGACAGGGCGGGGAAAGATTTTTTCTAATAAAACCTAAAACTATCTTAGCATGACCCAATAATTGAGGCCCGAAGCCCGGACCGCCCAATTTGACCCAAAAGCTTGTATTCCGGCAAAATTTGGACTTTTTTGTTCAGCGGGTCACCCACCGCGTTCTGAGAGAATATAGTCTGTTCAGATTTTTAATTTCGAGTGCAATGACGTCATTAAAAAACACTCTGTGGATGGCTTGCTCTCTGATTGGTTTATCGCACCATTAGGGGCGGAGCTTGAGCGACGACTTGACATTCAAAATCTGAACAGACTATAGTACTTCTGACAAAGTACTTTCAGCTGCCCAATGAAACACAACTGCGAAACTTCATTCCAAGCGCTTTCATATGTTTCGAAATGGCGATTTTCGCTGATCTTCTCTGAGGTATAGCTGATTCACGGGTAGCTTGGGACGCAAAAAGGCGTGGCCTGTCTGCACTCTCCACCAATTGGCACTCTCCACCAACCAGGGCACTGTCTCGTCTCTTTTCGTGGCAGGACTCTTTTCTCGATGGCTCAAGCCAGCCTTGAATCAGCTATAGCCTGTCTGCGCTCTCCACGAACCAGGTACTCTCTCGTGCATTATCGTGTCAGGACCCTTTTTCGATGACTCAAGCCAGCCGTGAATCAGCTATACAGACGTTTTTTGTCTCCAGTGATCGTTCCAAGAGGACCTGCTGTTTGGTGTGACAGATAAAGTTTTAAAAGAATACATCGTGAAAATCTGATGCAATTTTTTCCAGAACACGACAGAAAAGTCTTCATGATGATCTACAAGAGATCGTATTCAACTTTTGAGGTTAAAAAAGCCTGTTGAAGAGGGTCGACTTTTGGAAGTGGAGTAAGTTAAGTTTTTCAGAACATATTTACGAACAGCTATTGAATTTCTACGAGTGCGCTTCTACCAGTGACCATGAGAATGATCAGATGCTTTGCTGGTTTCAAAGGCCAAACTGACTTCAGAAAATTTTCTGTGAGGTCTGCGAATAAATAGATGATCAAACTATGTATTAGCGCGGCCATGCCCTACTGTCCAGTTTTCCTTAATTGAAGAAACTGATACCTCTTAAATTTTCTTTCATTCTGGTCGACACCAGGTGGTGTTCCTAGAGGCTAAAGCTCATTTTGATTCGTTTTTTTCTCTGAATTTCTGAAATTCAACCATTCCTTCTCGGCTTATTGAGTTCTATACTTGACCACGTATGGGTCTGTACAAGACCGGACACTTTTCAATAGCTCTTTGATTAAGAGATCAATTATGGTAAAAGTATCAAAAGCGAAAGATATCCGCATAGTGTAAACACTGGTTTTTACTCACCAGCCAAATTTCGAACGGCCGGAAATTCCCATCCCACCTCGTTTAGGCTACAAAATTCCGTTTGGGTAAATTTTACGTTTCTAACAAACACTCGGTTCCCAGAAGCGGGAAAAAACTTCATGTAAACAAGGCGGAAGGAAATGTTGCGATATTTGACCAAATTAGTCGACCCTCAGTCAGTAGTTTTAACATTAACCTCAGTGTAACTCTCTAATAGTGAAAATTGATCCTTTACTATCCAACAGAAAACGATCTATTTATCCGAGTGAGATATTCGAAAACGAGTGTTACTTTTTTGAATGAAGTAGAAAAACGTATTTATTTGAGCGGTAAAAAATCAAGTTGACCACCTTTTTCGACCATAAAATAACTTCTTCCGGAGGTTAGAAGTCTATTACCATAGAGGCGAAGATGATAACAGAGAACGCATTTGCTCTTTGACAAAATTTTTAGCAATCGTTTCGCAGTTCAACTTTAGGATCAACCTTCTCAAAAATGTATACATTTGCAAAAAATATAGTTTTTTTCCGTTTCTGTTATGGCTTCTGCACAAGGTGTTTAATTTATGAAACGTGTTAAACGGATAATTGAGCGAGTCTTGCTTTAACATCCTGAAAAAATTTATTAGTGTGCATCGTGCTTCATTGGTTTTTTTGTCTTGTTCATTTGGCATTAGTGTGTCGGTTTCACAAGAATCCTCAACAACGTGAACGATTAGCAGGAACCAGAAAATAATTTTTTTGGGTTCGAAACAGTTGACTTTCATTTCTCAATGTATTCGGATCAGGCATGCACGAGGCACGATCTCGTCTCGTCAGATTTTTCGAGATATCTCGAGTCAAAAATTGACGGTCTCGTCTCGAGATGCAGAAATAATTTTAATCTCGTCTCGAGACATTTCGAGATGAGAAAAAAAGACGTTTACTGTTTAAAAACTGTTCATTGCATCTTCAATGTAAGAATACATGTGCAATCGACTTTCATTGGTTTAACTGTGTTTATACGGAGACTTCTCTTTTTTGCGTCCAAAAACACATTATTTGCGCTGAATTTTTAAAAAGTTTTGGGTTATGCTCACCTCACGGTTCGAATCCAACACATCGTTTTTGAAATCACTAGATTCTACTAAAATCTAGATTCTATCATTCTTACTCAAAAGATAAATCGCTCACCTAATTAAATAATTTAAAAATTCTAACTACTTAAAAAACAAAGAACAAACCTAAATACCAAATGGGGGTTAGCACCGTCTATTCAGACAATCTTTTCCTCCAGCCGTTTCCACAGATCAGCTGTTAGATTTATTTAATTGTTTCGATGTTTTATTTTTTTATTTGTCAGGCAGATTGCGGAATGGCGAATAAACACTTGGAATGAAAATGAAATGAACATGAAAAAGTCGATTTGGGTCCAGGAGCAACAGTACTCGGTTAGCCCTTGTAGCCATGAGCGAAAGCCTTTTGCGTCAAGGGAAATAAATTGGATTTTTCCTTCAGAGCTCTCTAATGTCTATTGTGCACGAATACTATAAGAATATTTTGCTGATTCCACCACAAATAAAACTTTCGACAATAGAAAATGACAGCTATGTGAAGCTCCAAAGGGAGACAGAGTTCAAAAATGTCTGTCACTCTTTTCGAACTTTTTTTTAAATGGCTATAAACTCGTGCCGAAAATCTAGATTGATTTCTTTCTTTCTTTCCTTCTGCGCATCCTACGCAAATGTTTCAGACAAATGAAAATAGGCTTTCTCATAAAAATGACTAACTTTCGAAGCGCTTTTGTAATTAGCGCCTCTACGTAAGCCCAACTAAACTTTCAAGTTTGTTTTTTTTTTCATTAATTCTGTTAAGTTGAGACCAAGAAATCGCACATCTCTCTCTCTGATGAGATAGACTCATCGTTTTTTTCCCTCCATTATTACCAATCAATTAAGCGTCGAACTTTAGCTACTTCAGCAACTCGAGTTTTTGTCGATTTGTGGTGGCGGTTTACGGTATTAACTGGGCGGTCTCAAGTCTATCACTTCCTTCCGACTTGTACGTCACATTCTGTGTTCGCTCCGAGCACTGTGTCTTCTCTGCGTGTCGATTTTCATTTCTAATTTTATTTTTCGTTTTCGTAGGTTAATCTTAGCAATAGAATACTTCTCATAACTCACCAAGAGAATGTAACAGACAAAATTTTCAAAAAAAGAGTTTTATGCCGCGAAGGAGGCAGTTTTTGATTGAGAATATGGAATCGTATGCAAATTTTTCATCGAACTTATTCATGAGCTCCAGAATCGATAGTCCTAACATTTACTGCTCCCATGCCTTTAAAGGATAAAAACCGTAAATAAAATTTTATTCGAGTTATACGTTTATGTGAACGACAAAGTGTTGCATTCGACGATTATCGCAACAGGTTCAGGTTATGGCGACCATAGGTACTGTAATGCTGGTCGCCACGACGACTTCAGCTCCGGCGAGTTCGGCATCGCCTGCACGCGTGTACCACTGGCAGTACTTGAGGAGCCCCGAGAACTATGTGTATCTCGTGTTTATTATCAACTACATTTTCATCATTGGTGTCGTTCTCAAGTCTAAAAAGAATTATTCACGCTCGGCCTTTTTCATGATTTTTGTCGCCTCCGGTTAGTTTGAACCCATTTTGATTTTTTCGCTCTTCGATTTTCGATCAGACTTTAGAAAATAATTTTAGGCGTCTTTGACATTATGCTTGCCTTATCCACCATCGGCAACAATTTGTACACCTATATTGGTTTCGGTAAGGGAAGCAAGAGTCCAAAAAAAATTTCCTGCGAAAAAAAAATGTTCAGGCGACGATTATTGGTTTTTGTTAATGTTCATGAAAAGCCTCTCGGGAACCAATTGGTACACTCACTTGTGGGGTTCTTTCTTGATGTCTCTCAATCAGCTCTCCGCTCTTATGTATCCAACGAAGTTTTCCTTGGTTTGTGTTTTCTCCGTGTGAAGGAGTAAAAAATGAGGACTTTATTTTGCCTTTGGGGATATTTGAAACAAGTTTTTTCAAACATTTTTTCGGGTTTTGCTAATAAATCGATTCTGTACTGAGAAACTTTCAAGGGGTTATAGTCTGTTCATATTTTGAATGTCAAGTCGTCGCTCAAGCTCCGCCCATAATGGTGCGATAGACCAATCAGAGAGCGAGCCATCCAGTGTTTTTGAATGACGTCATTGCACTTGACATTAGAAATCTGAACAGACTATATAAGAGGTTGCATAGGGGCCCTATGAGGGACCCCTACGCTCGCCCTGCTCGAAAAGGTGTCGTAGGAGCCCCTATAGGTTTCGAGCTCCAAGGGGTCTCATTACAATGAGAAAGATTTTTGTGTCAACCTTCTCAATAATCTAGTCAGAAGCTGGACGGCAGGTCAGCGCGTATGCATCAGTTAAGATTGCACGAGCAACTTGAAGAGATCAGACTCGTACTTTGCACCTTCTATTAGGGTGGCAGGAAAGAAATGCGTGTTTTTGATGCCATTTATTTTTATCATAAAAACAAGGTTATCCCAAATCAATTCGAAATGTAATTTCTATTTGTATTAGCACCTCGTCAACAATGCTCACGCAGAGAATGGATACTCTCTCTGACAAACTGGGTCGCCTACGAGTCAAAGAAGTTGCACCCCCAAATTTGGTCTTCATCGGAGTTTTTCAATTTTTTTTTTTCTGGCTGTTAAGCGATCCAATGATTCGGACAGATGATAAATGCAAAGAGCCATGTCTGAGCATTGTAGCGGAAAAAGCAGAAATTTGCAGAACAGTTTTTCTGATTCAGGGCTAACACATTTTCGCAAAAAAAACGAAAAAGCGATATTGTGAAGCCATTTTTCATTTCTCATTTTTTATAATACAGTTTTTGAAAGGAAGTTTTTAGAGCTATTTTTCTTATAGAAAGGCGGAATGAACGTCAGCAAATTATATATCCAATGACGCACAAGGACAAGCCCTTTTTCGATACCGTTCCAAATAATATTGCTTCTTGAATGAATCAGAAGCCGGCAAAAAAGAGCCGCATATCTTTCATGCCAACCTAATAAATACTGTCTAAGGAATTTCGCGCTGGCCTGCCGTCCAGCTTCTGAGTTGTTGATTTCAAAAAGCGAACTGGCTACCCCTAAAAAGTAGTGTATGAACTTTTTCTTCTTTATTCCTAGCCATAAAAAGTTGCAAATATGTGACAAAAATTTCCAGAATTTTAGGAGTTTTCGGAAAACCAAATATGCTGCTCTTTCAGGTTTGGACGAGGAAAAAAACAGCCGGCTACTTGGCTTTTGGCTTTATCGGATCTTTTGTTCTTGATTATCATTTGTTTCTAAACCCAGCAAAGTTTCAAATTGGACCCGACGGCTTCGCGTACTACAAAGGACGTGTCTACAGCTTGGGAGTCGGTCCAGCAGTCGTTTTCCTCGCTTTCATCAATCAGTTTACAGCTCACTCGTTGGGTTTCAATGTCCATAACTGGCTTGTACGTCTTGTTGAATGGCGCCGTTTCCGTGACTACCATGGTCTTGATACGATATAAAACGAGCTCTGACATTCGAAAGTTGATTCAAGAAAAGGTCAGCGAATAAATGCGTTTGTTGTCATAATTTGGGTTCTTTGTGGACTTTGATGCTTTATAAATCGAAAACAAGATCAAATGTGGGAATTTTTTTTTTTTGCAGTCAGGATTATCATAAAAATAATGAAGATTACGAAGCGGACGAGAATGTGGCCGAAATCATTTTGAACGCGCATTTCTAAAAAAAAGATTTACCTTTTTTTTCCAGAGCCTCGTTTTCTTCGCGTGTTTGAGTACCTTGCTCACGCTCCTCGAGCTCATCTACGACTGTCTTGTTGAAGTTTACGGTGATTTCACTGAGGAAAATGCGAACGTCGTCCTTCTGTTCATTTATAACAATGTATGTTATACCTCGTAGGCGTGCCTTGTAAGCAACAATTTACTTACAGTTTTCCTATTACTTTTTCTTTCTTGCTGTGCAAAACGGAGTCACCATTATCATCTTCAGCAAGGTTGGGATTGAATACTCTTCGAAACGAACGCGAAAACTTTTTCAGACCCTCAGGGACGAACTTCTTTCTCTAGTGGTCAGGAAGAAAAGTCAAGAGTTGCCGTCCAGCACCATTTTTATTGTCGCAAAGAGCCAAGAAAACAAGCAATAAAATCAAACATATATATTTTTTCTTTCGTATTTTCTGTAATGATACTTGTTTCATCAAAGCTCACATGACACGTCTGTTTAAAGTGGCCGGTCGTATTACGGTAGTTTGGATAGGTTTTTCAATAATAAAATGAAATATTGTGTATTTTTTGTGACGTAACCTCGAGAAATAGGTCCTTAACAAATTGCAAGAAAAGAAAAAAAATTAAAAAAATTTCCTGGCTCCGAAACTGACTGCGTAATATTGACCGGCCGTAGTACTGTCTCAAACATGCGTGATGAATTGAAAATACATTTTAACCTTTTATTATTTATGAAATTGATGAAAGAATTTAGTATTAGTACGATACAAGGTTGAGGAAACTCTTACAGACTATTTTGTGGAATCATTTTCATCGGAAATACGGAAATTACTTTTAAAAGATTTCTTTCGTGTTTGCTGGTGGTCCAATGGCCATTTGAGAATCACTAGAAGCACGAGCCGTCCAAGGGACCACTCAAATTTTTTTTAACTTACAAAACCGGATTCTAGTGTCTCCGCGTGATATCTGACCATCTGGTGAGTTGCTTTTCTCAACTTCCGCAAGCTTCCGCCGATGAAAACTGTGTGTATTAAGCAAAAGTAGCGCGCCTCAAATGCAAAAATTGGGTGTGGTCTAGAGTTCAACAGCACACGTGGCGACTAATTTTTCAATTATTAACTAATGGATGCAGACAATATATACGGGCGATGCAGACGATTGGCAAATATGGAAAGTAACTACCAAAGTACGATCGTTAAGTTTTTTTTCTTCAAAAATTAACATAATGTTTTTCAATCGTTTTCTTTATGAGTTTTCGATTCTCATTAATTGTCGAATTAACTCCTGATTGGTTGTATATAAATCTTCAGTATTTTTTTTCATCATCACTGACCTTGACTTTGCAAACGAAAGAGAACTTGTTATAATATTTTTAATGCCTTTTTCAAAGTAATTCAAAGTAAACCATTAATAATCAAAGCTACCTTTTCCCTTCAAATTCGACCTTGCGGTATATATTCTGGTAAATCAGCGAGCAACTTTCGATTGTATCAGCACGCATGTTTAAGACAGTGCTACGGTGACCGGTGGCCGGCCGTCAGTTTCGGAGCCAGGAAACTTTTTAAACTTTTTTTCTTTTTCGAAATTTCTCAAGGTTAGAAGATAAGTTACGTCACAAAAAATACACCAGTTTTCATTTTATTATTTAAAAACATAGCTTGACTACCATAACACGACCGGCCGCTTTGAACAGGCGTGTCAGATTAGCAGATTTGATTGAAAAACAGAACTATTGAACGATATTTTCAATTCCTATTGTTTTTTTGTTCACTGTATATGCTAAAGCTAAAAGTACTTTTCTTAAAAGCTCTCTTTAGCTTTTCAAGTCAAGGTTAGTGCCCTCACTATAGTGATAATGAATAAATTTTCTTCAACGACTACGTATGGATAAACTAGGCTTGGGTTCGACTATATATCATCAAAAGATTGAGAAAAATGAATATGGATTATTAAATTTTGAAAATAAAAAACTTAAAGTTCGCGATTTGGTAGTGAACTTACTCACCAAATTGGACAATCGTCTGCAACTTTTTTTCACATACATGCACTGTTCCTAGCGTTTTGTTATATCTGTTTACTTATTCCAACAATGAAAATGTGTTTTTTTCTTTTCGGTCTCGTCCAGTTGACAAATTATTTATTCATTATGTTTAAACTTTTCAGGTTTTTTTGCTTTTTAAATGGCTTTTGAACATAAGGGTTTGCTTCTGAAAACAGTGAGTTGCAATCAGCGAAAGGATTCTTTTGCGAGCATGAATTTAAGGTTTTCCTAGTAACAATTTTATACGTGTTCGCCGCCACACCACCGCCGGTAAATACAAAAAAATCAAAGTTATGCGGCGATTCAGCATGTGAAGGTTTCTATTCCGCAGTTTTTTCAATTGATCAGATTTCGTTTGTAGAAGTTTTGTTCAAAACAAGAGTGAAGCGCGTGATGGGTATTACTGCGGACCCAACCTTTTTGAAGCTCTCTGATGGAGTCGTTATCGATGTAGTGGCAGTCAAGTTTAGCGATCGGGTTGATCTTATGGAAGGAAAGGTAATGATTTCAAGTACCTGCTCTTTTATCCAATATTATTTTGATAGTTACCGGATGGTAGTAAAGGGTTATTTTACTCGGGTGCTATCGACAGCGGCCCTTATGTTGAATTCTTACGTTCGGCCATCGAAATGAAGAAAGAAATGCAATTGATCAGCCAAGACCCTAACGACGCAGGCTCCAAAAGGTTAATTGGTGAGTATCTTCTTCATTTTCAATAATCACCTGTTATACGTTGATATGCTTTTTCTTTTTGATGATTGGATGACCGGTGGTATTGATGGTAGCATGGCCGGTATTATGAAAGAAATACCAGCGAAATTTCAAACGGCGACCTTTCCGATTTTTTTATATTGCTAGGGAACTTTCCACTTTTTTCCCTTAATCTTTTCGGTTTGTAAAACATGTATTAACATTTTTCTCTCCCACTTCTTTGTGTTTTGATCATGAATCAACTACCAACTTCATATAGGAAGATTCAAAACGAAGATTTTATCGAGAAAAAAGTCGGAAAGGGAATAGTCGGAAACTTCTCCGTCGGAAAGTTCCCTAGGGATATGAAAAAATCGGAAAAGTCCTCGTTCGGAGGTAATTTTTTTATCTTACAAAACGAAAAGTGAGTTCCGAAACGCAAGAAAATGGTACGCTGGAAAAGTCGCTCGGTTCGGTCGTTTTTTGTGATGCCTATATTTTCATGTTTTTGAACTTTGAAAAGTTATTTTCGGCTTTTTTTTTAATGGTGTTAACGGTTTTGAGGTGCGTTTTTTTCATATATAATATGACCAGTTTCGAAGCCAGTTTTCGAAGAATTCTGGTCTTTTAATTTACTTTTTTTGCTGCATTTTTCTATTTTTCGCCATGCTCTCCAATCTTAATTAATACTTATTCGCACTTAACATATTTCGATTTCCAGACAAGGCTGACATGAAATTTATTGAAAAAAATAACCCAAATCTTTCGGAACTGAATGTGTAACTACAATCGAGCATTCTACACCTTTTGGACACCTATAAAACTTAGAACTAAAAAAAATTTTGAAGTTTTCGAAAAATGGACACTTTAAAAAAAGCTACCGAACGACTTTTCCAGCATTCCTAAGGAAATTTTTCAAATTAGTAATGAACGCGCTTTTGTGTGTTTGCTTCATAATTCGTTTCTCCGAATAACACGCCACAATAGATACGCATGAACTCTCAAAATATTCAAATAAGTGAGCGAAGTTTTTGTTCATTAGTTTAGGGAACCCATTCTTTTTAGGAGTCATTCATTCGGAGACTGACCTCGTGCGGGACTACAACGCAAAGGCAGCCGTTCTCGCAGCGGAGAATAATTTGCCGCCACCAGATCCTCTACCGATTCCGCAACCACCGCAACAGGGCCACGGGCATAGCCATGGGGCTCATGGTCACAGTCACGGCGGCCACCATGGCCATAGTCATGGCGGTCATGGACATTCGCACGAGAACAACCACGTGCATGAACACAGCCATGTGAAGGAAAAGCCTCAAGAACCGATGGCCCCGTCAAACGTCCAAAAGATGATGGTATTCTTTTCTTTGGGGAGGATCTTTACAAAGTAGTGTTTTGCGAAACATGGAAAGCTGATTTGCACCTGAGTATTATTTTTTCTGTATCTATATTGTTTACTGATTAGAAAAACTCAGAAGTTCCTCAATGGGATTTTTTTCGGTCGTAAGTTTCTCGAGACAAACAAAAAAATAATTTTGAAATACTTCGAAATGTTCCGTTACGCAATATTTATAATCTAGTGAAATTAGATGAAGTAGAATTTTGATAGGCTGAACTTCGTTTTTCTTTTTGGATTTGTAAACAGCGCACATTGTAACAATATAAAAAAAATATAAATCTAAAGGTGAAAAATTCTCTAAAATTTGCAACTAATTATAAAAATCAAAAAATTTATCTAAAAGAATTGTTTTTTTTTTCTTCGCCCCGTTTTATCATTTTGTCTTATTTGGTTTGAAAATGTTTTTACAGCAAAATGAGCAAGTTATCGCTGATAAACCAGCTACGGAAGAGAAGGAAGCGAAACAGAATCCACCATCTGAATTGAATCATGTTCCGGTGGAGAGTATCGTGACCGAGCAGAAAATGGATGATGGAAAGCTCCCCCACAAGACTGCTTTTGTTGTCGAAGAGAAGGTGGAGAATGTACAAACTATCGACAATCTGAATGTCGATCAGCAACGTCAGCCAGAAAAACAAGACAATGTCGAGAAAGAGTCCTTGCAAGGTTTGTCATGGAAATTTTTTTAAAATTCCAATTTTGAAGGCTAGTTCCGTCTCAACTTTTTTTTTTCTGCATTTTTCTATCAATAAAAAAAAGTCCTAGATCCCGTATGAAGTGTACGGACTCGGGCAAACACAGGCGAATCGGGAGGGTACCATAATGTTTCCACAAAGATACCTCTAAAAATGGTTTCCGTGTAAAATATTCAATCGAAGTAGTAGCTCTCATTCCGAGGCTTCCACTCAGAGCACAGTCTCCGGGCTCAAGCACAATATCCGCTACATTCTGAAAGGGAGATACTCAAAAAATAGAAAATGTGGAAAAAAAGACGGAACAAAAATGGTGCATAAGAGCCGATGAAATAGCGCAAAAAGGCAGCAAAAAAGGAGCCTTTCTCACCTTAAAAGGAACATTCCTATTAATCCGTTTTCCATCTTTTCGGACTATGGAGTTGAATTGAAATTTTCAGCGAATGTCGACACCACTAATAGCGCGCCAAGTCTTGATTCTTCGCAAACAACTCCGAGCCAACCTCCACCACCCTCCACTAACCTTGTACATATCTCTATCCAGTCTTGTACACATTTAATTTTTCTTATTCAAGGACTCTGAAGGCAACGAACGTCTGTCTATGGAAGACGAGATTGAGCTCATGATCGCTCGTGACAAGTTACTTTTAGAACAGAATAAGAAACAAGCTACTGCTCCAGTTGTCGAGGTTCGCTATTTTTCAAGTGGTCGATTGGTTTTTGCTATGAAAGTGAGACAATAATACTGTATAAATACAGTAGCGGAAACATGTGAGTGTTTTTTTGGTTTTTCGTCTGTAACTTTGTCAAAAAAACATTTTAATCTAAAATTTAAATCAATTAAATAGAAGGATGTTATCGACAATTCAAATTAATAGTTTGAACCGATTCAAAAAAAAAAAACTTGAAAAAAAAAATGTTTCATCTTATCAAAATCGCAAAAAAAAAAATGGTAAACAAATAAAAGTTCAACAAAGCCAGTAAACCGGTTTGAATGACTTTCAATTCAAACAATTTAGTTAAACAGATTTAATACTTTTAGCATAGTCTTTGGATTTGATAACAGCCTTGCATCTTCGGGGCAGTACCTCGATAAGTTTGTTCAACTCGCTCATAGGATCTTTCTCCAAACTTCTTCTATTTGTTTCTTCGAAAATTCCAGACTAAAGCAATAGTTTTAAACAAAGTTATAAACGAAAAACAAAAAAAAGTACTCACTTATTTCCGCTACTGTGTCATATTTTTTCGTAGGATACTACCGAGAGGGCTGTCCCAGTCGCCGCGACTCCCGTTGCATCTGCTGTAGGTGAGACTTTTCTCAAATAATTTTTTGTTCGATTCACATATTGATTCAAGGGGGTTTTTTTTTGATTTTCCATATTTATAGAATCGGCAACAGAGCAAAAGCCGTTAGAAATACCACCTCCACAGGAGAGACCTGTGGAATCGCCGTCTAGTACTCCGCCTCAGCTTCCAGCCCTCCAACCGCAACCAACGGTGGTACAAGAGGCCCAACCAGTTGTTGAAACTCCCCCGATCGATGCTGTCATAATGACAACGACTCCAAGTCCTTTGGAAGCGACTACTGTCAAAGAGGAAGAACAGGTGGATCCAGTCGCCAACAAGTTTGAAGCACCGCTCGATGTTCCGGCTTCTCCAGTTCCAAACAATGCTGCTACGGAAGGATCAGCGAAAAACGAGGCACCCCAGGTAAAAAAAAAAACTATAAGACACCTGATAGATGCATTCAAACAAGGACTACACTTAAAACTGGGAAAAAAAAAACCGTACAAAATTTGAAGATGATTTTCTCCTCAAAGAGAGCCTCCAAGTGCCGAACTATCCAGTAATGTCTCGGAAAAATTTCAGAGAGTTCATTGGAGAACGTCATAAGAATAAAATCCTTGCAATAAAACTGGCTTTCGAGTTTAAAAATTTTAAAATAGCGTTTTTTCGTCATAATTTGCGCTTTTTGCAAAATTTGAAGCTTCCAAACTTGAAAACCAGATCTGTAGCGAGAATTTATTTTTTCGTGTTGTATCCGTTATCAGAGCTCTATCATCCATTGTCTGTCTTTTAAGGGTTACTGCGACAAAGAAGACTGCTCTTCCTTGGTGAACACAGCGGCAGCGGAAAGAGCCTCACAAACTGCGGAAGAAGATAGGCTCAAAGCCAAGCCCTTTGAAGATAGCATTGGACAGTTTAGCGACGTTATTTCTGAGCACAATTTCTCCAATTTACCCCTTCAAGGTGGAGTAATCTAAAATACTTCCTTTTTTACATGTAACTGAAAATGAGTTGAAATTTGATTTTCATACATTCATTTTTACAGACAAATTTCAAGCCACAACGGCCGTCGCAGCTTTTGTTCGGTCAATGTTGACTATGGGTGACTTAAGCGATGCTAGTAATAAAAACGATTCTGACTTCTCTATTACACAACTTTTTTAGGCGTCGGTTTGATTCTGAACATTACCTTTGTGATAGTTTCTTTCGTGATTTTTGTCATCGTTAAAAATGTAACAGGATTAACAGAGTCGGCTGGCTTCGACAAAGGGTGTGTTGTTTGGATTTAAATCTTGTACTAAACGATTTCGGTTTCAGAGGTTTCTTCACTCTTTCCACTCGTTTTCGAGAACTACAAGTAATTCTCCAAAATAAAGAAGCCGAATTGAACCAGTGCGGCTGCCAGGATAATTTGAAAATATGCCAAATTTTAGGTTGAGGATGTCTTGTCAGTTGCAGCAAGTTGATCAAAAAGCTCAAAACGAAGTCGCTCACATTCGCAATGAGTTCGTTTTTTTTTTGTTTCAACACGTTGCACAGGATATAGGAAAGCTTGAATGTTTGAATTTATGAAAAAAACGAGAATTATGCAACTTTCTTGGCTAAAATTGTGCAAAGCTCTTACAAAAGTTTCGGTGCACCCTGCGTTGAACTCTTGGTGCGCCCCACAGTGTAACAGAGGTGCACCCCGTTCAATTTTAATGTCTAAAACGGTACATATTACGTACACGTTCTCGAAACAATTCATTTAATTATTGGGAATAGGGATTTATGATTTCCTATATTGAAAATTATATTACCAATATCGCCATTTTCTACAGTCTTATTCTAGGCTGTTACGGTAGTTCAAATAAGACTTTTTTTCGACCGGTTGCCCCAGGGGTGCACCGAAAAAATCATTGATTTACCATCATTTTAGTTATAGAATACATTGCTTTTGGTGACATCATTCATGCCGTGTTCAAAGTGATTTCGCGTTCGAAATGGGTGTCAGAAAAAAAAAGGTAACTAAATTTTGGAAAATCTGAGATAGTTTTACATTTCGCGGAAATTACTTCGAACACGCCATCAAAAATGTTCGTATCCACCATTTTCTAGTGCAAGAGCGGCGAAAAACTTCTAGACACACTTTAATGATTTTTCATATTATTTGTGTGTTCGGATATTTTCCAAATGGAACTTTAGTTTGCGTGTGCTGGGTGAGTTCTAGAATTATAAGTACTAAACTTTTGAACTTTCAGACTGCGGTCGGCGAAAACGGACCTCAGTAATGCGTATGCGAAAATTTCCGCGTATGAAGAACAACTTCGGGTGTCACAAGAGCTCTTCGGCGAGAAAGAGAAAGAAGTCGAACAGCTGAAATTGTATGCGCATGAATGCAACGAGAAGTTGGCACGATCCTCTGAAGGAAGTCACGAAAGGACCAAAGAGCTCGATAAGCTCAAAGCGAAACTGAATGGTTTCATTGCAACTTTTCTCTCATTTATTCATACAACCGCCATTTCAGAAGCGGAGAAGGAGTCGGTGAGAGGACAACAGGAGGTCATTAAATTGAAAGAAAGTGAGCAAAAATTGCAGCAACAGTTGAAGGTGAGAATTTCATATGAGGATTTTCAGTTTCTTTCGTGCTTTTTCAATAAGCTGATTCAGAAGAAATTATTATGAATTTTCACCCTGAAGCTGTCAGTTAGACATTTAATAACCCAGGAAACAGCGATATAGCCGATTTTTTCAGAGTAAATCGCGCATTATAAGGCCAAAACGAAGTTCAAAACGAATTTTCGGCCGAACATGTAGCGCCCTAGTAGGGTGTTATGAAAAAAAAACCAGAGAAAATTCGAACGGCGACTTTTCCGATTTTTTCATATCGCTAGAGAACTTTCCGATGGAGAAGTTTCCGACTATTCCTTTTTTGACTTTTTTTTTCTTAATAAAATCTTCGTTTTGAATCTTCCTATATAAAGTTGGTAGTTGATTCATGATTGAAACACAAAGAAGTAGGAGAGAAAGATGTTAACACATGTTTTACAAACCGAAAAAAATCAAGAAAAAAAACTGGAAAGTTCCCTAGTGATATGAAAATCGGAAAAGTCGCCGTTCGAAAACTCGCTGGCTTTTTTTTCATTCCACCAAATTTTTTTTGTACCCTGTAATGGTTGTTTATATCATATTGTGTTAAGTGAACATGTACTCTTGAGTGACCAACTCATTACAACATCACTCTGTAGTAGCGCACTGCTAGCGTGCGCTACGGAGTAAAGTCTTATATGCCGAGTCGGGCTTGCTCCTAAAAAAAATTAATGGAATGATGCTGAGGAACATCATTTATCCATTTCAACCCGTTGGTTTTAGAAGTCTTTGAAAATTACAGAGACAGCGTGTTAATAGAAAAGTTGTCGAGGATCATTTACAGGCTCAGGAAGGCGAAAGGCTCCAACAAAGAGGTCGTGCAGAAGAGTTTGAGAAAAAGTCGAAGGAACTGGAAGGAGAGTTGAAGCAAGCGAAGATTGATAATGCAGCTCTGGAAGAGCTTGTGCAGCAGTATGAGAAGAATCAGAACGAGGGTTCGGCGGCCGGTAAATTTCAATCCTTGTTTTTGAAAATAAGTCTTTTCAGAGTCGGGAGGATCCGGCGGTTGGTCGGATTTCGGCGACGACTTTACTAGCAGTGAACAGCAAGAAGAGAAAACGCCCGACGCTTCCCAGACGGACGCGAAGGTAATCACCGGAGGAGGCTCGTCGCCCTCGTCAAACAACGACAAAGACCTGACGGAGATCCGAGCGCGACTGAAGAGAAACATCGAGGAGTGTGAAGAGCTCCAGGGACTTCGTCCTCAGCTGCAACAGTGCAAGGAAGAGCTGGCGCGCTACAAGTTTGTCTAGTTTTAGAGTGAACTTTATTGAGCGTTAGAAAGTACTGGCATGCTTTAAGGTGCGAACGTTTACAAAATGCGACCGCTTTTTTTGCTCCATTGCAAATTAATAAAATACGGGCGTTTTTAGAATTTCCATTATTATTTTTTTAAAATGCAACGAAATTTTGGAATTTTCGATTGCTTTCTAATCAACATAGTTGTGCTTCTTTCGTACTTTTAACAATATCGTTGAACAAACCATCTTTCAAGATCTTTCAATTTTTTTTCACCCGATTTCCGGTTCATTACAAAATTATGAACTGTATAAAATCGTTTTTAGAAACTCTTCATGAGAAGCCGAAGTTTTTCAAGCAATTAAAAAAAAATCTCATCGTTATGAATTCAATAATTTTGTCGTGGTACTTTATTGAATCGTTATTTCTAAAGGGAAAATAAGGAAAAATACAAATCTGGAAAAAAATAGCCAGAAAGAGTGAAAGAGAAAAGATTAAGGAACGCCCGTATTTTTACTAATTTTTCTGTGGAGCACAAACAAACGGTCGCTTTTTGTAAACGCCCGTACTTTATATCATGCCGGAAGTACTCATGAAAACAGAAAGCCGTTTTTCCCTACGTCGCACCTTCAGTTAGAATTAATTCCCAGTGATGTAAAACCATTTTTCTGCCTCAACGCTTCTCGCAAACTGAAACTGCCAAAAACGTTCTACTGAAATATTTTTCTTTTCATTTTTAAACTTTTTTTGTGTAATCACTCTATTTAAGATCTCTTTATGAGCAAGAAGAACAAGCCAGAAATGACTGTGAATCAAAGCTGAAACGCCTCGAGTTGGATTTTGAAAGCAAGCGAAAGATGGTGACAACAAAGAGAGACTATAACTGTTTCTTATTGAATTTTTTCAGTGGGACTCCATGGAAGAGGAAAAAAAAGAATCGGCTGATCGTATCAAAGAGCTGCTGAAAATGCTGACGGACAACATGAAAAAGTGCACCGACACAGAGTCTTTGATCTCCAATCTCCGAGAAGATCTGTACTTTAAAGACAAGGAACTACGCGAAGAACAATTGCAAACTAGAAAAAAGGACGACAGGATTCGCGAAGTTATACTTTTTGTTGATATTTGTGACATGATTTCCGTTTTAGATTGAGGTAGAGCTCAAAGTTTTGCGAAGCGAGTACATGAAGCTCGAGGCGAAGAGTTTCCACGACGTTATGGTACTCAAGCGACAGCTTGATGATTATAAAACTTCACAAGTAAGTTTTCAAGTTATCACTAGGAAAACGGAAACATTTTTTCCAGATACTCTCGCAGTCCTCGATGCCAATGGCCTCAAGAGACGCTTTTAGCGCCAACACCTCACTGGACGGGGACGAAGGACGGATTGGCTTGTCTCCACATCGGAACGACCCGATTTGGGACGAGCCATCACATGACTACTCGAAGAATGGGTTCTTATCTTTGATCGAGCACCCAAAAATCACTGATTCAATCCTTGAAGGCCTTCGATGCCGCCGAGCGACTTCTACCCAGTAGGTCAACTGGCGAAAAAGACTAGAAGTCGGCGAAGTGACCGACTGCTCATGGGGGAAAACTCGCCCAGCGACAACGAGAAGTCGCGCACGAAAATAGAGAAGAAAGATCCACACAGGCGTCGGTCGCGCAGCCATGGTCGACAGAGTTACGCGGATCCACTCGGCAATGTTCCGTATCTAACCGGTTTCCCCTCAGACAGCTCCTATCAGAACATGGCTTCATTGGGGTTTGTTTGAAGTCTTTCACGCTGGCGAATGGTATCGGCTTCTCACTGTCTTGAGATCCAGGGCTGTGGCGGGAGCAATGTACATGCTCCCACTATGGACCTGTGAGGAAATTGCTTTAAACGCTCAGATTTTACCATTTCACAACTAATTTAGAGGAAACCACTCAAAATTCCAATCTAGATACACTTTTCAACACAAATACCGTTGTGTTCAAAAAGCCATTCACGGACGAAAATGAAAATACTTTTTTCTCGCAAAATAGGCAAACAACACTGATGAAAAAAATTATCCAACTGTTTTGAACAAAGTAGTCGAAAGCAATAAAATAAATTAGTTTTTTAAACTAGTCTTCTTGCCAACTAGCCTTCCGACGAACTCGCGCACTGGTTTTCACAGCGAAGGCCTATGAGAAAAAAAAAACCAGAAAATTTTCAAACGGCGACCTTTCCGATTTTTCCGACTTTTTTTCCCTTGTATTGTTCGGTTTATAAAAGATCTATTATCATTTCTCTTTGTGAGAAAAAAAGAAGTTAGGAGCTGAGAAGTGGGAGTTCATGAAAGAAATATTGAGAAAATTACAGCTTTGTTGCGCTGAGTGGACGACACAGCAAAAGTGGACAACTGAACTACTCGTCTGGAGGATCCAACGGAGGGCGCAGCCCGCCGCCGGAGATGCCGCTTCTCAGTGCGATTCCTCCGCCGGGTGTCCGTAAGCCTACGGGAAAGCGATTAGGTGCGGTATAGAAATGTTCATTTATGTTTTTACTCTATTCTTTCTTTCGCAGATACGAGCAAGTGACGGGACTCTTCTCTTTTGGCCATCTATACTTTACCAACGCCTAAAAATTTTAATTTAATTTAATTCATTTGCAACAATCGCTCGAGTTTTTTGAGGCTGTTCTCTTGATTTTGTTCGCGTACGTGTATCTTATCAACTTTCGAGCGAGTTTTGTCACTAGGTGGATTTCGCGTGATTTTTGTTTTTTGCAACGTTTTGTAAAATAATAAAAAAACAAAACGGTCGATTTTTGGAAGTTTCCAGCTAGTAACAGCCAAATTGCTGATTGTCATCTGATCGCGCTAAGTTTATGCTTGTGGATTATTCTCTGATAGATTATTGTCATCTTTAAGTTTCATTTTAATTTATTTCAAATCGACGTAGGGAATTTCAGCATTGTCCTTTCTAATTGTAATAAATGTCTTTTGCATGTTCGTTTCCGTTTTTTTTTCTTTTACTGTGGTGAAATTTCTGTAAAAATCGGTTGCAGCCGGGAACAAGAATTTTATATGCTATAACTTTATCATTTTTTATTGGTAAATAAAAAGTTGTGTACTTAATTTATCGTGGTGTTTTATTTTAAAATGTTGAGAAATTTCTTTCATTCGTGATATTTTAAAGTTTTTAGCATCATTTGTCACAAACAGCAATAATAAAGATGCAGTTTTGCTGTTCATGACAGAATGATCATTTGATGCCTCGTTTCAAATTTTTTTTGAAAGACACGTCTTCCCTCCTTCTAAGATCATACGATTTTTCGGCAATACTTTTTCATGAAGTAATTCTTCTCTTGAAAACGAACATAAAAAAGCCTAGAAAAATGTTGGTATTTATAGCTAGTATTAGGAAATTGGTTTTCGTGTTATGTTGTGAAATCACCCCCGTCAACAAGCTATGTTGATTCATGATCGGTCTTTGATGGTGTCTAGTTTTTTCTTTTTTTCTTTGAACAGTTTTGTCCTTGAGCCACATTCACTTTTTTAATTCCAGATGTTGATTGATATGAGAAAAACCGTTTTTTGGTTATTCATATGCATCGGCGTCATCTTCATCATTATTGGAACGTTCTTGCTTGTCGGAATTCCAATTGATGGCCTAGTTGATGACCAAGTCGTGAAGGTAAGTTATTTGATAAGTTAAGTAATCATATGCAGATATCTGAGGTACCTATAAGAGAAACTTGTGCTGGTTCGAGAATTTTGAGGCATTATTTGATGAGTAAATTTTTGGAAGGGGATCTTTACTGTGCATTCGAAAATTTATATTTTTAACACAGGAAAATCAGGATAGTACCATAATTTGTCTACAAATATACCTACCTCTCAAAATGGATCGTGAAGACCCCATAATATTCATCGACAACAATAATGCCGTGTTCAATTTGATTCCGCGAAATGCAAAATGATCTCTGACTCTCCAAAATTTAGTGATCTTTTCCTTTCTCTAACGGGTATTTTGCATTTCGCGGAATCAAATTGAACACGGCATAATAATCCATCGTGTGACCTCCAGTATACCTTTTAGCTATATCTGAGCCATATCGGAGTCTCCCTCAAGTCTATATCTCATTTTTTTCAAAGTCCTTAAAAGTATACTCGATGTACCATCGTTAGACTTCATACCCTGCGATATACCTCAGAGGGTATCGCGCTACCCTTTCTCGATTCGTCTATGAATTTTGTAACTTGTAATTTCTTTCCTTCTAAGAAACATAAACTTTAAAAAAATTCTAAATATGTAAAGGTTGCAATTAGAAGGACGGAAAATTTCAAATTCCGCATTAAAAAATCTGTCAATAATACAATGCAATACCTTTCTTTTGTTTTTTTCACCGACTTTAACTTTAAGCGTGACTGGCTTGGTTATACGACCGATAAAAACGGCTCGCGAGTTCTGAACGACATCACAAATTCGTGGTTGGAGCCGACGTACGAGATGAAGTTGAACATCTGGATGTTCAATGTGACTAACGTCGACGACGTGGTCAAACGTCAGGCAAAACCGCACTTGGACGAAATCGGCCCTTTTGTTTTTGAGTAAGAACTCATCAAAAAAAAAACTTTTTTTCTTTGATTTCTGCGTTTTAGGGAACACCAAAAGAAGATTCTGAACGGTTTTATCCTTAACGATACTCGCGTGATATACAGGAACCTCCGATTCTACCATTTCAATAGGAATGCGTCGTGTCCATCATGTAACCTCGATTCTCGCTTCGTCATTCCCAACATTGTTTTTCAGGTTATTGTAACTTTATAATTTGGTAGAAAAAATGATTCTCTATTACTCTTCGTCAACTTTTGTATTTCAAGAATTAAAAAATGAGAAATTGGTCGAATTTAAAAATTTCTGGGTTCCAGAAGCTTGTGGATGCTGCCGACGAGACCATTTTCGGAGTTCCCATTCGTATCGCCGTCGAATCGGTTCTTCGCCTCTCTAAAGAAGGCCCTTTTGTGACGGTGAGGAAGGTTCCTGAATAATAATAGAAATCATAAGATTCAGGTGACAGCACGGGAAGCTTTGTTCGACGGATATCACGATCAACTTGTCGACCTTGTTTGTGAGAACAAGGTGCTCAAGTTCATGTGCGAAATCGGAGTTGTGCAGAAAAAAATTGGTTTCTTCTATGGCGTGAGTTTGTTACTTCCTTGGTAGTTTTGTTCTGGCGCGATAATTGTTCAAGAAAAAATATACTTCATTCTTTCCGGCCTTTTTTTCAAATCGAACTTTCAGCAAAACGGAACATCGGTGGACGGGACCTTTGAAGTTGGAACTGGTCAGACGGAACCTCGAGACATTGGCCACGTCTTTTTGTGGAACAACTTGACGCAAATGCCCAACGACACTTGGGACACGCCAGAGGCACGGGCTATCAACGGATCGGATGGTCAGCTATTTGCGCCGCTGATGAAGTCTCGCGACCGTCTCTACATTTTCGTGCCTCAAATTTGCAGGTATAGTCTAGAGCTGCTGACCAGACCGGGGCGACCGCAACGCGCTTCAGAGCGCCTCGCCCCGCGAAGCGGTCACACCGTTAAAAGATTTCTTCAGAGTTACTTAATGATATAAATGAACTTTCACTTTATTCGAAAAACAGATTTCTTAATTAGTCGTTACTCTGTGGATTTTTTCACTTAAACTTCGTTTGAACTTATATACTCAGCGGAGCGGGGCGCCCTGTCAGCAGCACTAGTATAGTCTGTTTGCCACGACGTGAAATTTCATCGAATGAGATTCCGCTGTTCCGCTGCGTGCGGTCGCGAAGCGTCTTTGCCTTTGAAAGAGGGTAGGAAGAAATTTTGGGTCCGCGAGTATTCAGAAGCGTGAATTGTGCATACACCAATCTTGGGCACACGGCATTGAAAAACTATTCTTGGAAATATTCACTTCTTTTTTGATTTTGAAAGACGCAGATACGCGAAAAATGTGAAGTCGCGGCAGACGGACTCTAGCGGGTGCTCCCGTGAAGTCTCTGAGATCTTTTCAAAGTGTTTTCGACCCATGTTGAACCCTGAAATGGGATTTAATTGGGTCTCCCATTTTTATTTCGTTTTAGAACAATCCAAATGGAGTACGCGGCGCCAGTCGAGTTTGACGGTGTCACGGGCTGGAGATACAATCCGCCGACCGATTTTTACGACCCAGCCTTACCCAAAAACATTGGTTTCTGCAACAAAAACGGTTCTCCTCGCTTTTTCGCCAATAAGACGGTTCAGCCGGGTAGGTTTCAATTGGTATAACAATTACTTCATTCCTTCTCCTCAGACTCTTGTCTTCCCGCTGGATTCATCGACTTGAGCCGCTGTCAGGCGGGCTCGCCTCGTGTTTACCTGTCGCAGCCACACTTTTACAGTTCTCCTAATGAGGTTTCAGTTGATTCTACGAGTACATCACATACATCTCTGCCGTTCCCATTACGTCTCGTGGGAACGGCGGAGATTTCGACTCCGCTCACCGCGTTTTTGGTTTCGCATTCTCTTCCAGTAACAAAAACACCGTAAGGCAAGATTTTTGGAAAAGAAAAGCCTTCAATTACACTTCTTCTTCTCTAAAAAATGAGTAGACTTTACTGTAGTGACTCCTCGAGCGTCCAGACGAGATTACTCTTAAAAGACAGATCTTTCACCTTGTGCTAATAATTATAACTCAGGTGTGGCAGGCGGTGAGCGGAATGGCTGAGCCTCGTAAAGACAAAGATGAAACCTACTTGGACATTGAACCAACGGCGGGAGTTCCTATTCGGGCCAACCGTCTGATGCAAATCAATGTTGGAATGGTTAAAGGCAGCCTCGCGTACGTCGTTCAAATTCCAAGTATCATCTCCTGAGATCATGTTCAGAATGACGGCCAATATGACCAATGTTATTGTACCCGTTCTGTGGATCAACGAAACGGCCGTTTTCGACCCGGATACTCGGAGTCAACTACAGGCGCTCGGTACTGTCAGGTGAATTCCACGGTTTTCCTTCTAAATTTTCAAACGGGGCGGAAACCGTTTAAGAAAAACTATATGCAGTACCGATAATAAAGAACACTCAAGCTTTATTCGCCTTTTTAATTGGGCTACACCGGCTTGAGGAGAAAAGCGGAACTTTTCAGAATTGTGTTAATTTTACTAATCTCACAAAAAAAAAATCTTTTTGATTGCTTTTGAAGGATTCAGTCCAAAAATGAACCTGGTCGGGCAGGCGGTGTTATTTTCTGGTTCGGCTCGAACGGTAGAGAAGAAGTCAAAAATCTCTTATATCCGTCCACTCTGAACCACTCGAATTTTCCGCAATAAAATTAGTTTAAAAATTTTTTGGCAGTTCGAATTCTGAAGCGCTTTGAAAGTTTCACGTTTGCTGAAAACTCGGAAACTACTGTTTACGCATTTTGAAGTTCAACGTCTACTATAGTCGTAATTTTAATGTCAAGAAAAAAAAAGTTTACGTGAAAGATTTATGGACCATCTTTTTTTTTTAAAGAAGGTTTGCATTCGTTGGTGGTATCTCGACACTGGCGTTGGGTTTGCTGGCGTGGCTTGGCGCTGTTCTCGGAGTTGTTGTTCGACAGGTACTGACCGAAACGGAAAAAAGAATAAGCTTCTATCGGTTCTCATTTCAGAGAGACTACAGCGAGTTGCAATCAGACCACGGAGAAGAACCGCGGGTGGGTCACGAGAACTTTGCGGTAAACGCGGCATTGGCACCCTCCACAGAGATGAATTCCGGCGTCGATCTCGACCTCTGAGAATTCTTTCGTGTTTTTAAATTTTGTATAGCTTTTCACCACTATCTTGTACATAGTGTCTTTTTTTGAGATTCACAGGTCAAGCGGCGTTGTTGCTTCAGGCAGCATTTTGTACGATACACCTTCTGCTGGTTTCTAAAAATTTGATCCTTTTTATTCTCGGTTGAACAATTTATAACAACTTGGTAGTTTGCGAGGTGCCTACTTTTCCCTTCGCATTTTTCCTTCTAACAGAAACTGGTGCTTTTATTCGTATGTGTTCGTTTGACTTACACCTGTGATGGGCTTCATTTTTTTTTTCAACATAATAATTTTTCGTCATAGCCGACACCCCAGTTCGTGTACATTTGATAAACTAAATTTTTTTTTTCTGAGGAGAACAAGAAAGTCTTTTAACAAAAAAAATGCTGGAAAGCTAAAGATTTGAGCGGATTCAAAAAGGATCCGTTCAGGATATGAAAAAAGAAGTTCAACAGCTTTTTTATCAACATCATTAGGACCTTCTAGAGGAACGTTTTCATCTCTCTCAGGACCCTTTGATGATCCACAAAGGAAGTTTTCAGTTCAACTTATGTTGCAACGAGTTTCAAATTCTCGCGTTGATCGTTGGTGCGGATGGTACGACAAAATCTCAAGTCCGCAAATCTCGAGGACCGTAATCTTGTGTACGCAGATCTAAAGTCTCATAATCTTGGAAACCAAAATCTTGGAGACCAAAATCTTGGAGACCAAAATCTTGGAAACCACAATCTTGAAAAGTAAAAATCAACGCTTTTGCGAATAGATTTTATCAGAAATCGTATTCGGTGATCCAAACAAGAGAATATAAGTAGATAAAGTGCAATAAAGAAGACTAAAAAGGAAGATTTTTGCTTTCCAAGATGGTGGTTTCCAAGATTTTGGTCTCCAAGATTTTGGTTTCCAAGATTATGAGACTTTAGATCTGCGTACACAAGATTACGGTCCTCGAGATTTGCGGACTTGAGATTTTGTCGTACTATCTTGGTGCGTGCTTTGAAATGGGTTCTAGCACGAAAACGCGTCAATGGCGCGAAGTTCAAAAAAATTCAAATTATGATATTTTTTTCTTTATTTCCATTGAAAAAAATGAATTTTTCTATCAAATGACTCATATGAGTGATCATTTGCTTTTTTTTTTTTAAATTTTGAAATTTTGAAAAAAAAGTAAGCAAACGTGGCATTTATTTTTGATGTGTAGCGTTGTAAAAGTTTGTTTTGCTGTTAATATTTTTTTAAGTCTTTGCCTACCGTCTCAAATCGTTTTGTTTCAAATATGTAATAAACCGATTTTTTTCCGTTTAAAGAAGTCGACTAAACTTGATTTCAATAAAACCTTGTCACTCAAACTCATTCAGATTTTATTGTGTAGATTATGGAGTATTCCGAAAAGATTGAGAATAGCGACATCGATTCTCACGTTGATGTGAGTTTGGCTGAACCTAATGAGCAAATGTTGTTGTCGTTCAGAAAATAATGGAAAGAGTTCGTTTGAGGCAATTGGAAATGGAGAGTAAGGACAGCTATGCGGATGCCGAGACCCCCTCTAAGAAAAAAGGTTTTTTTTTGTCTTTATCACTTCAAGTCGTTATCATGCATTAAGCAGGAATTCTCGATTGATAAGCGAAATTTGATTAGAAATGTTGAAGTTTTTAAAAAGTTGAATGACAATTGATTTTAGCGCTAGATTCCTCGGATCCAACAGTGTTCAAGAATGATGCAGAGTATAAAACGGATGTTTCTGTAAGTTGGTTTTCTTACAACCGGTTTCGAACATCAGGATTTCTTTTCTTTTTTTACTAGCTTCTTTAGCCAACTCGACAACAGTGTGATCTGGCATCTTCTCAACTTTCGGCTCGAAAAGCCCGTTTTTCCGCTCTTGCACAGGTTGTTCTTTAACTATGAAACCCCGCAAATTAAAGAGGGAAATGCAAAAAGACGAAGTTTGAACATTTGAACTGTGCTGAAATGAGATTTTTTTCAGAGCACGCTGACCTGGTATGAGCGGAAACACGTTTTTAAATTGCAGCATGGGGAACAAACTTTTTTGGCGGGATGCGTTAGCATTTGCTCAATAGAAGTTTGAGCAAAATTTTGGATTGTAAATGTGAAATTCATTTTCATCATCAAAGGATTTTTTTGATGGTTAGCTGGTGAAAACGGATGAATTGGCTGTAGAAATTAGAAAAATTAGAAAAAAATGATTAGTATTTTTGAGAGTTCATATCGGGAAACGCGGAATGCGGGATCTCCAATCAGGGTTGCGGAATTGCGAATAAACACCTGAAATGAAATGAAACGAACCTTAGGGCGTTTTTTTTTCGCGTTTTAGTTTCGTGAAGTGCTCAAACTGGGTCCTTTTGCTGCTCCTATCCACTGTGTAGAACAAATTTCTTCTTTAAAAAAAAAAAGAGGAAAAATCACATAATGGTTGATGTTATGAAAAACCTCGAACCGTTCGTGTTTCTTGAAAAAAAAAATCCATAAAATTGTTTCATGCCTTTGCAGGCAAAGTTCAAACGACCTCATGGAAAGCCTTAAAAATAAGAGCCTAAGCTCCTTTTTGAGTTGGATGTCAAATGGTTTTTCGGAATATCCTTTTTTCTGTTTTTTTTTTTCACACCTTAAATGGTCCTTTTCAGAAAAAAAACCGCCTTTGAGGCCTTTTACAGACTTTTATTCCGAAAGTCTTTTTAAGACCTTTTTGACTTTGTCCATATTGGAGAGTGTCATTCCCTGTTCCAGGAACTCGCCGAATTTGAATACGACTATGATAAGGAGAATAAACCGAAGGAAGCATACTTGAAAGGCGCTTCACCAAGACTCAGCATTGGAGAAGTTTGAACCAACTTTTAAACCATATAAACGCTTGTTCAGACACGGCCATCCGTGTTATGCACACCAGCCGGAGCCGCATCTTTACGCTCCCCATCGAAGACAACGCCAAATAAAAAGTCTGCAGAAAGAAAATCGGTGGAAAAAGATGAAAAAAGTGGTTTCCTATTCTGTCCTTGTAAAATGAATGTTGACCGACAGGCTCTGCAAGAACAGAAAGTCGCCGAATCGCTTTTGCTCATCCAATCAGCAACGTCAGCTATCTCTCTTCATATGAATCGTGTGGGGTAAACAATTCTGTTCCTTTTTTCTGATTTTTAAGCAATCGGTAGACCCATTTCTTAGTAAAATTGGCAGATTGGAATCCTCCGTGTTTCTGTAGTATACAATCGGATCTCGGTAATGCGAAACAGGTCGGGTCATTTCTAGCGCTCATTTTATTAGCGTCAGAACTCCTCCGGGAGTCCTAGAATTGCTCAGAGACGTCCGATTTCTAATACCGAGTTAGAGTTAGCAATGTGCAATGAAAAGGCTTTTTTTTTAAAGTTTTATGAAAGTTTTTTTTTTAGACGTCAATCTCTACGCATTCCGCGTCCGCCAATGAGAGTACCTTATTGGGTGGCTCGAGCGAAATGATGCAGGTTGGAAGGAAAAAAACTCGCATCGTTTGATGTTCCTCACCATCCATTACAGAACGCTACATCATCGCTAGATTATTCAATGGACAAAAGCTTGACTGTTGAGAACACTTTTGCGAATTCAAGGACTGCAGTCGCTGCCGCGCTTAAGTCTTGCGAAGATGAAAGTCAAAACTACGGAGCTCACACCTTCATGCGAAAAGTTTTTTTTCTTCTGTCGAAACATGATTCTATAGCTGATTCACGGCTGGCTTCAGCCATCGAAAAAAAAAGGGAGACGCTTAGAAAAGAAACAGTGTCTGGTCGATTTTTTCGTAGTCGTGAATCGGCTATACATCAGCACTAAAATGAACAGTTTTTTAAACAGACATCATTAGTCTCATAGTGATCAGTTTATGAAAAGGATCGAACATTTTAAAAGTTTTTCGTTTCAGAAAACTCCACCGACGCCCAACGCTCGCTCAATGTTTTTTAATAATGTACCATCTCCGAGTTTGGAACCGGTAGAACAAATTTCTTCGCCGCCTTTGTCTATCACTGCTGGACTTGTCTCATCTCCACAACCCTTCTCTCGTACTAACAGCCGGAATCACTATTCGCCTGTTCAGTTTGTGAGTTTAGGAAGAAAAAGTTCATCTTCGGAAAGTTGTCCCGGACCTCACAATGCAAGTTCGCTGAGTTTCAAAAAAAAGCATCATGAAATTCCGTCAAATTAAATTTCACACTTTCTACTTGATGAAATCATCTTCATGCGCTGTTTTTTTTAAATATTTCATAATTCGTTCTTTTAGGCACCGCAAGTCACTTCATCTCCGAAAGTGCCGAACATAAAGCATCCTATTGACCTTCGTAAGTAGAGCGTCGTACATCGCGTTTTTTTGTTTCCGTGTTTTTTTCAAAATTTTTTTGATTTTTTTCCCTGGATTTCGTTTATAATATCACTTTATTTTTATTCCAAAATCAGCGCAAGGTTTTTTTGAGGCATAAAAGTGCCTTCTCATGAAGAAAAGCGCATTTTCGCATACACTACTCTTCGCAAATGGATTTTCTCGTAAAAATTAACATATCGAAGTTGTACACTTTAAATGAAACTCGATTCGAGAGAAAAGCTTTCAGCTGTCCTCGGATCTATAAACGATGACACTCCACGTTCGAAGCCTCGCACGACTTGGATGGTATGATAAAAAAAAAATTTTTTTTCTTTTTAGAGTTTTCAAGATACACTTCCGATTTTCAGCGCTCCGAAGGCACCAGTGGATACGACGAAAACTTGAAAAGTCCGGCGCAAGTTTCACCGGCAAAGTCGGCTGCATTGACTGGAGCGATTGCCAAAAAGATTGCTCAGGAATTGGAGTATAAAACGCGACAAAACGAAAAAGTTGGGAATTGCTCCTGAAAATTTCCGTGAAAGTTGGCCAGGATACTTCTCGACGTATTAAAAGAAGGTCTCGACAGTTTCAGTCTGTGTGAACTTATAGTTTTTAAAAAAGAACAACGGCTCGAAGTCAAAGAAAACACTCAAACAGATTAAAATAGACCTATTTGATGCTTTCAGCCCTAATTTCTCAAAAACGCGGGAGTAGTACAGACGGGAACTCTCGATTTTTTTTTTCTGGTACATAAAAAAGTGTTTTGGCCAATTTTCAGGAAATTCTTAACCGCGAAGTGAAATTGCCTCTCTCATCCGTCTCTCTCTCTATTTCCTTTTTTTCAGAACCTTGTTCCCAAACCTCAGGCGACACCATTGAGCCACAACTTCAATCAGGATTACCAGAGGGCGACGTCGACTTTGCAGACGCAATTCCGCGGAAAAAACAACACGCCTGTGATCAAAGGATCGTCGGCAGAGGAGAAAACGGCGAAAAAAGTCGTTGGGGCGAGCAACCTGAAGAATCTCAAGTCGCGCTGGGAGTTCTCTTCGGCCACCGGCACTCCGATTCATCCGGACGCCTCCGAGGACACTCTCCTAGCTGCCGCCATTCGGATGAAAGAAATGGCCATTCCAGTTCATGTACGTTGCTTTAAGTCCAGGAAAATTTCACCGAGTGTTCCAAGAGTGAAAAATAATTGCCAAGAGTGCATACAGACTTCGCTCGAGTTTTTGTTTAAAAATCTTCGAATTTACGACAATCTGTTTTTGCGGCTAGATAAGAGCCTTGTCCTCTTTTTCAGATTCACCGAGTCAAACTTGCTAGAAAAAAATTTATTGAGTCTTCTGTGAAGATTCTCTGTTGAATCATGTAATAATTGATTGAATAACTGCTCTTCGGTTCGCGAAACTGATCAAGAAGAGCGTGAAGATCATCTCGCCTTTCTTGTGATAGTAGTAAACGAGTTTTGAGCTTTCCGAAGATCAGCAGTTTCTTCATGTAGGGACAGTACGGCGCCCAGCTTTTTCTGAACTGGCGGGCAACGGATCTCTTAGCGCGAGCGGGAAAAAATTGATTGACCAAAAATACACATGATGATAAACATCCGTAGGTAGAATAGAGGAGGCGATGATTATGAAGTAAACAAAAAAGTAGCAATTTTCGCCCCTTTGTGGATTCAAACAGTTCAGGACAGTCGAGAGAACAAAGTTGGCGAGATTCACGCACAATTTTAGTTTCCATTCCCGCGTATAATCTTTTTTTTTCATTTACTCAAGCAGCCAAACCACCAACCTGCTCAAAAATTTTGATGTTGACTTTTTTTTCATTAAGAACTGAATATAAGTTCCGCTCCTAGGATAAAGTTATTTTTGGAAAGTTTATGCTTAATTGTCCAGTTTCAGCAACATAGGCCCTTTGGAGGAAACGGTGCTCGTCATGCTCGTCCATTGGAAAAATCTGTGGAAAGTCCAACAGAGGTTTTTTTTTCCGATCTATGGGGGTTTTTTTTTAAATAAAAAACTATGTTGCGCCCAACTGATAATTTAGTTAATATTTTTAGTATGTTCAAAACTTTTTTACATTTTGATTATTCAGATCAGCCACCCGGTAGAGACGACGACTTTTGATTATCCATCAAACGCTCAAGGTGAACATGAAGACTACGAGGAGGAGAAGAAAAACGTCGCGAGTAACACTGAAGAAGTAAGAGCTCACAGTAGTCCTCAGCTAAAGATCCGAAACTATATAGCTTCTCCCACAAAAAACCCTTACGAAAGAGTTGGAGTGCGAGTCGGTGACCACTCCAAAGGTTTGTTGTTACAAGTGTAGGAGCCCTCACTTGGACTCAATTTGAAGAAGATGTTCGAGAGAGATTACGAAGTTTTATCTGCCGATGCTTCTCGCATAATTGATCACGCTTTCGGATTCATGGAGTCGTCAGGGGGCAGCAAGCCAAACACTCCAAGTCCCACTAAATTTGTCGTCACAGAGGTAGAGTTGTAATTGAGGTAAAAAAAATAAATCAAATATTTCCCAAAGTTAGGATCGTGGTTCGACGCAAAAAAAAAGTTAACATAACATTTTTTTAAAGATTTTTTTTTCAATCGAATACCGGTTATTGAATGTCTGGATTGATCATAGAAGCCCTTACTTTCAAGCCTTCGATTTACCCGAGGTCATAGAGAACCGTAAAAACAAGCTAGTAACGAACCATTCCAAATGCGACCACGGTGTTTGAAATCGGGGTGAGCTGCAAACATTTCGAAAAAAAAAATCTTTTCTGCGGTTATAGGTCAGAAAATCTAGAATCAATTTTACCCGACTTCCCGTGGTCGCATATAGAAAGGTCTAGAGCACTTGAGGTTGTTCTGAGACGAACCCGACAAAAAGAGGCTCGCATCCGAGGCCATAAAGAGCAAATTAATAACTAATTTCTCTTTAAATTTCGAAGAAACGAAATAAGTTTTCTCGTTTGCAGACTATTCCTGGAATGCCAGACGACGATGCAAGAGAAACGGACCATTTCAAGGAAATGGTGGAGAAGCAACATGCCAATAAGCATTCTCAGCACTTTGAAGAATCTTCCGGTTCCGCAGAACCTAATTTCAAAAAAAACCGTATTTTTATTGAGAGCCACGAATGCCTTATTCCGTCTCCTTTTACCGAAAGGCGAAGCGAGAGCGTGCCGAACCGCTTAAATCGGAGCAAGTTGCTTTCCCGTCAGCACCGCCCGTCCAGCAGTGGGTGGTCGGCAACAAGTCTTTACTCGAGTTTGAATCCAGCAGCAAGTCTGATTTCACTCGAGATGATATGGATATTCATGTGAGGGAATTTTGTGAAGACCTCTCGTTTCTTTACGCCTCAGGCACTCAGGATTTTCTTCTGAGAGAGAAATTCGGTAGAACCGCGTTAAAAATGAGCGTTCGGTGTCTATGCCTAATTTTTTTAAAAATTTCGTGGAGAAAGTATCTTTTCAAAGCATAGCTGACTTATTTTATAGAGACGGCTCAAACTGGAAATGCAAGTGGTTGAAGAGCATATTTCTCAGTCTTCTCGTGCACTCAACCTTTGTAGGAGCACGATAGCGTTCCGTGGCTCGAGAGAAGAGGTAAGAAGAAAGAGATCTAACAACCACGTTCGTTTTGCAGGTTGAAATGCAGAGGGCTCTGCTCATCGCTGTTGAGAAACGACGTTCACTAATGGCCGAAATTGACCGGCTAACCAAAAATGGACCTTTGATGTCAGTAATCAATGTGTTGAAGGAATGAGAGCCTTCAAGCGCCACCGAATATTTAAAAAAGCTTGACCACCGCTCTTTTTGTAACTTTTCTATTTTTTGTCAATGCGCAAATGAAACAAATCAATGAACAATTATAAAATGAATGAAAAGAGCGATACACGAGCTCTCAAAATAGTCGCAGGCGGTTGAATTGAACTCGTGCCAAGAACCGCGTACGCGCACGCTACGCGTTTCGCCTCCTACCCCGCCCCCCTAGTCTTTCAAATCGGGAAAAATTGACTATAACAGCGTGACGACCCTAACGAGTTCACTTGGGCCTTGTATTATGACTCTAGCTTTTTTTTCCTGCATTCTCTCTGTTTTCGCATTACCGGTTTAGAATCGAAGGGCCTCGTGGCGAAGTGACAATGATCCAACTTCACGTAAACTTGTCCCGAGAGTACGTTCAGAGTCAGTTGGCGAGCACCCAACGCAACAGTGAGTTTATATAATGTTTGTATTTGAAAAGGGACTCTACTTTCATTTCAATCCATCAATCAATCAAATCATTTATTTTGTTGTTTTAGTCTGATGTAATCGACTAGGCGGTGAACAAGAACTTTAAAAGCTATAACGAACAACCGCCTTTGGCGAACTAGAAGTCCAAACGTGTAGTCGAAAGAGTTGAAAGCATGGTCTTACGGTCCTTCGCATCGTTCTTCTGCGCGTAGTCCATCTAGTTGCGCCTTGACGAGCTCAGAATGTAGTAGATGGTGCTGGAGCCCGGAGACCGTGCTCTAGGTGGAAGCCTCACAATGAGAGCGACCACTTCGAGTGAAGATTTTACACGGAATGAAGATTTTACACGAGTTTCAAAAAAAAAAACGGAAGCCAAAAATGAAGATCACTATTCTGTACTTTTCAGACGATTTATACTACTTCGTGGCGATGATCAAGTGGAGCGAACAGGTTGACGTGTCGAAAATTTCGAATAGTGACGAGGCCATTCGTCGCAAGGTGGCTTTTTCTCTGGAATTTGGATCGTTCTTTTTCCTCCAGGGACTAATTGAGCTGACGATGCCGCTGCAGTTGCGGTCGCTTCCACCAGACTTCCAGGCACACGTGGAAATATACGGCCTTCGGACACACCGCGAGCAAGTTTCGCACGATGAAAAGTTCCGGCTCAAAGGATCGACTTTGAAGGGAAAAGTTGGTGTACGAAAATATTCTTGGCTTGCTTGCATGCTGTATGGCTCGTGTATGTGCTTTCTAACCTTTGTTATATGGAAGTTTTGACCAGCTATCGTTCTATTACTCCCTCCACTTTTTGGAATCCGGTTCCACCGCAGCTGACAAGGGAAGTGTCTGAGGTGAGCATCGCAGATCTGCTCCAAGCTTCTTTCGTAGGTAATCCTAACCATACATAAGCAGACCATTTTTTAAGGCCGCCGACCCCTCCTCCCGAGTCTTCCAAAGTTAAAGTACCTTCTGCAGTTTAGAACCTAATTTTAATTTTGTCATTACTACCTCCCTGCGGTTGAAACTTACTTTTGTACTTCATTTTTTTTTAAATTCAAATCAACCCCTCTCCCGGACGGATTGAGTTTTTTACTTATTCGTGTAAGATCCTAGATATAAGTACTAGATAGAAAACAGAATGAATTATCTGCTCAACCTAATGGGGTATTGAGAAATAGTTCGTCGAAATGTACGCAAAAAGCTCAAATGACTCGCTCTTTAAAACGACGGATATAATGAACTTTATCATAGGAAACACGGGGAAGATATTTTTCTTTCTTCAAAAACCCAAAAATAATGTTTTCCATCGGTTTTTTTCTTTCGATAGTCTGAAATAAAAACCAGCGAAGTTTCGAACGACGACTTTTCCGATTTTTCCATATCGCTAAGGAATTTTCCTATTGCGACGCTTCCGAATTTTTTTTTTCATGATTAACTCTTCGTTTCAAATCGGCTTATATAAAATAGGTGGTTTATTCATGATTAAAACGCAAAGGAAAGGAAAAAAAAAATGTTAATAGATTTTTTATAAACCGAAAAGTATAAGGGAAAAAAGTCGGATAGGGAATAGTCGGGAACATCACAGTCGGAAAGTTCCTTAGCAATATGAAAAAAATGGAAAAGTTCCCGTTCGAGAATTGGTGGTTTTTTTTTCATTACCCTATTGCGCTTAGCGGAAAATGCTATTGTTTTCGAGTAATCATTCCTAGGACCAGAGAAATTCGGACCTGATCTGCGATGTTTACCTCAAAAACTTCCCTAGTGAGTCGAAATTTGACACAATTACCAATCGATATCATGGACTCTTTAAAATACCACAACATGGACTCTTTAAAAATTAACATTTCAGGTGCTTTTCGGGCATGTACTTGTTTTTAGAAACCCCCAACCAGTGACGACGATGCGAACATGTTTTACCGTAGTCGCGACGTGGTCTCTACTACAACTCCTTCATCACGTCGCCGAAGTTTTGTTGGCAACCTTTTCCGTTTTGTCAGTGTCTTGTCCCCGCTTTCCACGTTTTTTTTTTTGTGAGACAGCGTTTTAATTTTCACACACGTTATTCATATGAAAAATACTTTTTTTTAGGGCAAAGGTGCTACCATCAACTCTTCAATGAGCGAATTCTCGTCGAATTTTGATTCTTCGTTCCGGCTTCTGGGATCCTACACTTTCGACATTTCTTTCCCCAACAAAAAGGTTCGTTTGCTTTTTTTTTTACTTCAATAGCCTGTTCTTTGCATTTTTTTTTTCTATCATTCATGACTCGAACAGTTCTCAGGATATGTTTTTACAGCTCGTTCAACTTGATCAACCCATTTATCCATTGGACGGAAGCGCCATAATGAAAATCAAAAAGTATGCTCTACTACCGAAAAGTTTATTCGAAAGTGTATGATTTTTGAGGCGTGCCATCGATGGCAGCGATGTGCGATTCCGTGGATTTCTTTCCATGTATCAGAGGACCAGAGAAGGTTTGGGCTCCTGGAACAGGTAAACTCGCGAGAAAGTTCGTTAATTCATTGTTCCTACAGATATTGGTGCGCTTTGGATAATGGTGAGATGAAATTTTGGAAACACCCCGAGGACGAAACGAACGATAAGGTAATTTTCAATTTTTGACTCCAATTCATCAGATTGTTTTTTTTTTATTCGTTCAAAGTAATTCGCAATACCAGCCAGAGATAGATAAGAGACAAAATTTCAGAAATATTTCTGCGTTTTACGAGATTAATTTGAGCAACAGCTCCACAGTTTATTTTGCAGGTGTGGCTGGTGCTCTTAGATCTGGCGACTAGCGCTTCGACGGAAGGCGCTTCGACAATCGAAGACATCTGTCCTTACCCCAACAGTTTCCACATCGACGTTTGGGTGCCCAAAGATTGCGTCGACGCTGGAAACCGAAACGATACTCTCAATACGACCCATCAGCGGCAAATCGAGAAACTGAGGCATGTGAAAAAAATAATAATCTTTTTTAAAAACGTAAAAATTAAATTTTTTTTTAATTAAATGTTATAAACGAACGACTTTTTCAGAATCATCCAAAATTTCCTTTTTAACCGTCCGTTATCAAAAGAGCGCGTTTGACAAGAAAATCTGTGTGATGACGACGAAGCGGTCTTTTTAATACACCTGTGTATCAGCTGATGAATATCGATATTCTTCGTCTTTACATGACTCCAATTTTTTTTTTCTGTCGCTAGTTTCAGAGATAAAAAGCTTTTTACCGTTATTCCGTGAAGAAAAAAAACTTCACAGTTTTATTATTACTAATTAAAAAGCGGCCTTTTTCAGAGTGATGCTGGCAGCAGATACTCCATCTGATCTAGCTTCTTGGCTATCGGTCATTAATCATACAACTCGGCAACTTTGCACATGGCGGAGCCCTGTCGTTTAATTATTTTTCCCACTTTTGAATAGCACCCGTACTGTAATTAGCCTGATATTTTTCTGCGAAAGTCCCCAATTTTTATTTCATGTCAAGCATTACAATGTAAAACACACCTCTCCGAATTGTCGCTTTCGACGTGTTTCTACGACATTGCTATCTTCGTTTAGCATTAAAGCAATGATCCAATAATTTGTCGCGAAATTTTTCAAAATGTGCTTCATTTTTACTCGCATTACTCGTCTTTTGTTGCTTGAAGTTATCCATCACGAATATTCGTGGTTTACATTAAATATTCACTGTTTTGAAATATTTATTTCCAATTTTCTGTTCTTACAAGGAAGTATCGATGTGAATTTTAAAATCATTAATCACAACCCATTTAAACTTGATCGATTCAAATTTTTAAATTTATCCACCACCTCTGCAAAGCGAGCATCTCAAGTCGAGATAAAAGTATAATCTTTTGGATTTTCATGTTAATTAAGGAATGAATTATCCGTTTCTTCGTTAAACACGTGATGAATAAGGCTCATTTCTCGGACCTGAAGAGAATAGTGCGCTAGAGCATACTTTGGTAGGGTGGATGAAATGAGAAAATTTTCATCGACCACGTTTTTTGGGTTTTTCCAGCGTTGAGATTCTGAAGCCAACAAATTCTGTTTGCATTACTTTAAGGCAAAAAGGTTTCAGATTTAAGTATAGCTGGAAACGCTTATTAAAAGTCTTACCTACAGTTTGCAAAACGTGTTTTTGGTTATTTTCGGGCACGAAGAAATTTAACGTGACCACGGCGGCCATATCATTTTTGCTATAATGGATTATAAGTGTCTTCTAGTGAGAACTCGCTCAACTTGATAATTTTATTTATTCGAAAACAAATTTTTGATACTTTGATTGCATGATTCTATTTTCACACAAGCAATTTTCAAACTTGCAAGGAATTTCTCTGCCGAGTAGATTTTGAGATCGGACTTTTATTTTTGCATACTTCATCTATTTCGGTTTTATTCATCGTTATTTGCAGACCTTATTGTCCTGTTGGAATGAGTGAGCAATCCGCGCTCCTTTTGAAAAAGCAGCTGGCTGGTAAGAGTTTTTCGTTTTTTTATACTGACAATTTAATAGATAGGTTGAATGATAGAAAATGTTTTCTCATTATATAAAGCTTGCATCGAACGAAAGACCAGACTGCAAAATGAGCAACATCTCGGAGAACATTTTTATTTTCAAATTCAATTTCGTGAAAAAATATTAATCCGAGTTGTTGATTACTTCCCCGCGCCGGCTTGTTGTTTAAAACAAGCACCTAATCAGACACCTGGAAAATTGTTAAGAGCTTCGCCGTGTTCCCGTGGACGGTTTTTCTGCTGGACTGGTGAATGATGACGACATTTACAAATGGGAGGTTCTCGTTATTGGTCCGCCTGATACTCTTTAGTAAGTTTCTTTTTGTTCCGGAAAAGTCGTTTTTCGACAAATTTTTCTTGTTCATTTGATTGAAAGTTTAATGTATCAACTTTCAGCGAAGGTGGCTTTTTCAAAGCTGTGTTAGAATTCCCGAAAGAATATCCGCAAAAGCCGCCAAAGATGAAGTTTATTTCTGATATATGGCATCCTAATAGTATGTTTCAACTCTTGTTCTCGAAGAAATCACACTTTTCAGTTGATAAAGAAGGCAACGTGTGCATCTCCATTCTTCACGATCCAGGAGATGACAAGTAGGTTTTGGCGATGGTGTCAAAATTTTCAAAAGGAAAAGGGTAGTTTAACATATTCTAAGAGCGAAAAGAAATGGAAGTTAAAATTTACCCCGACAACCATCCAGTTTTGTTTCTCCCTTTAATAAATATCTTTCACAGATGGGGATACGAGCGACCAGAAGAACGTTGGCTGCCTGTGCACACAGTTGAAACCATTCTGTTGTCGGTCATCTCGATGCTAACGGATCCCAATTTTGAATCGCCCGCCAACGTCGATGCAGCGGTAAATGTTTCTCTCGTGTTCGTCAAATTGAATCGGCATCATTCCAGAAAATGCAACGAGAGAACTTTTCGGATTTCAAGAAACGGGTCGCTCAGTGCGTGCGGAAAAGCCAAGAGGAATGAAAAATCTGCGTATCAAGAATTAGCGGAGGACCGTCTTTAACTGGATAAACAAACGGCTATACTTTTCTTATCACATTTTGTGTTTGTGTGTGTTTTTCTTTAATAATATTCTTTTTATCTATTTACTTGTTATTGATGATCAACTTTTTGTTCTATTCGTTAAAGGTTTTCTCGCTAAGGTGTGTGTGTGTGATAAAGTCTATTAAAAACTCGTTGACTCCTTCCCTTCTCTTCACTCGTTGAGTCGCTCTTTTGTAGTTCTATCCCTTTTATGTCGATTATTTTTTATCGTTAATTCATAACTGATTTCCATAAATTTTTTTTCCGTTTCTCTTTCGAAATAAAAGAAATTTCGAATTAATTTTTTTCCTGTTTCTCGTTTTTCGACTGATATATATATATATTTTCTTTGAAAGGGGAAAGACTGAAGAAAAGAAGCGCATGTTTCACAACAATAGGATGCTTTTCAGAAATGACAAGCAATGAACGAATTGATATAGAGGTGGAGGAAGAAGAACAAACCGCAAGCAAGATTGAATTGGTTTGTTTCAAAAAATTAAACGTTCGTGCCAGAGGTGCTGATTAAGCTTAAAAATCTTGAAAACTTTGAAATCGAAATACAAAGAAAGGCTTGGCGCCAGCGTTTTCTATTATCAGTTTTGACTATCGAAAACACTTTGACAATCATTTATGAATAAAATTGGGTGTAAACGAAACAAAATCCAAGTGATTCTTTCGTTTCAGCTCGATCCAGTTGGATTTGCGGCGGATCCCTCTAACTTAACTGTGATACTCCATGAAGAGGACCACACAATTGGTAACGCGTTGAAGCACTTGCTTTGTCAGAAGTATGTCAATTAGTTTTATTTTTTGAAGAACCCTCAAGCTTTTTTTTTTCATTTTTAAAAGGAATTTAGCTACTCTCTTCTAACTGGTGCTCCCATATATCTGCTTTGTACGGTGAAAATGTTTTTTAAAGTTATTTTCCTCGTTTCTCTGATTCAAATGGTATTATCGAAGAGTTAGTCGTCGGCGCTGGTTACGGTCCACAATCGTTGTCCAATAAGTCCCGGCGGGACAGCTGGCGTTAGGAATTAATGTGGGCCCGTTAGTAGTACCAGCGAATGAACTGCTTCACCATGTTGGAGCAGTACAGCGCCCAGCTTGTCCAGGGCCGATGGGCGTCGGAATATCATCCCACGAGACCGACTAGTCGACGGGATGAAAATTTTTTCTGATTATCATGTTATAAACGCCTCGGTATGTTCTTCAAAAGAGAGCCTCTGCAGCCGCAGGACTCATTATACGTAGTCAAGTAGAGAGATCAGTTAGTCTCAGAATCCCATTTACTTAAGAAAACTAAAAAAAAATAAGGTATAAAACTATAAAGATGAATTTTTTTCCTCAACCTGAGAGGTACTTCATGAAAAAGCTACTAAATTTGAGAAAATTTATAGTTTTACCTGTTTTGCGATAAATTTGTACAATATCCATTTCTCAATGAGAAATTTTGCGACACGCATTGTCAGATCTTGTGTACACTCAAAAACAGTTGATAAAAGATCGTACAGCGGCTGGCTACCGTGAGCATACTTTGAGCGTCCCCGAGAAGTGGTTTTTCATACTGAAATTCAATTTTTTTTTTCAGCCCTGAAGTCGAGTTTTGCGGCTACAATGTACCACATCCATTGGAGGACAAGATTTTGTTGAGGATTCAAACCAAAATTGGATCTAACGCTTTGCCTTTTTTAGTGAAAGCATTGGAGGATCTCGAAAAGGTTTGAGTGTTACTCCGATTTCGATAACTAAAATCCGCACTGAGGCTTGATTATTGATAGATCGCCATTTTAAACTATTTAATCTATTCATTCCGTAGTGCTTTTGTCATGTTAAAAAAGTAAGAAATAACTATTAAGGAGATTATCTCTTTTTTTTGAAGTGATATGGTGAAAAAATCTCTCAATATATCGAGTATGACAATGGAGAATTTTTTTTTCTTTTCAGATTTTTGCAACTATGCGAGGAAAGTTTGCCGCAGTGTACCGCCATAGTTCAAATTGTTGATATCTTTCACGAAACGGTTTTGTTGTTGTTGTTTTTTTCTGTTATGAAAACTTTCTTATCATGCGCTAAAATGCGACTGTGAGCGCATTCACAAAGAAGAAGAAAAGTCTATTTTTGAAACTTCCGAAAAAATATACTAGGAAAGATTGACCTTCAAAAATTTTGCAAAATCTTCAAGCGGGCTACGAAAGTAAAATTTTTGCATCAATTCGAACTCACTGAAAAATGGATTTTTGTTTTCCGCCGCAAAATCATGTTTAATACATTGCTAAGGCGGCCGGTCAATTTTCAGCCGTCTGTTCCGGAGCCAGGAAATTTTCATTGCTTTTCGGTTCATAACCTTGCTCTCGAGGTAATAAGAATCATTCCCGTCTCAAAAAACACATGACTAGCAATTTTACAACTGAAAAACCTTTCCTAACTACCGTAATACGACGAGTCGCCTTTAACGGGCGAGCGCAAATCCTAGTTCTTGAGTTGAAAGCGGCCGTCCAGACGTTTTTGTAGAAGATTTATTAGTAACAAGAAAGGGGACTATTTACAATAACAAACAATATGTTATATAGAGTTGAGGGGAAGGATCCCGAAGATTATGGGCTGTTTTAGAGTAGACAGGGAGTTTAATGAAGGTAGAAGTTATAGTTTACGGTAAAACATTCTAGTGGCTCGAAGATTTTTGATTTTTCGCGGACTTCATGTACTTCATGAAAAGCTACTAAATTTGAGAAAATGAGAAGTTTCCACAACAACTTAGAAGGTTCTAGAAGAATATAAAATAATTTGAAATTGCTCTAGGATCCCATAGATAGATTGACGTTATAGGAGGCTTATGACGTAACAATCGCGAGAACTGTGTGGAAAATTCTAGAACAAGCGAGAAAGAATTATCTTCATATCATAGAAATAGGTGAGTTATTTATATAAATGTGTAGGATTGAGAATAGTTCCAACATGAGGGCTTATCTCTATCATGGAAGTCATATTCCAATCCTTTGATACATCGCGATTGGAAAGAACAAAAAAGAAAAGCAATTGGACCGGAAATGCGCCGCAGAGAAGGAACGTTTCGGCCCCCGAAATTGCAGATGGCCTCAATATCAGCAGCCTTCTCTATCCAAATCACTCGGCTGTTCGTGTAGCAAATGTATCACCAGTTTTGTCCAACCCCGTATCTTCTATATATTTTTTATTTGATTGAGTTTCATTTTTTTTTTCCTTTTTTACATTCATATTTTTATGAAAATGCAGGGTTGTAACTTTAATTAAAAAGTTCGAAACGAAGCCGAGTGAAACCGTTTCTCGTTTGATATTCTCTCTTTGGCAATTTCCGATGAGAAGAAGACGGATTTTTTCATCAGCACCCCCTTGGTTTGTTTAGGGAAACGGAAGCTCGAGTGGCTTTTAGAAAGCCGCCGGCTGACCGATGGGATGGTGCTTGAGCTAGCCTTCCAGATACATCCGGATCGTCTTTTTGTCTCTATGGGTTTCTTGACCGAATCTGATACTTTTCTACCTTTCTTTATCGTTAGCTTGCTTTTTCATATTTCTTCAAAAAAAAGAAAAGAATTGGAAGGTGGAGAAAACTTTTAGGACTTGATCTATCAGAAATAATTTTTTTGTTTTTAATTCTCATTTTTGACAGTAAAGCGAAGCCCTTTAATCCTACATATTTGCGTACACAACAATTGTCGAAAAGTTCCAAGGCCTGTGTACGCGACGTTTTGGGGCAAAAGAGGGGATAGATATCGCAAGGCCAAGGACGTCGCCTAGTCTTCTTTGTTGAAACCACGCCGTTTCTAGGGATGCGCCTAATAACTCGCCTTTTCGCCCTTTAAATTTTTCTTTGCCAAACGTTTATCTCCTACTCATTTTTGACTTCGAGAGTGAAATTCATACCTACTATATTGTTGGACACGACTCTTCCGTTTTTTCACATATATTTTTCAAGTCATTTGACTTTTTCCTATGACTCGATTGTCAACTTTTAGAAGAAAAATTCACCAGATCGGTGAGAGACGACAAAAACAACAAAAATAAAAAGAGCGAGATCTACGAGAGGAGTTGGAAAATACCGGTTTTTTTCTCTGTCGTCGGTCCCCAAGTTTCCCAAAACTCCTCATACACTTTCTACTCGCAGGTTTACTTTCCTTTTTTTGACACATCGGAGACATGTTTTTTTCTGTATTCCCACTGTCTAAATTTCTAGCCGTTGTCGGATCATGTCGAGTTTTCCAAAACTTTGGCGTTGTTCGATTTCCACCATGTTCTCAAAACTTTTCTCGACTTGTGGGTGGTATGAAAAAAGCCACCGAGTTTTTGAACGGCGACTTTTTCACATCGCTAGGGAACTTTCCGACGGAGAAGTTTCCGACAAATTTCTTTCGGAGTTTGTTTTCCCTTATTTTTTTGGTTTATAAAATAACTGTTAGCACTTTTTTTTCCTAGTTCTTTGTGTTTCAATCATGAATCAATCACCTACTTTATATAGGAAGATTCAAAACGAAGAATTTATCGAGAAAAAACTTCGGAAAGGGATTTGTCGGAAAGTTCCCTGGCAGTATGAAAAAAATCACAAAAATCGCCATTCGAATTTTCGTTGGCACTTTTTTCATATAGTCTGTTCAGATTTTGAATGTCAAGTCGTCGCTCAAGCTCCGCCCCTAATTGTGCGAAAAACCAATCAGAGAGCGAGTCATCCACAGAGTGTTTTTGAATGACGTCATTGCACTTGACATTTAAAATCTGAACAGACTATACAACCGACTTGTGAAGAGGCGAACCCCCTTTTTCTGTCTGAACCAGCGAATTTACCGTTAGCGTGACACGAAAATTTTTGTAATCCATTTATACTGCGCATTTGTCTTTCTTTATAGTCTGTTCAGATTTTAAATGTCAAGTGCAATGACGTCATTCAAAAACACTCTGTGGATGACTCGCTCTCTGATTGGTTTATTGCACAATTCGGGGCGGAGCTTGAGCGACGACTCGACATTCAAAGTCTGAACAGACTATACTCTGCTGCACTTTTTTGCCAACTCGGGCAAAGTCGGAATGGCGCATAATCGCCGCTAAAAGGGAGAATCTCAGAAAAAGCCGCAGAAAGGGTGAAAAAAAGTCCTTCATCGAGCATTTCATCTTCCCTAGAACTTTAAAGGCTCAATAATGCTGGAAAAGGGAGAGGCAGCAAAAAATGGTGCATAAGAGCTGATGAGATGACGCAAAAAGGCAGCAAAAAAGCCTTTGTCACCTTAAAAGGAACATTTCTATGGAGTCTTTTTCCACCCTCTCGACTTTGCCTTTGAATCATGTCAGGACCATTTCTTGGGAAAGTTTTTCGCAAAAAATCAAAAAATCCCATAATTTTTTTTGGGTAATCGTTAGCTTCTTCCGTCTTAAAGAGCATGTCTAAAAAAACATCAGAGCGAACGTTTTCGGAAGTCTTTAGTGCTCAAGATCGAAGAAGATTGTGGTAAGCTGAAAAGAAGCTTTTGTTATCCAAGTTTCCGAGCGACTGCATCGCATCTTCGATAGGATAAAATCATTTGAGAACTCACAAAAAAATGTTCACACATCTAATCGATTTCAATTAAAAGTGGATGGCACGTTATTTCGAGTGCAAATTAGATATGGTGTCAGACCAGTATTTGAAAAATGAAAACTTTGGTAAAAATGAAAAGGCAATAATCAGGATAAGCAGTTTTTTCTTTCTTCTAGGATGACATGGTAAGTTCACGGAAAGGACGGATAAAAAACCGATAAAAGACCCTTTTTTTGACAAGGCGAAAGGATCTTATTAGAAAATTTTACACCATTCCCGAAAACTTACGAATTCTCTGAAAGTTGTCCGAAACACTCCTTGATTTTGAAGGTTCTGAAAGTTTCAACCGGCAAAACTTTCTAGTTTTTGAGAAATAAGAGCTCAATGCCCAAAAAAAACCTCTCTTTTTTTTCAAAATTTGAGGGTTTTCGTCGACTTTGAAGTATCATCTTTCTAAAACTAGAAAATTGTGCAGGTTGAGACTTGCAGGATCTTCATCTGGTACATCAATGAGTGTTCTTTCTAGTTTTCAGGAAATCCACAAGCGCAAAGTAAAATGACCTACCTTCTTATAAAGGAACCTTTGTTCTTCTTTTGTCTTTAAAATTTCGCTTGGAATTTGCCAGTTTGGTTTGTTTTGCTGAGAGAAACTAGTAAAAATCTTTCATTCTCCCCAGTCTCATATTCTCCAAGTATTTTTTCGCCTAATAAATGTCTGGAACTTGCAAAACGTTTGTAAAGACCAAACTGGTTCGTTCAGCGCCATCTCAACGTTCAATTTTCGCCTACTTTCCACTCTCCCTTTGTCGAGACTTTTCTGTTCAATAATCTAAACTGTTGCGTACAAAGATGGTCTTTATAAGAATTAAGGTCTTGCCGCTCGTTTTTTTTCAATACTAAACCCAACATAACTGCCGGTTCTCAGCAGGCAAATTATTTAAACTTTGATGCGTAGAAATGTATTTTGTTTATTTTAGATTTTTTTTTTCTGCAGGAATGAAATGAATCAAATTGAAGAAAACTCAGATCATTAAAAAATAATATATTTTTTTCGTTAGCGTTTCTCCTGCTGAAAGTCTAGTCCGAGAGCCATATGCTGCAGTCGCAAACAACAACTCTTCGTTTTGCAATTCTCTTACATCGTCCTTTTTTTTTACAATTCCTTCCAGTTTCGCAGGGTTGAAAGCTTCTTTAAAACTGCTATATGGTAAGCTAGCCAAGTTTCTCTTCGAAATTGAATAAAAGTTAGTGCCGTGTTCAAAGTAATTTCCGCGAAATGCAAAGTGGTCTCTAACCCTCCAAAATTTAGTTATCTTTCTCTTTCTCTGACGGCTATTTTGAATTTCGCAGAATCACTTTGAACACGGCATAGCGAATATTGGACGGAATCCGGAAAGGCGACTTGCATTTTTTCTCTTAATTTCTTTTCGATTCTGTGGACTATGTGTGACTTTTTCTATTTTTTTTTTCATTATATATATTTTTCATTAATATTTTCCTACAGCCGCTTCCACAGATCAGCTGTTAGACTTATTCGATTGTTTTGATGTTCTATTTTTTGTACTTGTCGTGAAGATTGCGGAACGGCGAATAAACACTTGAACTGAATATCCCACCGGAATTACTATAGTAAAAAAGGGTCCAGGAGCGCAAGTAGTAAAATGGTCGTTCATCATATTGGTCGCGACTGATAAAATCTGGGACGTTCCGTTTGTGTCAGTCTTTCTCATGGGTCCGCCTGTATTTCCAGGTGCGGCAGGGAAGTCGTCGCGTTATTTTATCTCTCGGGCGTCTCTGAAGAATCGACGGGAGAAGAATGCCACTGCCCTTGTGCAGATGCCGTGTGCTCTACATCGGCTCAGCAGTGCCGACAATCACCAAGGATGGTCTGCAGGGGATTCAGCAGCCCCTCAGAGAACGCTATCCCGTAGAAGACACTCCAGAAACGCGCGGAATCGACTCTTGGTCAGTATTTTGTTTCGCCGCTTCAATGCGTTTCCTAGTAAATATCACACCGCATAAGGAAGTGGTGAATGGAAATCAAAGCATTTTCCGCTTTTTAATTGTAAAGAACAACTCCATGAAAAAAAAAACTCCAAATCGCATTGACGAACTTTTCCGCTATTTTCCTGGAGAGTTTACGGAAAGCGAACCCTTTTCCGAATTTTTTATTTTTCTATTGGATATTCTTTTACAGTCTCACAAGGGAGGTAATTTGAATTGTCGGTTAGGAATTTCTTGAAAATTGGTAAGAATACTTTTTAATGATGCCAAAAAAGGACCGTCGCAGCTTTCTAGTTTTTGAGAAATAAGCTCAAAGCCCCTAAATGGCCCATTTCTACAAGTTTTGAGGATTTTCTTTGACTTTGAGGTGTTATTTCTCAAAAACTAGAAAGCTGTGCAAGTTTGAGACCCTCAGAATCTACTTTTGGTACCTCAGGGAGTATCCTGACCAGCATTTTCAGGCTTTCCGTTTGGTCAAACGGTATTCTGCTCGAGTACATTGAGGGAGAAAGAAAAAGTGAGACGGCATTTTTCCCGATAAACACGCTTCACTACTGTGCTGCCGTACGTTACGTCAATGTATCTGGTTATTCTATTGAAGGTACGCAGAGAATGATTCTTATTTTGAAGGAAGCTTCATACTGTAGTTAGAAGACAAAAGTTTCCGGCGTAACTTTCAAAATTGACAAATAAAGTTTAAGGAGGAGGAGAGCGTTTCCTTCCGCTGGATAGTCCTTTTGCCAATATTCCCGACTCGCCACACCCACCCATTTTTTCTGCCATTCTCAGAAGGACTACTGGCGTCAAGGTGATTTTTTTGAAAAGAAGAAAAAACTTAAAAGAGGATTTCAAAATGAAAACCAGCGGTTTGCAATAAATGCATTGTGGGAACAGTTGATAGACCGCTTGATTCTTTTTCTTCATTCTCAGTCAGCAATAATGAATTTTTTTATCTTTTAATTCACCAGGGATTGTTTTTCCAGGTTTTTCTAGTTGTAGTTTTTTTACCTGTTTTCGAAAAATATGTTTGGTGGGGCTTTGAGAAATTATATCTAGCCTAAACTGGATAAAAAGTAATTTGTTTTTATATTATGAGAAGAAGAAGATCTATATAGCCTCTGAAAATGAGCTCTTTGGAAACATTGAAGTTTTCGACTTTTGAAAACTCTTAATTTTTTTTCCATAGTTCTTCTCGGCTATTTGAATACCAGATTTTGAATAAGCGTGAAATACTACCTCTTAGAAAGCTTGGTCTCACTCAGAAGTCTTAGTGCGACCGAATTTCCTGGTTAAACAAAATCGACTCGACTAAGCGGTTAACAAGAAATTTCCAAGCAATACCGAGAAACCGCTTCCAGCGAACTTCAAGACCGAGCGTCGAAAGAATTGAAAATAGTTCTTCTGCGTCTGGTTCATCCAATCGCGCCATGAAGAGCTCAGACTATTGCGCATGATGTAGCTGGAGCCTGGAGCCCGCAGACCCTGCTTCAGGAGGATGCCTCGGGATGAGAGAAGCCACTTCGAGTGGATCATACACAAAATCGATTGAAATTTTTGTACTGTTGATATCATTGACGCGGATCAGGTTCTGGAGTGCCACGGGTTCATCTGCACGAACAACAAGGCGGCCAACGCGCTAGTCCGTTGCTGCTTCCACGCCTACGCAGACTCTGTCTATTTGAAAATGGACGAAAAGACTCCCGGTCTTAAAGCGATCAAGGTTCCGAGCTCCATTATATCTTGTCTCGATTGGTTTATTTCAAGCAATCTTCAACCGGTGAGAGGTCACCTGGGTCACCAGACAGCGAGGTGGAGGATCATACATATGAAGATGAACAACACCCGGAAAAAAGCTTGAAGGTATTACTTTTGAAAAAATATAACGTTCTAGTGGAAATCATGATTCAATATCTCGTGTAAGTAGGGTAGAAAACGGGTAGATGAACTTTGAAAGTCTCAACCTGCACAAAATTTGTTTGTTTTTCGAGAAGCGCTAATTTAGAGAAAACTATCGAATTCTGTTAAAGTAGGCTGAAACCTCGTTCCTCGGTAGTTAGAAGGTGTCTCAGGTTGATTATTTCAAGATCTTCATATTGAGGAGGAATTTTTTGTTCGAATTGATTAAAAAGGGGCATCTTGACACTATAGTACGGCTCAAGAAGCAACGAAAGCTATGCTTGAAGAAAAAATCTGACGGGCAACAACGCAACACAACTGTACCAATTTTCAGTGAAAACCATTTTTCAGAACTGGCCCGAGAGACGTCAACAGGATGGTGAATACGACAGCGTCAGCATCAGCAGTAGTCTTGTTAAAAACAAAAAAGCGTCCAGCGAAACTGGTTCGATCTAATTCTATACAATGCTACTTTTTCTTTCTGGATTAGTCCAGATTTTTGGTTTATTCCTAGTTACAATTATGAATTTTTAAGGAGGAGTTCGTGGCGCCGTCGTTCCGTTCTTGGATGGACCCCGAAGGTCAGGCTCAGACTTTGACCTGTCTACGTTCCGAGGTCCACCAGGCCCTCACCATCCAGCTTTCTCTGTGCCTCCACCGCACATGACAGGACTGCCTCCGCCGCCGTTTGCCTTTTTCGGCGGCTCTCCACGAGGAAACTTCCCACCGATGCCAATGCCGCCTCCACCTCACCTTTACCATCATCACCATAGAGGACCTCCGTTCGTTCCGCCGCCACACATGTTCTCTTCCGGTAACGGCCGCGGGATGCCTCACTTCCCGCCACCGCCGCATCCCATGATGTTTGGACCGCCGATGCCGCGAGGCTTCCCTCCACCACAGTTTTACCCTCCGCCGCACTTCATGTCGAACTTCCCGCCTCAACATCAACGACCAGCGAGTCCCAACGAAGGTCCCATCATTACTGGTCCCGAATCAGTCTATGGTACGATGCGGCGAGGCGCCTACGAGGAGCCGACTTATATGGGGACCGCCGCTGCCGGGATACCTGAATCCAGTTACCAACCTTGCAACTATCCGGCCGATCACTATGAGAGCTACTATGACACTTTTAAACGACGTACCTTAAAAAAGGTTAATCATGCTTTTCTTTCCAAAAAGTACTTTAGAGGCCCCTGATCGACTCTATTGACTTGAAAGTTAGAGCTTTCACTATTTTTGAACAGTCAATCATAGAACTCACTCAACCTATTTAATCGACACTTTTCTGGAGCTGCCTTTAAGAAAAAAAAAAGTTTTTTAGCGATCAAAAAAAGGTAATTTTCAGGGTGGCGAAGCGGAGAGCGTGGCTTCGAGGGCCGACAGCGTTTGGGATCAGTACGAAGCTGGCATATATAGAAAGCCGCATTTGAACGAAAAAGCTTTTGGTGGCACCTTGAGGTATCATCGTGTATAGCAAATGAGCTATAAAAACTGTGCGCCAGAGTTAAAATTTTCAAACTTTTGAGTTTTTTTTCGCAAATAAATGTTCTTTTCTCTGCTAAACTAGTAGGTTTACAATTTTCTTCTAAAAACCGAAGCAAATTCATTCATTTTACTGATATTTTTGTCCCCACCCCCAGGCCAGTTTCATTAAAAAAATTTTCACCGAAAATACATATTTACTTGTCAAATAATTTTTTTCTGTTGAAAAAAATAAGCAAAAAAACATGACTTTTTACGTAAAAAAAGCTTGATATGGGAATTGTAGTAAATTTGAACGTTTTGAGCCGGGCCGGCCATTTTTGCTTGAGGCCTCAGAAAATGGTCGACAGGCTGATGGACCGGCCACAAGCAAGAAATTTTCCAAAGTTTTTTTGCCACACACCATTGATATCATTACTCCATAGATTTCCTGAGATTGAATGGTACCTTAACTATGGAGGCTTCCTCTGACTAGGGAACGCTGAAATGTATTTTAGGACCTTCTGATTGCACAAAAAGAACTCTCTCAATAGATCTCGTTTTCCAAATATGGAGCTTCAAAGTCCGCAAAATACACAAATTAGGACAAAAGAGCGTTTTTTCACGCTTTTGAAGTGTCCTAACACGAAAATGAGATCTATTGCGAGAACTTTTTTTTTGTTCTGCAATCAGGAGAGCCTAAAGTACACTTCAGCAAAGTTTCATCAAAAGAGCCATGTTGAATAGTGTCCGTTGTGATACTTCTCTTTCTATCAAACACGTGCGAAAGAAAAAAACTTTCCACCAACGAAACAATTTTTTTCCTCATTAAGATCAATGGCTGCCAAGGAAGCGAGCAACGCTACACTTGACCGTTCTGAACATGTTGAAGTCGCTTCTCAAACCGTCGAGGCCGGGGTCTAGGGCTTTTATTTTCTTTCGAAATGTAATCAACAACGACGTTTAGATAAATCGACCAGACACCCCGCCCGTCGACTATGAAGCATTTGAGAAGATGAAAATGAACGGACAGAAGCCAAGCAAAAGCGGCCAGGCAGTGTTCTAATCATGCAACCCAAAAAGAGCAATACTAATAATCACGTGGGCTTTTAAACTTTTTTATTTGTCAATGTTTGGTCCCAACTTTTGTCTTTTTGCTCCTTCTTGTCCAAATCGACATCTCCGTTTTATATGTCATGTTATTACCTGCTGAAATTCATTATTATTATTTTTGCATGTGCCTGTCGTTGAAAAAAAAACGGTTGTGATTTGTTCGCGTAGTTGAGAAAAAAAAAATGTATGTTTCGCATTATCGTTGATGATATAAATAGATTTTATCCGCTTTCCTTGCTTTGAAAAAGTTATAACTATATTATATATGTCATGTTTTTGTATGTGGAGGAAACTCAAAATTCACGCTGAAAAATTTCCAACTGGAAAAAAAAATCTTTTTTAATTGAAAACTCTCAAGTTTTTCAGAAAAAACAGCATAAAAAACAACCGAATTGGATCGAAAAAATATCGATCTAAGGTGAATCGGGAAGTCGATGCAAGTAGGTGCCGGGTAGCGACCGCGAATGAGGAAGCTGTTTATTAGCTACAGATAGTACTCGGTCGCACACAAATGACCCCCGATTACGATACGATACGCCGATTGATTTTAAGTAGCTACCCCGTACCTACTTGGATCGACATCCCGATTGATCAGTGATAAATTTGCAATAACAGGATGAAAAGCAGAGAGAGAGAGAGAGCGAATGCATGAAAAAAAAAGGGGGATTTGTCCTTTCTGACTCTTCAGATCTAGTCTCTGATTGGCTAATTCAATGAGTTTAACTACGTGGACTGTCGATAAGACCTTAAACACATTCGCAAAGGAATAAAACGGAATCGATGGTTTACCAGAACCAAAATGATATGAATAAATTGGTACCCAGAAAATGAAGAGTATTTCGTGGTAAGAAATCCAATCACTCAAAGCGTCAAGGTCGCTATCAAAGACGAAAATTTTCTATGAGAACCTCTAGCTGAAAATCGGATTCGCCTGTACCAGGGTTGCACGGGAGAGCAAATTGTGAAAAAGGAAAAAGGAATACGAAAAAGAAACTTTTGGGGAAGAAGGGTAACAAAATTCCGTGCAACCCTGTCCAGTGGAGGCCAAAATATTTATCGAAGTGAGGAAAAAAAAAACCGAGAACCGATAAATAGCTGTGTCTGGGCATTCAACACGACGAAACTTGTTTCAATTTGATCAAAGGTCATCGGAAATTTTTCGTTTTGAGACATGTTCGGTGGTATGAAAAAAACACCTGCGAAAATTCAAACGGCGACTTTTCCGATTTTTTCATATCGCTAGGTAACTTTCCGACGGCCACCTTTCCGACTTTTTTTTCCCTTATTTTTTTCGGTTTATAAAACATCTATTCACATTTTTTTATTCCTGTTTCTTTGTGTTTTAATCATTAACCAACTACCTACTTTTATATAGGAAGATTTAAAACGAAAAATTTTATCGAGAAAAAAAGTCGGAAAAAAAGTTTCGTCGGAAAGGTGGCCGTCGGAAAGTTCCCTAGCGATATGAAAAAAATCGGAAAAAGTCGCCGTTCGAACTTTCGCTGGTGGTTTTTTTCATACCACCACATGTTCCGTTTCTCAGTTAACAATATACTTCTTCTATAGGAACGTCAGTTCAGAAACAAAAAAAGAAATTTAAAACCACTATAAAATATCATGAGGAAAGCTTCTGGAAAATTGAATGGGGCACAATAGAGGTGAGCCGAATCGCAACGATTTAAAACAGTCTGACCTGTCTCCGGCTTCTTTTCCTTCACCGATGAAGTCATAGAAATACGAAAGCAGAGAGCAAAAAAAGAGGGTGCAGAAAAAACAGACTATTCGAAGCTATCAATAATGTCCTGTATAAAAAGTTTTCAACTATGAATGAAATGGATGAACGGTTCACCGAGAAGCATGGTTATCACAACAGTTGTAACAGTTTTTTTTCTTACATTAGTGTCATTTCTCCAAACGATAAATGAAGCAAAACCTAGAGGCCGAGCAAATCGTCGAAGTTCGTTGAAGAATAGTTTGTGGTGGTAGTGGCGGCGGTAATGGACGGTGGCGCCGTGTTGAACATGCCGAACGGGTCGTCGGAAATGACAGCGGCTGACTTGGTCGTCGGCACACCCGACGGTGAAGGAGCCTTGATTGGCTGTTGAGCCGGGTGTATTGCGCTCTGTCCGTACGAAGTCTTCATAACCTTTAAGACAAGAAGAAAACATTAGGACCGCTGATTTTTTTTTTTTGGTAGTTTGGCGAGCCACATAAGTGAAACTGAAGTGACTCAAATATTTTTAATAATTTGAGAATCGATGAGAAGTACGTCATTTCTAGAAACGGCTTTTTGTCCTTAATTCTAATCGCAGCCGAGAACTTCTGAAGCTCTACTACAATCTGGGGCGAATGAACTAGAGAAGAAAATGCGTACACACCTTGCCAAGTGATAAGTCAGCAAAAGCATTGTTCTTGTTGGGAATGCTGAAACCGGCGGCAGAGGTTGTCGTCGACGTCGGCAAGGAGACTTTTGGCTGAGAAGCGCCGTAAGCGGCCATTCCGAAACCGGAAGAGAGTTGTGGGGGTGGGAATGCACCGAACTGCTGGGCCATCATAGGTTGTGATTGCTGTGGAAACTGTTGGGAAGGGGTCAAGTTAACGCTTCCGAGGCCGCCGAACGCGTCATAAGTCGTCGTTGCTTGCGAAATTGGCACGTTGGGCAAATATGACTGCTGTGCAGACTGAGGAGCTGCCTGTAAGTGGATCTTTTTTTTGATGAGATTTGACTGTGTTTTGATATTCCAAAGCGAGAAGTGGGAAAAAATCGGAACTTTATTTTTTGAAAAACGAAGTTCTTGCTCTGTTTGTGATATACAGTACTGCCAGAAAAGATACGAACATTTTTTTTTTGCTCAAAATTTCATCGTTTTTTTTTCTTAACTTTCTAAGCTGCGTTTTTTTTTGCGAATTGAAATGCCACCAGAGTGATACAAAGAACTTTCATCCCACTACAGAAGGTCTTAGAAAGATCAAACTCCGTACAAGAAAGTTATGATCAAATAAGCGTTTTTTTCGTATCTTTTCTTACGGTAGTGTAGCTGATACACGGCTGGCTTGAAACATCGAAAGAAAGGTGACACGATAAGAAAAGAGACAGTGCCTCGTTAGAGGAGAGCGCAGACAGGCCACGCCTCTTTGCGTCCAAAGTTAGCCGTGAATCGGCAAGATCATTCGAAAAGTTAAAAAATGCCGGGTGATCGGCCGTAGCACCCATAGAGCACCCGTTTCCCAAACTTGTGACGTAACAGCCCAACGGGGCTGCTATTTAGTTGCAAAGGAAAGGAAGGCTGGAATGGCTTGACCTGAATTCCAAAGGCGGTGAAACCCCCAGGCGCGACCAGAACCGGAGCAGTTCCATTGGCCAGTGAGTTTGGAGGACGACCTCCTCCAGCCAACGACGGACCAAACAGGGAAAGAATGTCAGCGTTGGAGCGCTTGATGTCACCGGTAGACGCGGCCGCCGGTTCTGTCGGGGAAAGGTTGACGGGCGGTTGCGACGCCGAAGCAAAGTCGGCGAAATCTTGACCATTGGCCGTCTGATTGCTCGAATTCCCAGCCGTTGAAGCCGAGACAAAAGAGCCAAAGTCGTCAAAGTCGTCGGACGGGGCTGGGTTTGGCGACTGTTGCTGAAAACGTGCAACGCTTTTATACCTGTTTTTTGACATCATCATCTATTCAATACAGTTGTAATGTAAAATTCGAAAATATAGTCCGCCCGCCGCGACTTGACAGTTCCCGGGTGTCTGCGTCTTTCTGTTCCCTCACCGGCGAGGTCAGTGATACATGAAAATATCAATTCAAAATCAGAGAGTCGTCAAAAAACGAGTAGGGCGCTGAGAAGTGCCGCCCTTTCAAGTCGCGAAAAACGGACTATAAGTTGGGATAACAAGAAAATCCAAACTTGTTGAATCGATAAATCAGCAAAATCGGCGAATAAATTGTCGACCAGCGGCGGTCCAGCCGACACTGTTTCAGAAGGACCCGAAAAATCGAGCAGATCGTTAACCTGGAAACTGAAAATCTTAAAACAAAAAAATAGAAAATATAGTAACATACCGTTTTGCTTTGAATGTTGCCATTCGGCTGACTTGGAGACAACTTCTGAAAATTTCAAAAGAGTGAATTGTTTGAGAAAATTCTCAATGACCACTATCACATTTTTTTGACGTCATAGTGGCATTTTAGTGGTTAAATTTATGACCACCTACGAGGTTAAAAACTATTGGGCACAATAGAGGTCCAACAAGGGCTGTGCGCGCGGTGAGCATCGAATTATGAATCAATGCTTTTATAGTAGATAGACCTAGGGGAGATTGCTCCAAAACGAAATTTCCATGTAGTCCTTGAAAAACCTCTACAGTGTCCACAAAAATGTTCTAAGTAACGCTCGAACATTTTCAGTATAAAGTGTAGAAAAAACGAACCCCCGAATAATTGACATCAACATTGGTTATGGGCTTTTTGATAATGGCCGGACCACGAACAGGCACACTTTTCGGCAATTCCGACGCGTCGACTTTCGGATAAGTGAAGCCGCGCAGAAGATACCTAAAATTCGCCGCATTTAAAAAAATATGTTTGACTTTCGGACTTTGATCATCGGTTAGAATGAACGTAAAACTTTTGGTTCATTTGATTTGATGATTTTCGAATATTTCTGTTCGAAAAGAAGAATTCTAAAAAGCTCTGAAAAACCTTTTTTGTTCGTATTTACTACGAATGAACTGCTCCATTTGACTGTCGGAGGTGGGCCTCCGAAAGTTTTCGGGTAATTCCGCTTCGTAAACCTCAAAAAGGGACGATTTTTCGTTCATTTAGAACAAAAAATTACCCTCCGAGCTTTCTCATTACCCATTACACGCATAGTTTGCACCTGATCTGGCGTCCAAGAATCCAGATTCACAGATCGAACCTAAACAAGCAAATGAGTTCGATTAAATGGCGAAGAAAAGTTAAAATTTTGAATAGTTTTTGGCGTTCTTGTTTTTCAGAATTTGTTCGAAGGGTCAGAGAGAAATAGAAAGTCTATTTTAATGTAAAAGCCAAGATGAAACTTTCGTCGCCCTTTGAATCCTCAACAAACCTTGGAAATGTGGACTCCGAGGTTTCGATGAATTCCCGCACAACGAATACATATGAAAACACCGAGATTCCAAGCTGCCCATCTAGAAAAAATTGATGCAATGGGATAAATAAGTATGAAATTCGGTTTTTCGAAGTTTCACGGGCAATATGAACGAAGTCATTCGCTAGCCACTATATAATCGCCAGGGATTGACTTCGGTCAAATTTTCAACCGGAATCTGCTCATTTGAGACTTTCAGCAGTTACATAGCTGCTATCAAGTTCAGTAAAACTAGATGTGGTTCCGAAAATTAAGAACAAGGGTGAAATAAGTACCGGCATTTCAAAAGGAAGATTGTAAAAAGAATTTTAAAAAATTTGACCTCGGAGTTTTAGCTTGACAATCGGCGCAATACTTGTTTTCTTCTTCTTTGAGCATGTCGAGCAGGATACCAGTTAGACGGTCCTAAAAAACGTGTCTTCGTATAAAAACTTCATCATCGCTCACCTGTTCTTCTTTTTTCGGATCTACTTTCCCGCGGAGCATTTCTCTTTTGATTCAATTTATCTGCTTAGACGCAGTAGTTTAAATTCCTGAAAATGAAAGGAAAGTTGATGATCCCAACAGAAGCGCAAAACAATTCTATCGCTTTCCTGGTCAAAAATCAATGGAAAGCGAGGAGAAATGGACAAATTCGGCAAACGGAATGAAAACGTGGCTTCCAAAACATTACACAAGTTTTAACGCAGATTTTTTACTTGAAAATAGCGTGAGCTACTACTGTCGGGCCATGCCAACCGAGCTCATCCGTGCGATGGAGTGTTCTGGACGTAGTGCACACGATGCGCCAAAAAGGACGCGCGCAAAAACTACGAGAAATCAAGCAATTGCTTCTGGCGTGTTCATCGGACAAAACGAAAATTGCTACAAAACAAAAATAAGTTCTGTTTTCGAGCGACTTTGGCGCGTCGATAAAAACAGTTTTTCGTTTTGAAGCATGTTCCGTTTCTCCGATGAACACCCCAAAGATGTTTTCTCACCTCTTTCATGGTGCGTTCGAAGTGCTTTTTTATGTTCACGAAATTTTTAAATTTGAAATTTGAAATATATTCACCGTTTTTTTTTCTCCTGTTCATAGATGCTCTTCCTTGTTTCAATTTTTCGCCCAAATTTTTGCGTAGGGTGGTATTTTAAAAAAGACCAGCGAATTTTCGAACGGCGGCTTTTCCGTTTTTTCATATCGCTAGTGAACTTTTTCGACTAATCTGTTTTTTTAAAAAAACTGTTTATTGCATCTTCAATGTAAGAATACATGTGCAATCGACTTTCATTGGTTTAACTGGGTTTATAGGCGACAGGAGCTGTGTCTTGTCCAGAGAAGTTGTGAATTTCGCTCGTAGAACATCAGTTACAAGAGAGTTCTAATCGTTTTCCGACATTTTTCTCGATGATCAAAACACAAATAAATAAATAAAATGTCAATGAATGTTTTATAAATCGAAAATAAGCCAAAAAAGTCGGAAAAGTCGCCGTTCGACAAAAATGTTTTTTCTACTTGAGGCGTAATTCGAAACGTTGTGTATAGCTGAACGTGAAAAATTTGAATTTAACTTACAGAACGTTGTTTTTTTACATCGATTGTTATGTGAAAATTGTTTTTTTCTCTTTTTTTCAAATTCTTCTAAAAAGTTTTTTTAATTTTTCCCTTTTTTTCTTCGTAGGTAAGTTATTTGAGAGTTCTCAATTTTTTTATTTTTTTATAAGATTGTTATCACCTTCATTGAAAATTGTTTCAAGACAACCGTGAAAAAATTCGAAAAGCTCTGATTAGAAACTTTCGAACTAGAATTATTATAACTTTTTTAAGAAGTTCCGATAACATCTCTTTCTTTTTTCCACGTGAAAAATCACACGGACGTCTCGCGCCCCTCTGAGAATTTCAACTTTAAAGAATTTTTTTGAAGCCCCTGGTTATATTCCTCACGTGCGACGAATTGAAAAGTTAGGCCCAATAATTCTTTCAATTTTAGTTTTTTTCGAGTTAGTAATGTATAACAACCTTTTTTTGAAAGTTTGTTGAAACTATTTTGTGGAAAAAAAATGTTAAAATTAAAACTATTATTTAAAGGTGATCTATTCAACACTTTCAAACAGCCTTTCTGAAAGTTTGTTGTGGAAAATACGATGCGTCAAAGGACCAACAATAACACAGAAAAAAAAGCTTTTTGTTGAAATTTTGACGAGAACTGTCTCGAAACATTCAAGTAAAGAAATTTCCAACGGTTCGACTTGTTTTTGTTGTGTTTTTCCTACATTAAATTACACTTGGATATGCGTTGGAGCGCGTTTTTTGCTGATCATTGGTTGCGAATACCTGCAAAAAAATTTGCAATTTTGTTTTTTTGCTTTTTTTAATAAATGATCAATTGATCAAAGTTCCGAAATCTTTAGGACCAACGCATGGATGTCCGTCCGGTGGCGGTCGTTGGTGCTTTCGATCTTCCCTCAAATTCTACCAGGTACCTAAATACTTAAAAATTAAATTGTTTTTTTTTTCCTATTTTCGAACTTTTGTTCTTTTCTTGATCTCGTTTTGAAGAGTTTTCCCCCCTAGACACAGAAATGAGTCAGCCAGAGTAAGATAGAAAATTTTCAATTATTTGTTTATTTTCCGGGGGGCAAGCATTCGAGCTTTGCTCACGGCTTTATTTCTTCTATTTATTCGAGTTCTTTTTTCTTCGTACCGGTCTTTCTCGTCGTTTTTTTCCTTTATTACTGGTGAGAATGGCGCGGTGTATCGGCTTTCAGTTCAGTAAATAAACACCTCAACCTTTTTCTAAAGTTATCACACTAGTTGTGTGCATGTCATATGAAAAAAATTAATAAATTTTTCATCTCTCAATTTATTTCAAAAGAACCTTTCCACGTCAGGGACTCTTTTTATTCATCTTGAATTGCTGTTGATGAAAGGAATGTAAAACGCATGTATCTTATCCGTTGGAAAAAAAGGCTTCTTTCAATATTCTAAAGGTATAAGTTATTCAAAAAATAATATAGAAATCACACGGAAGTGCTAGTTTATGTTTTGTAAGAGTTCTTGCGCTTTACGATTATTTCTCTATGACTTCGAAAAATTATCCTTTGTTACTCGAGCAACTTCAATAAGTTCACCCTTGCGAAATATTTTTGATTATATTTACTTCGGCCTCTCAGAAAGTTTTTGTGAGCAAATTTTTTTTCTTTAAACGTTTTTTTTTGATGGGGTTTCTGCACACGTGAAGTGTGATCTCTGATTTCTAATTTAAGCTTTGAGCGTTATTGTTTGCTTCTTGTCAGCTAGATGTCACCATAGCGACGTACATGACAAGTTTTTTTCACTTTTTTTGGTCCTTAAGTTTTGATGTTGTTAAGTTTTTTTCTCGTTCGGAAAAAAAGAAAAAAAGTTCTGTTTGCGAAAAAAAATTGAAGAAATATATTTTTAAAAATTTTTTTCAGAGATCTGCTCAAGATATTAATCTATCACTAGATTTCTTATTCTTTCACGTTTCTCAGAAAATTAGAAGCCGAAAGTTCATATGTGTACAGCGCAAATCAGTCTGCATTTAATTGAAAAAGTACCTTTTATGAAAAAAATTATTACGTGAAGCTGGAAAATGAGAAGAATGCTCCTTCTAACAAACTTTCATACACTGATTCACTTTCCTGAGAACGAGGTTTCGGAAGACCGTAGACCTTATCAATATGGTTATCGATTTTTTTTCCATGCTCTTATCATGGGCTTGAATTTTTGGCGTGTTATGGAACCTTATGTTTTGCGCGTCTCCCTACGTTTTTTTTCTGACGTCATCTTTTTTATTTTCTTTAGTTTTCTCATTTAATCGAATGAAAATGAGGGATAAATGGGAAAACGTGAACTATTTCGACATTTTTTAAAGGATGAGTAACGATGTACTGACGGCTGCGAGCTCATCGGTGAACTCAGTCGGATTTCCTCCTCTGATGGATTCTTCAGATCGAATATCTTCATTGAGTGCAGGTTGTTTTTTTGAGATTCGTTTTTTTCGCTTTTTTTCTTTATTTAAAAAAATTTGAAATTGGTTCCCTGAAATTCCTAATCCCCTGAATGAAAAACAAACGTTCTTGGATAGAAACCGTGATTTAGAAGGGTTTTTTTCCTCAGAAGTTCATCCAAAATTAATTTTTTTCACTGAAAAAAATGAATAGAAACTTACGTAATTTTTCACAGTAAATTTTTAAGTTAATAAGTTTTTTTCTTATTTAGATACGCTAGATCGGCATTTTGCATCAACAGATTTCTACATTGGATTGGGCCTCGCTGTTTCTTCGTCTCTGTTTATTGGAAGCTCTTTTATCATCAAGAAGAAAGCATTACTAAAGGTATTCCCCAAAAATCGAGAACTGATTTTTAATAAAGTCGGCAAGTGGAAAGACTAAATTTTCAAAGTTTCCAATTAAGTTGGTGTAATTTTTTGCTTGAAACAGTCTGATCCGTGTCTTTATTAAAACTTGATTTGACAAATATAAATAAATTACTTAAGAAAAAATTTGCAGAACTACAACAATACATTTAATAAGTGAGATTGAAATTTTTTGAACCCGAGCAAACGTAGTGAAAATGTCAATGTTGATTTCCAGCCCATATAGGGCTGACCTGGGACAGCTAAAGGGCGGCTTTAACTTGCGCGGTGACTCGACAAAGTGCAAAAAAAAGCGAGCCATGAAATTCGGCTCTTATTAAAGGCGCATGGAGAGTCGCCCGTTCGATTTTACAAGCCAGTCTAGAATAGACTATACCTAAATATTTTGATCTTCAAAGGTCGAATAACAGATATATTCAGGATGTGGTAAATATTTCAAACCATGCCCGCGAATAAATTAAAGAGAGTCGAGTTCAAGTTCGAAAAAAGGCGGATAGTCCTATACTTTGGGTTGTTTCAGTTGGCCGGCGGGGATTTATCGCAGAGGGCCAGCGAAGGCGGCTACGGATACCTACGAGAGTGGCTCTGGTGGATGGGAGTCATCACAAGTCGGTTTCGTGCAATATTCCGTTTCTTTCATGTCGGGCAAGAAATGAGAACAAACGAACCTTTTCAGTGGGTGTCGGTGAAGCGTGCAACTTTGCGGCTTACGCCTTTGCGCCGGCCTCTTTAGTGACCCCTCTTGGAGCTCTATCTGTGATAGTGACGTATGTTGCATACCTCCATTCTCATTGCTTCGGTTTGAATTCAGTGCAATCCTATCTTCACGATTACTCAATGAACGATTGAATATACTTGGATCGTTGGGGTGTGCGCTGTGTCTGCTAGGATCGACGGTCATTGTGATCCACTCGCCGAAAGAGGAGGAAGTCGGATCGATGGCCGAACTTGCCTTGAAAATGCAAGATGCCGGTTCGTTTCAGGTCTTTGTGTAGATGTTTACAACTCGACTCCTCATGATTTTCAACGATACTCTTGCCTTTTAAAGGCATAGGGGCAATGCGCGTCGAACGGTATACTTTAAAACGTGCAGAACTTCCTAGTTTTCGAGAAAGTAGTTTTCGAAATCGGAGAGAAAAAAAACTATCCACCAAAAGGGCATTTTGCAGTAAAGTTGCTCTATGGACAACATGGTTCGCCATTTTTGGATTTTCGCTTTTCTCTTTGTTTCTTTCAAATTTTAATTTTCTCTGTTGTCACCAAAGGCCTTCGTGGACCATTTATATATAATTTGCAAATTTTGTTCGCGAATGGCTTCTCTGGTGAGAAGCGATGATTTTATACAGCTTTCGGTGGAGAAGTCGATGTTTTATAGACCCAATCCATCCCGACTTGAAAAGTGAGGAAAGCGGAGAAGTGTAGCGTTAGCTTTTTTTAGTAGACCGTTTGGTTCGCAATTAAAAACTCTACAAAGTGTTGCTTTCACCTCAACCCCGTTTTTTACTGTCCCTATACAGTTTTAAGATGAACTAGATTGACCGTGACTCTTTCAATTTTCGATCGAAAATCTCTCCAAGACTAGGCTTGAGCGTCAGGCTGGGCGGCCTTACCCGTGTTTTGGGCCTAATTTTTTCGAAAAAGCCTGCGCGGGCTTCGGCAGACCAAGCTTCGGAAAAATTTTTATATTTCATCAAAAATTCTCATTCTAACTCAAAATTTTCACAGACAAACTCAAAAAGCAGTGGTTCAACAAAAAAACGAGGTCAAACCAAGTTTCTCTTGATTTTTCTTATTACATGTTGAGTCATTATTCCGGTTGGTTTTTAAGTGGTAAATTACTCAAAAGCGTGATTTTTTTTTTTTACAAAAAAAGGTCGTTAGGATTCACACTGATCTGTCACAGATCATAGTTATCAAAAAAAAGAGTAGTTTATCAACCTTGATGTTAAAAGTTATCTCAACAATCTACTTTCTGATGTACCAGAGGCAGGTTCTTGAAACCTCAACCCACCGAAATTCCTAGTAACCAAAGTAAAATGATACTTCTCTACAGCTGTGAAGCTTAACAGTCTTTTTTTTGCAGGTTTTCTAATCTACGTTATTCTCATTCTCTTGACTACGGGTTTCATCGTAGTCTACGTGGCTCCAGCGTACGGTCGTACGAATATTCTGGTTTATATCAGCGTTTGTTCGCTCATCGGATCGCTTTCCGTCCTGTCAGTGAAGGTAACGAATGTTTTGATGTTTTAGCCAAAGAAATGGCATACCAGTGTTAAGAATTTTTTGGAAGAATAAAATCCGATAGAGAAGTTTTTTATCTTTTGATTGGTACCCGAATTAATAGGATCGGCCAAGTTTTTAATATAGTTATCAATTTATGACGTTTATTATTCAAACATAAGGTTATATTATAGAAAAACCGCGAAAAGAAAGCTGTGAAAAGATAGCCGAATCTTCTAAGGAAAAACTCAGTGACCCTTCTAGGGGGAGAAATGTCTCCAGTCAGACAGTACACTAGACAGGGCATTTCTAACTCCGTTTAGTGGTCATTCTGGAGAATAAAAATGGTCACTAGAAGGAGACGACAATAAGAACGTACGTACTCCTGGTAGTAAGGTGTTGGGAGAAACGTAAGAAACCTTCAATTTTTCACGTGCAATCTTAGTGGGACGGCTCGATTTTCGTCGATAGTGGGACGGCTCGATTTCAGCAGCTTTTTTTTAAAATCATACACTCAAAAATGAATTTTCTCGAAGTACAAACGGGTTTCAAAATTGGATATCATTTGAGAAAGAAGAAACCATATTTCTACAGGGTCTCGGTTTGGCGATCAAAGAGACGTTGGGCGGAAACCAGCAATTCACCAATTGGCTCACGTATTTTTGGCTAATCTGCGTGGCTTCGTGTGTATCTGTTCAATTGGTAGTTTCTTTTTGTTTCGTATAACTATAATCGAAATTCTTGAGGTTTATCTGAACAAAGCGCTTGACGTCTTCAACACGTCGATGGTGACGCCAATCTATTATGTGTTTTTCACGACTTTCGTCATTTTAGCCTCGTCGATTTTGTACAAAGTAGTTCAAGTTGTTGATTATGGCTAAAGTTTCTGATCATTTTGAGGAATGGTCGTGTCTTGGAGCGTCGGACGTTTTAGGAAACCTAGTCGGCTTTCTCACGACCATCATTGGAATATTTCAGGTACACTCTTTTTTGCAATATTTGTGGAGGAAATCATAAAAAAGAAAGTCATTTATGGACACGTTGATTTTTTTTTTCCACCCTCACAAGTCTCCCTCAATTAAAGTTAGTACTATATCCTGAAATTTAAACTTTTTTTTTAAATATTTTGTTGTTGAAGTTTTTCCAAGGAGACCTTTCCTCTCACATGGTTCGTCATTTTACTTTTCGTGTCGGAATTTTTTTGAAAATTTGCTCAAACAATTTTCAAACGTGTAGATGAAGATACCTAACAGTCGCTACCTGCGCAAACTTTTGTTTTTTGAAATATTAATTCTTAAAGTTTACGTTCAACAGAGTTAAGCCTAAAAAGGAGGTCATTTTACTTTTCGACTTTGAATTTCCTTCAAAGTTGCTCAAACACTCTCTGAAGGTTTAGATGAAGATCTCTCATTCTACTTGGCCCGACTTCTATTTCTCGAGATTCTTATTTCCATAATTCGCAACTTTTAAAAATCATAGTCGAAAAGTAAAACGACCTCCTTTGTCAGACTAAGTGACTCCTTTGCTGACTTGTTTTTCAAACGATTATACGACCATTTCAAAGAGTAATCAGAAGAAGGAGGAAATCGATAGGAATTTTCAGATGCAACTGTTCCGCGACGTCAACATCACCCTACACCAGGTGCACCGGCTGGTGGGCCGACCCTCGGCCTGCCTCGCCTCGGCAGAGTTCAACTCGAGCTCCAACCTTGTCGACGACTTTTGTATGCGCACATCTTCCAATTCTCGCCGAACTGTCTATACATGATACTTTTCATTTATATAGGAGAAAGAAGGAAAACGGAATACACCATTTATTTGCACATTTCCATGTTTTTTTTTCTCTCCCTCTCTCGCTGGTATCTCAAATTATCAAGCCACCAGTGTCACTTCGAACCATCCCGTGACGGGTTATCACCATGTAAATTCAAATATGCCATTTTAGTCGTCAAAAAAACTTTTTTTGATCTAATCCAATTATGTACACACTTCAAAGTCGATGTCAAAAAAAATAAAGGAAATTTGTATAAATTTCCATTTTATTGAGAAATTCCGTGACATGTGCTTTTTCAAGGTTTGATAGAAATGAAGAAGTCACTCAAGAACAAAAATTGGAATTTTCTTATTATTTTAATCGTTAAGAGCAATATTTGGTTGAAATTTTGATCTGCTTTTTTTGACGACTATCATGTACGTATATGTGTGTCAACAGCGGGAATCTACCACTTTTTCTCTGTTTTAATAGTTTTTTTCTTCAAAAAATTTTTTTCCATCGGAGTGATCGCTTTCTTAAGTTCTGTGTGGCGATAAGTCCTTTTTCTCCCTTTGCTATTCATAAATTTCTAAGCAGTCTACTTCGCATGTGTCGCTCATCGGAAGATGCTTTTTTGTCGTTTCCTCTTGAAAGAAGTATATTTTTGAAAAAATTTTTTTTAATGCGACGGTGAAGTGACTGTATCCCTGTGACTTGCCCATTTTTCTCATCTCATTTCGTAGAATTTTAAATCTCACTTTTTTGCGACTACTTTTTCAGATCGTTTTCTCAAATATCTTTACTCGGGCCTTGGCAAAGCGAATCGGGCGTGTTTCTAGTGACTACTTTAGGGGCCTCAGCGCTCTTAAGTGATCCCTAGAATTGCCCAGAAACGTCCGGAGCACGTCCGTTACGCCTTACCAATGTCCGAGTAGATTGCTCACAAAAAATGCAATATCGTTGTTTCTCTTTCTTTGCCTTTTTATTTTTTTTATTTCAAAAAAGATTATTAGAACGTGTAGTTGTTTTAGTAAAAAGGTATTTTGTCATTGCTGTTGCTGTACGAGAAAAAGGCTTTTATTCCTTCAAATGGTTTTTCGAATTTTTTCTTTGCCGTGTTCAATTTGATTCCGCGAAATGCAAAATACCCGTTAGAGAAAGGAAAAGATCACTAAATTGTGGAGAGTCAGAGATCATTTTTGCATTTCGCGGAATTAAATGAACACGGCATTAACTTGAAAAATGTCAGTGAAAATTTTTCAAAAATTCAAAAATTTAGAGTTCAGAGTTTGCGATTGTACGCTCTCAGAATTCTGACGGACGCATAAGTTTTAGCGAGCGTCGTAAAGGAAACGCTGAGAACTTTTTAAGTTGACAAAAATCGTTAGATTACGTTTTTCCTCAAACTATTTTGAAATCGAAGCTCAAAGTCTGTTTAAGCGACAGTTATAGAATCATACAGTTTAATGGTTTTTGTTCAACGTTGAATAGTACTTCACAGAATCGACTTCAATGCGTGCCATTTCACGAGTGTTTCAGCTCGCGCGCGGGCGTAATTTTCAAGGCCGCGATATCCGGCCGGAGTGTCGTTTGACATTATAACGAAACTTTTATATGTTTCAGAGAAAAACATTTCCCACCACTATTCAAGCGTTCCGTAAGTTGAATGCGCGTCAAATTTCTTTCTTTTTCTTCGACGTTATATTTTTCGCAATATTTTAAAAGTTGCGGAAGTTTTTATGGATATATTGTTTCTTTTTTAAACCGTTCTTGAGCGGCATTTTTTGAATTGTATACTGCTAAAAAGAAAAAAACCAAGCAATAAAAATTTTTTTCGTTCTGAAAATGTTTTTTTACTCAACCGAACACGCCATTAATTTTTTTATGGATTCTAAAAAATCCTTCCTTTGCTTGTTTCAGTGTAGTTAAAACGTCGCTATAAGTTACTTTCAGAAAGCGCATAGAAATTTATAAATGAAAGAGTTTATTTTTCTCAAGTTCCCTTGGGTATCAAATTTTCTTTTATTAAAACGCACACGCACTGGTGAATCGGGATGTCGATACAAGTATGTACCGGGTAGCAACTCAAGTGAATCGGCGAATGGTAATCGGTGGTCCTGAAATTCGCGATTCCTACTGGCTAGCACATCGGTCGTTCGTTCATTTAGCACCAGTGTTTTTGTAAACCTTCCCAAGTCTTCCAGGATCTTATTGGCTGACGCTGAAACAAAAAAATAACCACCCGGGATCTCCAGGTAGTTACCCGGTAGCTACTTGCATCGACCTTCCGACTCAGGTACCAAAGAGATAGTGCCCGGTCGCATACAAACGACCACCGATTAGAATACGCCGATTGACTTTTAAAAATTTGCTATTCGGTAGCTATTTGTATCAACCACCCGATTCACCTTTGACGGTGTAATTTTCCTTCTGTTTCAGTTTCACGCAAATTCATTCATCATCAGAATAGTCACGAGGTCTCTGAACTTTGATATTTTTCAATCCTTGCCTTGGTATCGATATCAGTCCTTTTGATGTTATCTTTTTTCAAAAAGCTCTCAATTTTTATTGTTTAAGTAGTTTAATTTTTGGAGCACGACAGAAATCTCGTTACTTTTGTTATTTTTTTCGTTTGATAGAAAAGTTAACATGTCAGATTGTTGGTGTAGTAGTAAAAGGCATTGTCTATCACAGACTCAGTGATCAGAATTCAATTAATTACCGCGTTTCAAAATTAGCAGCACTGATGTACTGAATTGCGGCTAGACCGGTTTTTCTAAACTGGCGGTGGCGCCTGAACAAGCGTTCCAAATACCTCCGTCGACATTTGTTTCTCTCCGTTTTTTTTCCATCTCTAGAATTATTCATCGATTCGCCATTTTCAATGTTTTTCCAATTTTTTTTTCAAAGTTTTTCTTTGTAGGTTCGTCCTCGTCTCTGGGAGGTGTCCTTTGGAACTGCGGTTGGGGGCGGTCGGAATGTCGGAAACGATATCAAGGCTTCTCACAATCACCGTCGGTACCCTGTATCCTGCCTACCGCAGTTATAAGGTTTTTTCATGATTTCCATTATGTCATTGAAGTTTTTTGTTTTTTTTTTTTGAGGGTATAGCTGTGTTGAAAGTTAATGAAATGATGGGATATTTTGGATGAATTTCATTTGAAACTCTTAATCATTTTTCGCTTCGTTCGTATGGCGCGCTAAAAGTTCTCTCATTGGTGCCCTTTTTTCAAATTTTGGAGCCCTTCCGATATTGAGAAAGTTAAGAGCATTTATTCATCCAGAAAAAAATTGCGACTGTTTTTTTTCTCAATTTTTGTCAGTTTTTGATGAAACTTAAATTTCACATTACTTTCTTTTATAAACAGTTTCCAGGAGCTTCTCTGTGAGTTTTTTTCCACATGTTTTTCTCAAAGGGTAGCACAAAAATATTTAGACGATAGAATGTTCGATTTTCGATGAGGCTTAGAAGGTTGCTCAAGCGCAGTGATAATTTCGGTTTTCAGGCGATTCGAACCAAGGATACCCGAGAGTACGTAAAATGGATGATGTTCTGGATTGTTTTTGCGCTGTATTCGTTCCTCGAGAATATCCTCGACCTTTTACTCGCTTTTTGGTTCCCATTCTATTTCCAATTGAAAATCGTGTTTGTTGTTTGGTTGTTGAGCCCCTGGACTAAAGGCGCATCGATTCTTTATCGAAAGGTTTATTTTTGCAAGTATTCAAAAAGTTAGGTATTTTTTTTCAGTGGGTTCATCCAATGCTCACTCGGCATGAGAGGGATATTGACGCGTTGTTAGACTCAGCCAAATCGGAGAGTTATAATCAGGTTAGATTTTTTGAAGCAAAATTTAGAAATTGAATAAGTTTTATTCGAAACACTTTTTTTTCAGTTGGTACGAATTGGAAGCCGCAGTCTGGTTTACGCCAAGGATATTGTTGCCGAAGCGGCGATCCGTGGTCAACAGCAACTTGTGAATCAAATTCAACGGTAAAATCTTTTCAAAATTTCAACATTTTTCTGGCAATTTTTTGAGCTTCACTTTGTAGCTTGACATGTATAATTTTAGTTTTTTAGTTAAAAGAACTATTATCGATTTTATTGACTATGGAATATTTAAAGTTTCAACTTTTTTTCGAATGTGATCCGATAGAGATTTCAAATTTTGTGTTTAAACATTTTTTAAAACCTTTTTAGCCCATGTTCCACGCCAGCTTGTCACGATATTTATTTTCCTCAGAGCAACTTTTCCTGGAAGCTCCCATTTTTGTCTCTGTGCATGCGCCTTTCTTCAAGCCTAAAGCTTCCGTTATGGTCACTCAGGGGAAAATAAAAATCGTGACAAGCTGGTGTGGAATGGCTATAAAAGGACGTTTGCCGTCAATAATCTTCGAAAAACTGATTTCAGTTCCTACAGCGCCAATGACGTGAGCACAGACCGTGAGCCGCTGCGCAGCAAAATGAACATCGAAGAGATTGTGGAGGAGGCCGACGAGAGCATGCACAGCGACCACGAGCTCGTCAGCGACGATGCGCCCAAGAATCGCAGGACGACGCGATCGCGTTCTCGTTCGCGGACCCTCGAAGGCGGCGAGAATCCGTACCCGGCGACGATGCCACGAAGGAATCCGCGTCGCCATTGATCTCGCATTTTTTATTTTTCTTAAAAATAGTCGGTTTTCAGGTTTTTTTTTCTCACATTATTTCGTTTGATATGACGAACTTGCCTGTTTTTGACTGAGAAAGCTTATTTGAAGGATTTATTTCAAAGTTCTGCTGGAAATAATACACAATAGCTGGTAGGGAATTTTTTTTTTCTCCGCTCCCTTATCTATCACCAAAAGCTTTTTCGAACCATTTACAGTCAAAAATAAGTGGTTTGTCATTCAACACATTAATGCATTTTCTCGTAAGATTTTATCATTAGAATCTCCTTTTTTATAGACATAATATATTGCTTGTAGTATATTCAGTTAAGGTTGCTTGTCTTATTACATTTTTCTGAATGATTTGCTAGGCTCTTATAATTAGATTTCACTTCCATTGAGCTCTAGCCTATTCGTTGTTTATAAATTGATCTTGAAGAGATCAAGGCGAACGAGGCTGCGTTAATATTATTCTCATCTTTTTATTTTCAAAATGAGATTTTCTTCCCTTTTCCTTATAAGATTGTCATGAAATGCTCCAAGTATACTTGTAAATTTGACAATTGAAATTTCCACCCCTCCATTTTTTGTGCCTTCTTCCCCTTTATTTTTGATTCATAATATCTTTGTCTTTTTGCTCATTGTAAATATATCGTCGTTTCTACGCAGCTTGAAAATCAAAACGAAAAAATAAATTGTTTCGAAAAGTGGGCGTTTTGTCTTATTCACCGGAAATTCCTTTTACCGGTTGCGAATTTTGGTATTGTGAAGTTACTTTTCTTATTTAGTTGTGACTTTTGGCAATCAAACGTTCAACGATCGCCACCGCGCGTCTGAACGAAAAAGACGGTAATTTATCTAAATTCCTTGTTTTAATTATCAAAACTGAACATGTTAATATAAAAATTAAGAAAAATATTCCAAATCAAAAGTAAACTGGAAAGAAACGTTGTGCAGTTCCATTTTCGAAGCGCAATTGCCAGGAAAAAATACTCGCATGCTGATCAGGTGTCTCAACGGGTGTACCCGTATTTAACCCGTGTTTCTGAGGTTATTTTAGTCTCAGTTGGGCTAAAACGGGGGAACAACGGGTGTAAGAAAAATATGTAACCCAGCTGGGCTAAAGCGGGGTCTCAGTTGGGCTAAAAATTGCCAAAAGTTCTATCAGCTGGGCTTTTACGGGTTTAATACGGGGGCACCCGCGGAGACCCCGTGTTAGCACGGCGGGGTTACCCTGCTCAGCATGCGAGTACAAGATTTTTTCATTTTGGTTTGGAGTTTTCTCTTCTCAGGACGTTTTAGAAACGAAACCATCTCGAAAAGAAGCAGCACTAGCAAGAAATCATGAAAAGTGCGCTTTTTTTGAAAGAACACATTATCTTTTTTTTCTATTGAACACACTATTTTGGGTAATTCGGGTCTTGTTTGCGGAATATGTTCGGGTTTGTCTTCAGGGAACGGTTCAACATTTTAAAGATTGCGAATCGAGAAGAAAACTTCGAAAAACTTTTTTGGAGTCAAGTTGGAAGACGCCTTTTTTTAGTTTTATGCTCCTTAATAAAACAATGCAAACATTTTTTGACACTGTCTTTGTAGCGCTATTATGAGCTTTTTGCGGTTTTGGTGATGTTTAGGCGCTCAAGTACCAAAATATACCCTCTTAGTGTACTATGTATCAGTGACGGAGATAAGAGATGGCATTTGAGAACAGGTTTTCCGTGTCTCACACTTTCGAGGCGACAGCTTTCACTGTTACGCTCCTCTCATTCTGTTTGGTGTCAAAAGTTCTTTTAAATTGCGCATTATCTCTGGAAATATCTCCCAATTATTGTCTTAATTCCATCGAGTTAACAAAAATTTATGAAAAACGTTTCCTTTATAATTCTACTAGATTTTTTTATATATTTACCAGAAATTAGGGAAGCTTCAAAATGCGAGATAATTTCATGGTGATGCTTTTGATAATTATTTACCATGCCAAAATAGAGTTAACGAAAAGCTCACATTGTTTTTTTTTATTATTTTTTTCCTTTGAAAAATAGTTTTCTCGGTTTTAAATCTATAAATAAGTTAAATAACACGTCTAATTACCAACTGATTCCACAAGGAGTTTTTTTCAAAAACGACACTCCAAATCACAATATTCCGTTTATATGACCTTGACGGGCGCGTTTACGAGACGATTTCGCAAGTTTTTTCCCCTATTCATTTGTTTATTTAGCGAATTGTTCGAAATATATGACTAATGAAGGTTTCATGGCTAAGAAAAATTTTGAAATTTGCAATTTTTTCCTTTCCGACAGCAAAAAAACTGAAAAATCTCGATTTGAAAAGTGGAAATTGTAAAAAAAAAAAGCTTTATCTTAAAAAAATATTGATGAAAATGGAAGGAAATTCTTTTTTCGCTTAAAATTCCTTTGCTTTGGTTTCTTTTTCATTTCACACTTCCTGCTCTGCGAAACTACCCTCACTCTTTCTCCTGTTTGTTTGTTCGGCAAAGGTAACCATCTATTGTCGTTTGCCTTCTCATATCGAAGCATTCATCGATTTTCCGTTTTATAATAATAATCTTTGGTTTTTGCAGTAGTTCCGCGTTTTCTTTTTCCTTTCGGTAACTATAGTTTCTATGTTTCAAATCGTTCAGGCGTCCTTGGATCGCAATTATTTGAGTAAATTGCGTGGTTTATTCGAGAAACCCGTTCATTTCTATCAAAGATCGTCGATTTCGGCGCGAGCTTCAATTAAAAGTGAGGCCGATGAACGAGGATGCCACAGGGACATAATACGATAAATTCTCGTTTGATACGGTTAGGTGGGGGCTTTTCGGCCTTTTTGTCCCATCCTGATTTAATTTCTCAGGGTCCGACCATGAATCGGCACAACAAAGGCATAAGCAAAATTTCTGCGGTAATGAAATTAGGTAAGATATTGATTTTTTTTTTTGATTTTTTGAAAAGTTACATTTTCTTTTTTTTTTCATTTCTATTTGCAAGTATATATTCCGATTGCATTGAAAGGGAATAGTAAAACTTTCTAAAATTTGGATAGATTTCGAAAGAAAACTTTTTTTCACTCTCAAAACAAGAAGCTTGATTAAAAATCAAAATGTGAACTGATTCAGCAAATAAATATGCTGTGCGTATTCAAACTAAACAAGATTTGCTGAGGCAAATTTTTTGTATTTTCCTCGAATTTTTTAAAACTTTCAGCACGTGTAAATATAATGCTCTATCTTTTCTCCCACGGTTTCTCTATGAACAGTTTCGTCGTTACAACAACATTTTCTTCCTTGTAATTGCGTTGCTTCAGGTATTTTATCAACTCTATCATTCATTTTATCGTTTTTTTTTTCACAGCAAATCCCAGATGTCAGTCCGACAGGGCGATACACTACGGCTGTACCTTTTTTGATCATTTTATCGGTATCAGCGCTGAAGGAAATCTTCGAAGACTTGGTTTGTGATCAATTTGTTGAAATGAACGAACTTAATTTAGATTTCTGTATTAATAGAAATGAGTTTCATTCTCATTTTAAGCTTTTTTTGAGGTATTTTTTTCTGAAAAAATACTTTTTAATTGTTTTAAATTCGCAGTAGCTTGGTAAAAAAACTAAAATTTTAAGATGATTATCTAAGTAAAACATCTCTGAAAAACTCCAATTTTCTCGATATATTTTTATTTTTTTCTTTTTTTCTTTTTTTCTGAATTTCATCGATTACCGCGCGAAAGATGTTTTTCGCACGTTTTGAAATGACTTTCATGTTCGTTTCATACTAGAGATAAGGATTTCGTTGGATTTTTTTTAGAATTTCTTATTCTTTTTTTCTGGTTTTAATCGTTCAGAGCGCTTTTTTGCATGATGCATATTTTCAGAAGAGAAGAAGGTCGGACAGTAAAGTGAATAGTTTCCCTGTCGAGTTGCTGGAAAATGGATCATGGGCGAAAAAAGAATGGCGTCAGGTTAACAATTTCCTTTTTCACGCTTTTATCATGAATATAAAGGCTTTTTCATATTGAATCAAAAAAAAGTTAGGAATGTTTTCATTGTTTCATCTTTCTATCAAGTTAAATTCTGTCTACACATTTTTTTTCTAAACAACTTCGCGAATTCGTGGTCGCGGATCGATTTCAAAATTTGGCGGTTTATAGACCTAGGTAAGGGCACTTGAAAACAGGAAATATTATTTGCGAGACCCAATAAAGGATCTAGAATAAGATTGTTGAAAATTGAAATTTTAGGCTTGCACTATCAGATTTCTTGGCTGGAAAAAAGTTTCAGTGATTATCTTAGCTGGATCATTCAAGGCAATTTTATCGGAATATATACAATGAGGTAAAAAACAGTATTCTGAAAATTTTCAAGCTGAATTTGCAAATTATCTACGAATTTTTTCTCTGTTAATTAATTGGGTTCAGCAAATATTCTTTTTTTTTCAAGTGTTCGGTTATTAGATTCATAAACCAAAAAGTTGTGAACTTGGTTTATAACATTGTTCGAAGGAATTTTCCAATGTTAGATTGAAAGAAATTGGATAATGCTGAATACCAGAAGGTTCCTCAATGACGTGTCCAAAGGTAATTTACGCGAAATTTTTTGTCTGACTCTCAAAAATTCAGTTATTTTTTTTCCTCTGACGGCTATTTTGAATTTCGCGGAATTACTTTGAATACGACACAAGAAAAATAAAACGAGAATGCTTTCGTTGATCGTTGTTCTCTTCTGTTGAGTTATTTTGTATCTCTATTTCACGTCTCAAGTGAATTACGCTATTGCGACCCACTGACCGCGTGGAACAGTGGATAGCACTCTGATCCGGCGGAGACTGGGTCCTTGATTCAATCTCTTTCCCAATTGGCGCCAATTTCAATTTTTTTTTTTGTTCATTTCAAACATTCCGTTAAGAGGACGTGAGCTACTCTTTCGATCGAAATAATTTATTTGAGAAACCGTTTGTTAATTTCCCCGTAAATTTCAGGTAAAAGTTGGCGATTTCATTCGAGTGGCGAACGAGGAAATGTTTCCCGCCGATTTGTTGATCATTTCGTCGAGTGAGCAACAAGGCGTCGCCTACATCGAAACTTCAAATCTCGACGGGGAAACGAATCTCAAAATTAAGCAGGTTTTAAACTTTTCTCATTTTTTTTTTCATTTTCCGGAGTTTCAGGCACTGGAATTGACGGCGAACGTGACGTCATCCGAAGAGTTGTCCCGGTTCCAAGGCGAAATCGAGTGTGAGCCGCCTTCCCGGCATGTTAATGAATTCAATGGAAATCTCAAGTTTGGCGAAGAGACACGGCATTTCGGTACATTTTAACTTCTTGATAAGCCCTTTTTGGTCTGTAGAATCACAGGGGTGACTTACTTTTTGCACGACTTCAAGTCCTCGTATTTCATATTCGAAAGTATTTCAGAGAAAGTTTTTTCCGAATAATCTTTGGGTCGTAGTTAGAGCCTCAAGCATATTGTGACTCTTATTGACCACTGGATTTGGTGCATATTTTGTCGTATTTTCGCAAAATGTATAACCTGATCCAATGTTCTTTTTCCGGTGTTCAGAAGGTTTTTCTTGTACATGCTGAAGACTGAGTTATCAACGGCAACAAGTCTTTTGCACTCGGGAAAAATTGACTATACGAACTTGTCTGAGCTTTGTAAACAAGCTTAAAGTCAAAAAGCTTAAAAAGCTCAAACTCAAGTTCGTATAGTAATTCGACCGCCAGCGACTATTTGGAGAGCTCGTTGATCGATCTTTTCACTTCTCAGTTTTTTTTTTTAGTGCATTGAAAACAGTAGGATAGAAGCAAAAAGAGCCGGACCAAGCTTTTTAAATAGTCTTTGACGCTTGAATTGAATTCGTGACGAGAACCGCGTCCACTTCTCCGCCTCCCTTGCTTTTCAAATCGACAAGGATTTTGCCTCTAAGATGGTTTTAAGTCCCTCCAATAATTACGCCCGATCTGTAGGTAGAAAGCCAACCTCAGGATGTTTTGACACGATGTCGTTTTGTTTTAAAGGCACAAAGACGTATTATAAAAAAACTATTTTTTTCAATCATATTTTTCTAATTTTTTCTTCATTGCGTATTTTCATTGTGAAAAAAATAGCCGCTTCTCCACTATCCAAAATAAAAAATTTTTTTCCGATGTTTTGTTAATTCAATCTTTTTTCAGGCATCGATCAGCTTTTGCTGCGTGGCGCTCGATTGAAAAATACATCCTGGATTTTCGGAGCCGTCATTTACACGGGACACGATGCCAAATTGCTGATGAACTCGAAAGTTGCACCCTTGAAAAGGCAATCGAAAGATTAAATAGTCTTTCATCAGAGTTCTCCTTGTTTCAGTGGAACAATCGACGTGAAAACGAATTATCGTATTATTTTCCTATTCTTTGTACTCGTTGCCTTGGCGTTGATTTCGGCCGCCGGATCGGAAATCTGGCGTTCCAACAATATTCCGCAGGCTTGGTACCTCTCTTTCCTGCGTGAGAAACCACTTGATAAAAACTGAAAAAAAGTTGTTGAATTGCAGAAAGTGATTCGCGTGGCTCGTTCCTCTGGGGCGTCTTGACTTTCTTCATTTTGTACAATAACTTGATCCCCATTTCGCTGCAAGTCACCCTCGAAATTGTCAGATTCTTCCAGGTAACCTTCTTCATTCCTTTTTCTTTGTCTTCTCCTTCAAAAATTTAAAAATAGGTTCCTCTAAGGACCATTCAAAAAAAAACAATCCAACTTCCTTTTTGTTTTTTTTTGATTTTTTCTACTACAAACATAATTAACCTGAAATGCTCTAAAATGTTCAAGAAACTCGCCTTTAGGCAGGTTACATCAACAACGACATTGAAATGTACGATGTGAACAGCGATTCTTGTGCCGTGGCGCGGACCTCGAACTTGAACGAAGAGCTCGGAATGGTTTCACCGGCATTTGATCTCTAACTCAATCTTTCTTGTTTTCTAATTAGGTGAAATTTGTGATGAGTGACAAGACGGGCACGTTGACGCGCAACGTGATGAAGTTCAAAAGGATCTCGGTGGCTGGAAAGAACTACGGGGACAACGAATCCGACGAGTTCAACGACGACTCCCTGCTCGAAGACGCCAAGAACAAGGCCTCCGACGGCGTCAACCATATCGTCGAGCTTCTGACGATGATGGCCGTCTGTCATACGGTCGTTCCGGAGCACAAAGACGGCGAGGTCCTATTATAGTCCTTCGCTAGAGAGAACTGGAACTCTGATTTCGAGATGTCCAGTCATTTGAAATGAGCGGAAAAAAAAAAAAAGATCATTTTTGTTGCAGATAATATATCAAGCGTCATCACCGGATGAAGGAGCATTGGTCCGTGGCGCGGCATCGCAAAAAGTAGTTTTTCACACTCGTCAACCCCAGAAAGTGGTCATCGATCTGGTAGCAGCACCTCAAAGTCTAAATATTTTTATGCTTCCAATAGTTGGGAAAAGACGAACCAATCGAGCTTCTGGACGTCATCGACTTCACGTCGGACCGAAAGAGAATGAGCGTCATCGTGCGCGATTCGAAGCATAAAATCAAGCTTTACACGAAAGGAGCTGTAAGAACCGGAATGCTGTATAGGACTGGAACCACTGAATGTTTCAGGACACGATGATTTTTGATCGGCTCACCCAAGGCAGTGATACAGACCTCAAAACTTGCCAGTTCGTTTCCTAGTGTACATCTCTTGAAGGTGTAAGACGAACTTCAATAGGATGGCCCATTTTTTTCACGACTTCGAACGATTTCTCGCTCTCCCGCTAATAAAAAGAAAAAAATTCCAGGCAACTTCGAAGCTTTTTAAATATAGATCTGGTTTTAAAATAGATATAAAATAGAAGTTTATAAGAGAAATTGTGCACAGAATTTTGAAATTTTTGTGTTTTTGAAAGGAACTAAGAGTTTTAGAAGATATGATCAGCAAAATACCTGGCTGAAGAAAGTAAAGCTAGGAATCGTTTTAACACATGTTCTAGTACAAATAAAGAGCAAAATAGGGTCGTGATTTGTTCAATGTGTAAAAAAATTTGTTCAATGTATAAAAATTTTTTTAGGGAGTTGCCAGAGCGAAAATGCATCGTAATCTCAAAATATTCAATTTTGAGCTCAAAAAAGTGCCGAAAAAGTTTTTTTCAGACTTTTTTTTCAGGGAACACTTAGAGGATTATGCCTCATTCGGCTATCGGACGTTGTGTTTTGCAATGCGCACCATTGAAAAAGTTTATTTTTTCTGTATTTGAATATCATCTGTTGGTTTTAATAGAGCGAATATGACGAGTGGGCGCCGAAATACAAGCAAGCCTCGTTGGAAATTGAAAATCGCACGAAAAAGCTCGCCGACGTCGCGGAAAGTATTGAACACGACTTGACGCTACTCGGTGCGACGGCCATCGAAGACAAACTTCAGGAGGTTTTTCTTTCAAGAATTTCTTATTTTGAAGTCGAAAATATTTAATTTTTGTTTTGAAAAGGCGGCGTGCGGGATTTGCAGTGAAAAAGAGGTGTTTTGGCGCATTGTTAGCGCTTAGGGAATGAGACCCTGTTCTCACGAAAGAGTCCAACTAAGGCGATTTACGTTTCTTTGGTGATTTTTTTTTTCAATTTAGTATGAATCAAAAAAACAAACGTTTTTTTAAAAAAATTTTGTGTCGTTTTTTTGTTTTTGTACTGAATCCACAGAAAAACGGTACACCAGTTTCTTTTTTTTTGAGAATTTTTAATGAAAAATTAATGAGAAACAAAATGAACACCAAAAAAAAACCAGAAAAATTGTTATCACGTCAGGTTTGAGGAGAGATCTCATTCTTAAATTTGTTTTAATACGCCACAGTCTTCGAAAAGTGGTCATTCTACCATTAAACGAGTTTTTCCTTCTCTTTTCCTTTAATACTCATGGAAGCTTAGCTTCGTACCATCTCCATTTCAGTATGTCCCGGAGACGGTGCAAGCCCTCATGCAGGCGGATATGCGTGTCTGGATGCTCACGGGAGATAAGCGGGAGACGGCCATTAACATTGGTAAAGAATATATTCGTCAAACCCCAACCAAGCGATCCTTTCAATATTTGAAAGATTGGCCTGACAGAGTTTTTGTTGAAGATCATTTTTGAAAGCAGAAAAAAAGCAATTTTTAAAAGTATTTGTTTGGTTAAGTGTTGGTTTTTGACGAATCATAGCGATTTTGTATTCTTAGTATGTATATTCCAGCCCATTCTTGCGCTTTGCTTCATTCCAACACTGAGCTGTTGATCGTCGACAAGCACACGTACGAGGACACCTACAGCAAGCTTGAACAGCTTGCCAGCCGAGCTGTCGACCTGGAAAAAGAGGAAAAGTGGGTATTTGGAGGTAAAAAAGAACGAGGCGTGGAAAAGAGAAAACAAATATTTTTTTTCTTTTTTAAGGCTCTCATAGTTTAAGCTATTTAGAAGGTAACTTTCATCAGCATGTTCTTCCTCGCGTTCAGACAACTCTGAATAATATCACTAACCTAGGCGCGTACGTTTATTTGAAGAAAAAGGGAGCAAAAAGTAAACTCTGTCAGTTCAGGTTGGAGCAGAAAAGTCAAGATAAAGTTGTATGAAATAGAAAAAAAAATTTAGAAGAAGCTGTTGTTCAAATGACCTTTCAGAAAAGGGATTTGGGTTTCTCGATCCCTATTCCAGTTCTTAAGTGAAAAATGCTATTCGATTTTTTTCCTCTCATTTCGAATCTTCCAACCGAATAGATTTTGAAGCTTCGAAAAAAAAAACAAATTTTTAGGCAATTCGCAATGGTGATTGACGGGAAGTCGCTGCTACATGCGTTGACAGGCGAATGTCGGCAGCATTTCGGGAGCCTGGCCCTTCGTTGCCACGCCGTTGTCTGCTGTCGGATGTCGCCGATGCAGAAGGCCGAGGTGGTGGAGATGGTCCGATCCCTGGGCGACCACGTCGTGATGGCGGTCGGCGACGGTGCCAACGATGTCGCCATGATCCAGGCGGCCAACGTCGGCGTCGGCATCTCTGGCGAAGAGGGTCTTCAGGCTGCGTCCGCTTCCGACTACGCCATCCCTCGGTTCCATTACCTCCGAAGACTTCTCTTAGTTCGTCTTTCTTTCCTTTCTTTCCGGGACTCTATTTGTTGAGAAATTGAAAAAAAAAGTGTTTCAAAGATGTCCTCAAACGAAAAGAAAAATGAAATGAGTTCTACTAGGAGTTTGTCGAGCGATTCGTAAAGTCTATCCACATTATCTTCATTTCTTAGGTTCATGGCGCCTGGAACCACGATCGATCAGTGAAAGTGATCCTCTACTCGTTTTACAAGAATATTTGCCTGTACATTATTGAACTTTGGTGAGTTTTGAAGAAAAAAAAAGAAAAAAAGGATTGAAGTTGCAAAACTCTAAATTTGACTTTATTTTTCTTGTTCTCCATTTTTCTCCAAAGGTTTTTTGGTTCATTTCCGCGGAGCGCGTATCTACCAGACTTTTCGGTTCACTTGGCTTAAGTTTTTTGATCTCTTTTTATTTATTTCAAACCTTGCAAATGAGGTCTTTTGACTTTGCGGTTGGGATTTCCTTGAAAATTTGCCGAAAACCTCTTTGATGTACCAGAAAAAGCTCCTGAAAGTTTCAACTTGAACAACCCCCGGGTTTTCGAGAGATGAGGGCTTTAAGTCCAAAAATGGCGTATTTTTTCCTTTCCAATTTTCAGGAAAATCCCAACCTCAGTCTGAAAAGACGATCCTTTGGCCTAAAAGATTTACAGAAATAGAGAAGTTGAAAAATTGGGAGAATTTTCATGACCTCAGAAAAAAATGGTTTTTTTTAATTCGCATTTTGTTGAAGGTTCGCAATTTTCTCAGCGTGGTCCGGCCAGACGATCTTCGAGCGATGGACGATTGGAATGTTCAACGTTATTTTCACAGCTTGGCCGCCGGTGATCCTCGGCCTTTTCGACCATCCGGTGCCTGCTGAGCAGATTTTAAAGTTCCCAGCCCTCTATAGCAGTTTTCAGAAACGAGCATTCAGCATAGGGGTACTGTATTAATCCTTGAAATTAAAAAAATTTTTTGTTTTTTCCAGAACTTTTGCCTTTGGATTGGCTTGGCGATCGTACATTCATTGTCGTTGTTCTTCCTCTCATATGCTTGGCTTGAACATCAGGTTTTTTTTCTTTTCGCAAAATAATCTATTTGAATCGAGTGGTCCGATCTTTGGAAAAGTCGGAAAATTTTCGAAAATAAAGACTTTAACATTTTTCAAAATTCGTAGTTTTTACGCCTTTCTTATGTACGGTTCTCTGATAATCAACATCAGTAAGACTTATTTTAATGAAGTTTTCGTGGTATGAAAAAAAAGCCAGCGAATTTTCAAACGGCGATTTTTTCGATTCTTTCATATCGCTTGGGAATTTTCCGACTGAGAAGTTTCCGACTTTTTTTTCCCGTGTATTGTTCGGGTCATAAAAGATCTATTAACATGTTTTTTTCCTTTTTCTTCGTGTTTCAAGCATGAATCAACTATCTATTTTATATTCGACAATTCAAAACGAAAAGATTATAGAGAAAAAAAAGTCGGAAAAGGAATAGTCGGAAATTTCTCAGTCGGAAAGTTCCATAGCGTTATGAAAAAATTGGAAAAGTCGCCGTAAAATTTGCTGGCTTTTTTTTCATACCTTCATATTTTCAGATTGTCTGGAGCAACGGACGTTTCGGCGGATGGCTGATGCTCGGGAATTGCGCCTACACGGTTTTCGGGACCTTAATCATTTGTGATGACCGCTTCCTTTGCAGTTTGTGGTCGTGACGGTTTGTCTGAAGGCTCTCCTCGAGTGCGACTCCTGGTCTTGGCCGATTATCGTCGCTTCTTTCGGCTCAGTCGTTCTTTGGCTTCTTTTTATCGTCGTATACGCGCTGGTGAGCAGGGTTTTCAGCTATTTTCAAAAATAAAGGATGGTATTTCGAAGGAAAGGTTTCACTTTCCAGTTTTGGAGACGAAGATATGATTTTTTTTTTCCAAAGAGACTTCCAGCGCTTTTTTTTTCGAAATAAATGTAATTACAAGAACAAAAGTGATAAAACTCTTTTTTTTCATAATTCTTTGCCCGTCTTCATTCCAATGCAAAAAAAAATTCTGAACCATAGGTGTTCCCGACGATTTCGACGAAAATAGGCAGCGACATCGCCGGAATGGCCTACATCATGATGTCGTCCTGGTCATTTTGGTTCGCCTTACTTTTCATCCCGGTGGCGACGCTCATGTGGGACCTTGTCATCAAAAGGTTCGATCTTCTTCGGGGTAAAAAAGTGATCCGGATTGAAAGAAAGCAAAAGATGAAATGATATTTAACAAGAAAAGCTAATAAATAGTAACGAACGTCATCCTCTGGCCTTGGGCCTTACGCCCATCAGCAGGAGGGGAAAACTCCTATTCCAGAAAAGTCTGTGGATGGTTCTAGACTAAATCCACCACGCTGAAGCTATCTGTCATAATCAAAAATTTCTAGGAAAGCTCCTTCATTTTTTCAGTCGTTTGAAATGTTGCGAAAACTGCTGTTCGTCAATTATTCACTTTTTCAGTTTTTCACTATTTTTCCCGTAATCTATCTTTTTTATTACATCTGTAGACGATTTTTTTGAAAAATTTGGACAACACGTTAGTTGAAAAGAAATTAAGCCCTCATGGAAGATGAAGAATAAATTTTCAGTCTGTTCACGATTGCTCTGCCGACCCCTCGCGAGCTGGCTGTGATGTACGCAAAGCGGAACTCCTCACCAACTGGATTCGAACGGTTAGCAAGGTTTGTTATCTTTTGTGTTTCGCGTGTCCCCCACACACACACGAACTATGGTTTTTATTAATTTCTCTTTCTCTTTTTCGCCCAAGACACATTCAAATCAAATAAGTTGGTCGAATTCAGTCCACTCGGTTTTGTTTTTGTTGCAGTCACAATGCAGGGGTCTAACTCTAACTGTGTGAGTTTTGCAACAATACTTTCTCATTATCAAATAAAAGTGTTTCCTTTCGTAGTCATTGCGGTGGTGGTGTCGATAGTGATTCATTTTGTGTAGACTTTTTCTGAGTGTTCAATGTGCCTTTTTTTTCGCTTCTCGTGAATGTCTTTCTGTCCGTACTAGCACTCTGTCCTAAATAACCTAAAAAAAACTCGATAGTTTGCTGGGTTTGGGGAGTTTTTTCCGATACCTGTTTAAGCTAAGGATTGATCGGAAATTTCAGAAGCGACCGTTTAGACGAAAAAAAAAGTCGATGTTTCAATTTATTTTTACTGATAGCTGAGGAAACTGAAAATAAAATCGGAAAGGCTCTACTAAATTTGATTGCGAAAACTTCAATTTTGGCACGTGCTCAAAGTAAAGTTTAAAAATATTTTTATTGGTCGCTATTAAATTGGATAAAAAATCGTTGATTTTTGTCAGAGCGCACTTGATAAAGAGTATTGCAAAAAATAGCTACTGCACGGTGCTGTAACAACTGCAACCCACCCTTTGAGAAGTTGGGGAGGACTCTAGACGGACAAGAAATCCTGAAGCGATCACTTGAGAGCTTAGCATTGAAGTGTTCACTTTAGCAAATACCCAACTTTTTCTGGCCTTTTGAAGATTTCTATTGAGGGAAGAATGTAAGCTTTTTCATTGTGGACTTCAAAAGAGCAAGTAAGTAGCCACTCGTCGCTTTTGGATTGGAGGAATTTCAAGGGAATAGGGGCCGCTCTGCTTTTTCACAGTTATTTTTCGGCTTTTAATGGTTGAAAAAACTTCAAGTGGTCACTTCAAGATTTCTTTTTCAAAGAACTTATCATTATAGGGTGCTCTTCAACTTTTCATGGGCGTGTGAGCGAGAGAGGGAGAGAGAGAGAGATTTTGGCATGTTCAGCGTGCTGGCGGCGGACCAAGGGCGCCGGAAGTCGCTGGTGTTTCCTCGAAGCACGAGTGGCTCATCGTCAAGAAGACGTCGTCACGGACGCCCTGAGAAGTCGGCGGCGTCGTCAGTGCGGTCACGTCTCCGGGGCTACGACAACAAAGGCGCCGAGTACGGTAGCACGGAGATGTCGACGGTCTCCAACGGTGCGCCGCAGGATCGACAGAGGGTCCATCCCAAAGATTCTCGGAGGGACGCCGATACAGCTAATCAGGCGAACGTAACGCGTATCGTCGTCAATGCTGACGAGGATTGATTTCCGCCAATTCATTCTTTTTTTCTCTTCTCTTTCGCTGGTCCTTAATATGAATATGGTTTTATGGACAGCTTTTCTCGGTTTTTGTTACTTTCTTTCGTGCTTCAAGTTTTTGAACTGGTTTTTTTAAACTCACTTCTGGATGATACCTTTGTGCCTTCACCGCTACCCTTCCTGGCTCAACACTGGCGTTCGCCTGTTTGTACGTTTGTTTTTTTTCTCTTAATTACATTTCTGAAGATCGTTTGGAAGCGGTTTCGTAATTCGTTGCGAGATTGCTTTAAACGCGCTTAATGCATAGAGCTTGTCTGTTAACCTTGTTGTTCGGTGTGTAGTTTATTTAGTGCATAATTTTAATTTTTTTTTTTCGGTTTTTGAGATCTTTATCTGTCTTTGAAGGCTTAGAGAAAAAGAAAACGAAAAAGCTTCAAATTTTATTCATCGGTAGCTGTTTCATCTGCTCTGGCAATTTGCAAACTTCCTTATTATTGTGGCTATGTAGGCAGCGATGTGATACTAGAGTGAATCAAAAAAATTTTACGATTCTGAAAATTCCAGAAATCTTTGATGAACGAGGTGAATGGGGGAAGCGAACAAAAAAGAAAACGTATCATTAATGACTTTTTTGTTTTGAAATCAACTTTCATTTTTAGTTACTCATCGAATGTCCTCGAAAACGTGCGCCTTCTTACGGAGTCGTTGCGCGGCGACCGTCAACGTCGCACTGCTTCTGAATCTTCGCTGGCTCTCGCCGAGCAAGTTCGCTGTAAGTTTTTATTGTTTCCTTATATTCATGCATAGGATGAGCATGACTGGCGACAGCTAAGTCTCCGCTCGCAAAAAACCTTTTTTTTTGGATAAGTTTTAACTAAGAAAAGATCGCTTCTGCAAATCAATTGAACTCTAAAAATATTTGAATTTTTTTTATACATGAACTTTTATTTTTTTTTAATAAGGTACAGCGCACCCTAGAATTATTTTTTACGGTTTTTGCTCCCATGTATGTTTATATTCACCGCTTAGACCTACTTCTATCATGAAGTTATTAATTTATTCGCTGCGAGTGGAAAAGACATTATTTCGCTGCGCTCTTTTGTTGAAACGCTTTTCTCATGACCTCGTAAGAGAAAAAGAAACGCAGACATTTGAAAACTTTCAATTCACGGCAAACAGACTATAGAAAATTTTCCAAATAAAATAAAAACACTATTTAAAGAAAATGAAAACAAACCTTGATATCTATAGTCAATATCCAACGAACTGAAAGGTAATACGTGCAGATTAGCAAGTTTCATTTATTGCATACGCGACTCGGCCTTCAACCGGGAGCTTGAGGTCAAACGCAATCATAAAAAATGTAGAAAAATAGTTATTTATATAGTTTTTGAACCTTTTTTTCATTCTAATGAACTTCTTTATTTCCTTAAAAAAATTAATATTATCGAAAAAAATTTTTCAAAGAAAAAAAGAAGATGTTGAAAAAAATAAAAAAATGACTCGCGTTTGACCTTCGAGTTCCCCGCCAAAAGCCTCGTCGCTTAGGCAACTCGTCACCTTTGCCAATCTACCTAATTCTTCTTTTTAGTTTCGAGAAGGATTAATTATAATTTTCCTTCAAATTAAGATGGTTATGCATTCTCGCAAGACGAAGAAGGCATCGCCCAGACAGAACTCATTCGGCGGCTCGACTCGACCATCGCTAAACCCCTTGGAAGATGAGGGCCCTCGCCTAATTTTTTGTTCGTGTTTAGATTCTCTATGTCGATTGTTAAAGTATAGGTTATAATGATTAATTCCGCACACTAACAATGTCTTCTTGAACAATTGATAGAACCGATAAGTTCAACCATATTTTTTCTTTCTCTTCTTTTTAGAACCTTCTATGTAAATTTCCGCCCACACAAAGTGTTTTTTCGCTACTTAACTCCAAAGTTGCTCAGTTCATACAGACACAGTTCACTCTTAATGATAACGTTACTCGAATATATATTTCCTAAACCAATCAAACTCCAGTTTTACGGGCTTCCCAACGAATGTTTTTCTCGCGAGCTAATATAGAAAACAGCTGTGATATTGTCATTGAAAATTTTTGTAATTAGAAACACCTTTACATGTACGACTAAAGTTTTTTTTTTTCTTTGTCTAACCCTAAATGTTTTTTATTGCAATGAAATGAAAATCAAATTCTTTGAAAAGCTTTATAGTCCGTTCAGATTTTGAATGTCAAGTAGAATGACGTCATTCGAAAACGCTCTGTGGATGGCTCGCTCTCTGATTGGTTTATCGCGCCATTAGGAGCGGAGCTTGAGCGAGGACTTGAAATTCAAAATCTGAACAGACTGTACATTTTTTCAGGAATTTTTTGCGCTTTCATGAGAGATCATTCCAAAAAGCTCTATATGTATATAAGAAATTTTCTCATTTTTGACACATGACCTCACACGGTGTTTTTTTCATTACGCAAGGTCATGACTTTTTCGTAAATTATGATGCTTAGGGTGTAAGCACACCGAGACGCAATATCGCATACTCAAAATGTTTTTTTCAATTTTAGAATTTGCGATTTCAGGATAATAGTCCTGAAATGTTCGAAATTTGTCAGTTTGAAGAATATGATGTGAAATAAACATTCACTTACGTTAAAAAACATTTAGGAACGATTTCAAAAGGGGAAAACTCTAAATTACTGATTACAAAGTAAAAACAAAAAATAATATGTAGGTGAAGCAGCTCCCATTGAATAAGCATTTATAAATACGAAAAATATTGAAATGAGGAAAATTCGAGGAGCAAATGAAAAAACATTTTATATACCTCGAAAACCTAGTTTCAGAAAAACATATAATGGATAGAAAGCAGAAAATTTAGAAAAAAAACCTCGTATGGCGAAATTTTTGTTTAAATCCGAAAAACCATCAAAAAACTAGAAAAAAAAAATAATTTAGATGATGCATATATCAAAAATCATTAAACTGCATCAGCAAATTCAATTTGGCTCTAATTTACACGAAACCGGTTTTTAAACTACGTCAAAGTAACTAGATAATAACTTTTTTTATTATTAACTGATTAAATTAAAAAAACTATAGTTTCCGAAATAGAGTGACTCTTTTCATGTCGCGAAACAGATTTCAAAATTTTGAAAAATTAGGACTTTTAGAAAAATCTTCAGCTCTCTTGAGAAAATAGTTAAAGATCTGAAACCGGTTTAGAAAAATGCGCAATTAAAAGCTCCACAAGATGTACCCATAGAGAGGCGGATCACATAAATGCAAGAAATAGAAAAAAGTAAAAAACCAAGGAAAAAAGTGAAGAAATTCAAGTTTTGCATCAGAAACCATGAGAAGGGCGCAATAATGCGCCATGGATAATATGCCGCTGGGACCCAAAATTTCGCATTTTTTTTCATTGCGCGGAACACCGTGCTCATGGGCGCAAATCTGAAGCAGACATAGATCAATCATTCTCAACGAAAACGAAGATTGACCACGGTAAGTAATTAACTATGAACTAAACTAGGAGCGATTAGAAACCGAGGAAAAATCTCAGAAAAAGCCAAGTTTATCAATCGATAGAGGAGATCAAGACGATCCAGAAAAACTAGATCTCAAAGCCCCTAATTTCCCAGGAATAAAATTATGATATTTGAAAGCGTCGAGAATTCAGCTTTTAAATAAAGCTTTAACAACTGATATTCTTTATCAGAGGAAAGCTGACATCAAGAAGAATTGATGAAATCAGATTAGTTGTAGCTGCTCTGGGAGCCGAGATATAAGCGTTTGACGTTTACCATTAATATTTCGATAGGCGTCAGATATAATGCATTTGGTGGGCTGCACCACGGTCAAATTTTCTCGCGAAAAAGGAAAAGCTCAAAACTTTTTTCGTATTCTCGGGGTTTTTCTTTATTAATCAATGAAGCAATCTTGATATAGTGCATTTATCAAAAAACTTTCAAGGAAAAAGCTCAAAATTTGGATCGGACTGGGTCCAACTTTGAAAAATCATATCTTTTTTTCTAGAATCATCAGAACTTTTTTACCTGGTTATTCGGATTCAGAACATCATTTCTATCGAATTATGTGAAAAATCGATAATTTCGATTTTCGGAAAAACTGGAAAAATTGCAGTCTACCCCTTGGCTTTTTTTCGAGCTTTTGAGGTCATGAAAGCCGATCCGGACGAAACCTATATCAATCGATAGATCTCGACGAGAAAATAACCTGAGGCCAGGTTTGACCTCTGTAGGTCAACTAAGAACTAAGTTATGGACGATCAAACTGAGAGGTCAAAAATTGGAAAGTAGGTCAAATTTGGTATCAATCGATAGAGGAGATCAAGAAAATCAAGAAAAACTAGGTCTCTGAGTTCCTAACTTCCTACGGATCGAGTTATGCTTTTTCAAAAACTTTAAAAAGGCATAACTTTTATTCTAGAAGCCTCAGAACTTTTTGACCCGGTTTTTCGTATTCCTGACGTCATTATCTATCGATTGATGCAAAAATCTCGGAAACTTTGGTTTTCGGGAAAATCGAAAAAAGTGCAGTCTAACCCCTTGGCTTTTTTTCGAGCTTTTGAGGTCATGGAAGCCGATCCGGACGAAACCTATATCAATCGATAGATCTCGACGAGAAAATAACCTGAGGCCAGGTTTGACCTCTGTAGGTCAACTAAGAACTAAGTTATGGACGATCAAACTGAGAGGTCAAAAATTGGAAAGTAGGTCAAATTTGGTATCAATCGATAGAGGAGATCAAGGAAATCAAGAAAAACTAGGTCTCTGAGTTCCTAACTTCCTACGGATCGAGTTATGCTTTTTCAAAAACTTCAAAAAATCATAACTTTCGATCTAGAAGCCTCAGAACTTTTTGACCCGGTTTCTAACCTCTTTGGATTTTTTTTGACCTCTGACCTCATAGAAGCCAATCAGGACGAGAACTAGGAACTTCATTCGAAGTTTTAGGTAAAGTTTCAGAATGGGTCAAAATCAGTATCTATCGATAGAGGAGATCAAGAGAAGCAAGAGAAACTAAGCTTCAAAGTCTCTTACTTCGAAGGAACAAAGTTATGAACTTTCAAAGTGTCAAAAATTAATTTTTTGGATGAAGCTCAAGCAACCAATAACTGGTATCATTGGAAGGCTGAAATCAACACAAATCGAAAAATCAAATCAAATTAGCAACAGCTGCTCTGGGAGCCGAGATATAAGCGTTTTAAGTTTACCATTAATATTTCGAGAGGCGTCAGATATAATGCATTTGGTGGGCTGCAGCACAGTGTAATTTACTCGCGGAAAAATGAAAATTTAAACTTTTTCTCTTATTTTCGGAATTTCTATTACAATAATCGATAGAGCAGCTTCTATATAGTACAATTATCGAATTACTTTCAAGATAAGAGCTCAAAATTTAGACCAGTATTAGGTCCAAAAAATCGTATTTCTCAGTTTGAAGCTTCATATATTCGTTCACTCAAAACTCACAGAGAAACTGATTGTCTCATTCAATTTTTCTCGATGTCAGCTTTTCAACGATTTAGTTTATTAGTTGATTTAGCTTTATCCAAAAGCCTAATTTTCAACATTTTGAAAATTAATAACTTTACTAGGAAGTTCTGTACTCAGAAACCTAGTTTTACTGGATCCGCTTGATCTCTTCTATCGACAGATGATAATTTCAACCTATTCTGAGATTTGAACCGAAACTTCAATCGCCCATAACTTAGTTCCTAGTTGGCCTACGAAGGTCGAACCTAGCTCATTTTTAGTTTTCTTCGAGATTTTTGATTGATGTAGTTATCGTTCAGATTGGCCGCCATTAGGTCAGGGGCCAAAAATGAAAAAATCCAAAGGGGAAAAAAATCCTAGACTGCAAAAGTCGAAATTTCCCCGAAAATCAAAATTATCGACTTTATTTCAGCAATCGATAGAGAGTGAAGCCCTGTACATGAAAGTGCAGGTAGTAAAGTTGTGAGGCTTGTAAGTTATGATTTTTCAAAGTTAGCCATTTTTAACAAAAAAAAACATGATTGAAAAACTTGAAAATCCATTCATTTGGAAAGCTGACATCAAGAAGAATCGAATTTAATAATCAGTTTCCCTGTAAGTTTGAAATGAACGAAGATATAAAATTTCGTAGGCGTAAGTTAGAGAATAATAGTAAGGACCTTTTTTTTGCCTTTTTACCTCAAAAGATCCCCAAAAATTGAAAATTCCTTTCTGTAAAACTGAAAATAAATGAATACATTCGTCGGGTCAAACCCACTTCAAGTGCTGCTCTTCAAAGCCGACGAGAGAATCTGTTTTTGGGCCGTACAAACGTTTGTTTGTCAGTGATATCACTGAGATCATTTCGAACAAGATTCTGAAATTTTTTTGGAGGAAACTCATTTTTTAACTTGGAAAAAAGGGGGAACAAGATGAAGGTGAATCTATCTCACAAAACACGCTAATAATATTAATAGTATCCATTTCGTTCGCAAAATAAAAAGAAAAACAATACTAACTGATTGAAAAAATGAAAAAATTACAAAACAAAACCATATTCTTTTCCTCCAAATCAACCTATCAGGATCTAGATCTTACTCCCTAAAAAAATTAACCTCTAGATTATTTGAACATGAAAACCGGTTGAAAATGAAATTAAATGGGCACAGGAACGGAAAAAAAAACTCATAGAAAGATACGAAAACCTAACTGGCTTCAGATTATCTCAGTTTTTTTTCCATTTCGAACGGGAACTTCTCCTTTTTAACCGTCTAAAAAAACGGTTTTTCCTATGAGGGTATTTCTTTTGCAGCTTTTCCTCCAGCTTCAAGGCGGCCCCGCCTCCGCCGTCCAAGAGTCTCTCCCCGTCTATCTATCACTTTTCTCCTTTTTTAGCCTGTCAGCTGGATTGCCTAACTTTTATCGGCAGTTTTTTCGTTATCAATACTTAAGATTTATTCAAACGAACAAGTTGGTGAAGGCCCTTGAATAAATATTATGGTTTGACAAGTTCGTCCACAAACCTATGAAAAAAGAACAATTAAAACAGAATTTTGTTCATTTTCCAAAAAAAGAGATTTAAAAAAACTCATTTTCCAACAAAACTATAACTTATTTCTGAGAAAATACAGAAAAAAGAGAAAAAAAAACACTCTGTGGTGGTCATGTGAATGTGGAACCAAAAAAACCGTTCTCTTTTCCTTTTTTTTGAATATCAAACTGAACTTTAATTTATTCCTATCGTTGCGATCGTGCGAAGCCAGTTAGTATTAATAGAGCGTTTTTTTCCGAAATTTAAAATTTTCATTCTTCTTATAAATAGCAATATATAAGTAGAAGAACTTTTTAGCGTGATGAGATCAAAAGAAAGAGGTTTCTCTATTTTTTGTACGGTTGGTGAAACGGTTTTCTTTACCCAATAAATTTTTTTTTGACTTCAGCACGAATAAGTCGCTCAAAAATTAACCTTGTTAACTATATACTCTCCGAAAAACACTACAGAACAGCTTCTATCGCTTAAATTTTCGAGGAAATCCCGATGGACACGCAAGGTGTGCTTATTATAGTGACGTTTTTTTTTCTCATTTAAAATACCTCCCCAAACCGGAAATCTCTTCTTTAATTTCCACGCTAGAATTTCCTGATGGTTTTGATTATTGTCAGTTCATTTCTACCTGGCTGATCATTGAAGGATGAAGAAGCCGAGCCATGGGATGGTCAAGAAAATCGTCCTGTTTGCGGCGCCGGCCGTCCTGTCGCCGCTGCTCTTTTTTGGAATGGTAAGCTTTCCTTCAAAGAAGACAACTAAAGAGCTACAATAAAAACCATTACTTTGATCTATTCAGCCATTTCGCTGTGTCTTCGTTATCGGTATTCTGAGCGCCTATTGGATCGCCGAAGTGCTTCCGCTCGGCGTGACTTCCTTAATTCCACTGTTCCTTTTCCCAGTCCTCAGCGTCGTCGCCTCAAAGAAAATCAGTGTCGTTTATTTCAAGGTAAACGAGTGAAATGAACTTTCTTCAGCACTTTGATAAACTATCGATTCCTAGGATTCAATAGTGTTATTCATCGCCACGATGATCATGGCGTTGGCCGTTGAGGCAACTGGATTGCACAGAAGAGTCGCTTTGAAGCTCCTCACCAAAGTTGGAGCCAGGAAACATACGTGAGTTACTGACAATTTTATTAAAAATTAATATCTCAACTGTTTCTTCAGAATGCTGCTCGGCGTAATGATGACAACTTCTTTCATGTTTGTTTGTTTTTTTCAAAAACTTGAAATTTCAATAAGTCTATGATTTTTCAAAAAAAGTTACTAAAACTCGGAAAGGATCATATTCGATTTCTCAGCCGAATAGTTTTGTGCTTATGTGCTCAATAGAAGCTTTAAAAAAACCCAGATAACTCCAGAAAAGTCTCCTTCAATTTTTAATAACGGCAATTCTTATTGAAACTTCTTTACTAAATTTTTATAGACTTTCTCATACTCAATTTTCAATATGCAATTTTACATTGTCATGATCAAATTTTTTTGATCTGCAGTAAAACGAAGAAGCCTGAAGCTCATTTTTTTCCCTTTTAAGAATAAATATTTTCAGGCTGCGTTGACTAATAGGCTCCTATGTTATTTTAAATTTTCTTGCCCGCCTCTAAAATGACCGGTACTCCAATTTCTGCCAAGATTTCCGCATTTTTTTGTTTGATAAGCTCATCATGAGAATTAAAGTAAAAAATCTCGGTTTAATTTACTTCTTCCAGTTCTTTCTTTGTCTCGGACACGGCTTGCACAGCTTTGATGACGCCGATCGTCATCGCTATCCTGACAACCTTGTCAGAGGCGAAAAGCTCCTCGAGCCGGACTGACCGGTCATCAACCACCGAGAGCTCAGTGAGCACCATGGAAGAAGCTTCTAATGCGACGTCTGAATACCCTCAACACAAAAAAGAAAAACTCAAGTTAATTAAGATCTCCCACTAAAAAAGAGTTCACTTCTGTGGCTGAAAGGTTGGGAATGGCGAGTATGACCAAGACTGATCGAGGCTTTTGTAAGGTAAACTGAAAACGTTACTCAAAACACTAAAAAGGCCATTGAAGAAGATCAACAAGATCCTGAGGTGTTTTTATATTAGCTTTTTTATTTTTGAAAGTTACAAGTTGAAAATCTTTCCAGTTCGCAGAAATTTTTCCAATCATTTGCACGGCCTGCAAGTGTTTTCATATCTAAAAAATCTTTCGAGCCGCAAATCATCAGAACTTTCTCGAATTCTGGTTTGATGATCTATTCAAAACCGCAAAGTTTCTTCGTATCTCAAAATTTAAATCCTTTTCAAACCCTGGCCGTTTCGTATCAGAAGTTCTTATTGATGGAAAAAGCCTATTTTATCACTAAAATGTTCTAGGCGATGATTCTCTCATGCGCTCATGCTTCATTAATTGGAGGCACTTCGATTATCACTTCCACAGGGCCCAACATTGTCTTTCGAGAAATGCTTCAAACGTAAGTCTTTTGTTCTTAATCTTTTTTTTTTACTGGTGTTCATCTTTTCATTTGATGTGTCTTATACCAATGATTATTTTTCCACTTAACATCTCAACTTCTAGTCGCTACCCTCACGACGAAATCAGCGTTTCCTACTTGCAATGGATGACGTTTGCGATGCCGCCAATGTTCCTCTACCTCCTAGCTTCCTACATCATTCTTACGGTTTTCAAATATGAAATTTTTGATGAAATGCAGTTTTTTAGGTTTATTTCATGGGTCCAAGAGCCATTTCGTTTTGGTGGAGTGGTGATCCGGAAGAGGACGAAAAAATGAAAGAAAGCATGGAGGAGAAGATCGCATTTTCTTACAGGGAGCTGGGACCGATCAAGTAAGCTCCAGAAAAACTTAAAGAAAATGTTTAACTTTCTCCTACTCTTACGTCAGAGAATTATTTACCTAAATGCTCTTAATTCAACAGTATGACTGAAATTCTTTTTGTAAAATCTGCTCTTCGTATCTTGAGTGGTCATTTACTTTTACGAAGTTATAGATTCTATTCCTATAGCGCTGTAGTGGCCCCATTAGTATAAAAACAGTTGAAACTCAAAAGATTCTTATGAAAATTTCGCTCCAAGAGGTATCACCAATTGTTCTGTAGATCTATAAGTTTCACGTCACTAAAAGCTTTTATTTATGTAAGCCTTTCAAAACTTTCTTTTGTCAAAGAAAAGTTAAGCTACGACGTCAATACCCCATGATCCATTGATTAAGAACGACGCAATCCTCGAGAATTTTCTAGTTCATTTAAAAAATTTTCTAAGCTTTAAAATCGTTGAAATAACCACTAAAAAAGCTTAGAAACTGGAAAAATTTCAACATTCTTCAATTTGAGATTTGGCGAGACATCAGTCGCCTGTTGGTTTGTGATCCTGATGCTTTCCTGGGTGTTTCGATCTCCAGGATTCATGCCAGGCTGGACCAACTTGCTTCCAGACAATGGGTAATTCTCTATCATCTTCCCAATAAGCAATTATTCCAGAAAAATGCTGACCGACAGTGTTCCCGGCATATTCGTTGCTACTTTAATGTTTATCTGGCCTATGGACCCATTCTCTGACAGTACTTTTATTTAAACTTGTTTTCTTTATTTAATAAAAATATATATTCAGCCCCTCATGAACCGATTCTAAACTGGTCTCACATGCAGTCCAAATTCTCCTGGTCATGTACCCTGCTCATTGCCGCCGGCTATGCCATTTCCGAAGGAGTTGAAGTTAACTTTTTGGGTGGATGGGAAAAGAGAATATATTTTTCCTAGGCGTCAGGACTGTCAAAACTAATGTCCTGCACGATGAAAAAGTTTTTCGCAGACTTGCCAGCTTTCCCACTATTGGGTAAGGTTTTCAAGGCTCCAAAAAAATTACCTCATTCCTAGTGGCTGTGACTACGACCATCGTCGTGATGACTGAGTTTGCGAGCAACGTTTCCACTGGCAGCATCTTCATTCCAATCGCTCTAAAAGTGGTTGGTCATTAATTTTCTGAAAAAGCAAAGGATTTTTCGGTTTAAAATTTTTCCGAAAATTGGCCAGAGTCCTCTTTGAGGTACCAGGTTAGAATCTCAACCTTCTTAATTTCTTAATATGTTAATGTACATGTTTTCAAAGTCGAACTACTTTGTTGCCATATTTAATTTTCAAGTTTTTTTTAAGCTTTTTAATTCAATCTCAGTTAAAACAAAACTTTGAACGCATTGTATTCTGTGCTATGATAAGGCTAACCAAGGCTTTTGAGCTTTGTTGCAGCCTTTTACCACCTCAACCGTTCTATCAACAAACGATTAAAACTCAGGCTGAATCAATGAGAATACACCCGCTCTACTTGGCGTTTCCGACTGCGGTCGCCTGCTCATTCGCCTTCATGCTCCCTATGTCAACGCCGCCTAACGCCATCGTCTACGACACCAGAGCCGTTTCCATGATGGACATGGTTAGCTTTCTGAATTTATTTTAAATAAACCGTAAAAATTTTGAGCTTATCCAACTAATGGTAGATGAAGCTTGTTTCTGTGATACGCGTGAAACATATGTTCTATCATCGTTTTTTTGTAAACACACAAGCAAAGCTTATGTCAGAAAATTGCTTTCAAAGCGGTCTAAATGCAAAATTGCAGCTTGAACGTGGCAGCCCCAAACATCAAATTGTCAAAACTGAAAGTCCCGAATTTGCAGCTTAAAAGTGGCAGTGTCTCAAATTTGAAGCTTTCATAACGAACAGTAACAAATTTGAAGCACACCTCCTTTTACAATTTCAAAAAAAATTTTATTCGACGTTTTAATCCAAAATTATTCATCAATTAATGCATTCCTTAAGACGGTAATGATCAGAGAAATCAGAGAAATCAATTTCTTCAATTCAAAGCGATCATAAGATTCGGAGCTGCTAGGCATTATCAAGTGCAAACTCGTAATAAGCCTGAAAAATTTCCCTATTTCCTTCATAAAAGTAGTTAGACGAAGGCCATAAAAATGTTAGCTCAGAATCTTCAGACTTTCTTCAGACACATTCTTATGCTCGAGGCCTTTACCGTACTATTTCTTACCCTCTCGCACACAGACTTTTCTCCAATTGTAGTTTAGGTCTGAAGTACTTCATGAAATATTCTAGTTACACTGCCTTCTCTTAAGAAATTCCCAAAACTACTATAATTCTTACAGATAAACACCGGCTTATTCCTGAACATTTGCTGCATCGCCATCACGGCGCTGAACATGAGCACCTGGACGTATTGGGTTTTCGACCTCGGTACCTTTCCAGCGTCAATACACGTCAACAACACCGACGTCACCACTTGTTGAAAACTTTCTGATTCCTTTAATTTATTTCTTCGGTCATAATATTTTTTGTGGCTCTTTCTGATGCGGCATACATGTATAACGTTTCTCTCGCCTCTCACTTTGTTTTGCTCAAAACCATGGCGAGACTCAATAAAAATTCACTCCCCTCCACTCCGAGTTGATGTCCGATTTCGAGCCATTGGGCAAGCCCTGACACCTTGACGCAGTGGCTAACGCCTCGCACTTACAAGTTGAGGGTCGCTAGTTCAGTCCCACGTCATGGCGATGATGACACCGATTACGACGTCGAAATCGGGGAGCTTCCTGCAGAAGCCTACGTTCGACTTCTGTAGCCCCGGCGTGACGAACGACTAATCTTCTCTCTGAGCCATCATTTTTTCTTCTTAAAGTCAACCTATCTGCCATGGCCCATAGTGTTACGATTTTCGAATTTCTCAGCAGTCCAAACATTAAAAACATTTGATACCAAAAAAATGGAGATGGTTAGGTAATAAATATTATATATAGGCGAATCTCCATGTTTTTTCATGATTTAACAACTTACCAAATACCAGTTGAAAATAAAGCTATATCAATAAAACTTAAAGCTATGTTGATGTTTTTCAACTTCATAACAAGGAACAGAACCTTTAAAACTGCTAACCAGCTCTGTAAATAGATTCATGGAATGACTCTCCTTTTGAGCCAAAATTGAATTTTGAAGTTTTCATAAGTTTTTCTCGTGTCAAAAAGCAGACTTAACCGGAAATGAGCATACGCTTTTCAAAAAAGTGTCCGAAGCTAGTGACACTGTCCGCCGGTACAGAGACGGCCAGCAAATATGTCTCCGATTAGAATATATCACCGGGATTATACGGTAAAGTGCAAACTGCACACAAACCGTCTCTTAACGGTGGTTGGGTCGAACCTGCGACTGCCAGAGTCGACGCGGCGCCGCATGCCGGCTGAGCCAAAGGACAAGGTCTTGACAGAAGGTGCAGAGACGTATACTCAAGGCTCCTATTGCTACAAATTTCACAATCGATTCTCATTTCTTTCACGTAAGTAAGTTTCCATAAAGAATAAGACTTTATGTTCGGCTTTAGCTCAAAAAAAGAATAAGAATACTTGTAAGTTCGGTTTCTTATCTTGTTAAATGTCAAATATGTTTAGGTAAGACCCGCAAAAAGGGAATTATTATAAAACAGATATCATCAAGTAATTCGAAAAATAGCATAATCTGGGTGAGGAAAAAAAAAATTGTATTGTACCTAACGAAAAATTGTTTCTAGATATATTCAAATCATGATAAATTTTGGGCGAAATGGATGACAATAAAAGAGAAAATTAAATTGAATAGGAAGATGAAAAGAAAACAAGGAGGGGGAAAACATACGAAAACTGGCGCAGTTGGACCACGAGAACAAAAAAAAACAATTGAATGAAACAAATATTATCAGAGAAATTGAAACAAAACGGATGAGAAAAAGATATTCAAGCTTTGATGAAGGCTTTTTGGCATTTTCCGCGAATCGCCCAGTGGAATTGGTTGAAATCAGTTTTAGTCCACATTTCAGTGTCGACGACGGCGCCGTTGATACGTTCCGTGATACTGAAAATAGATTAGAAGTAAGTGACAAAAAAATTTTTTTTTTAGTCATGAAACGTTAGTTTTGAGAATTTAGAGGATCAATCCATTACAGATTAAAGTTTGAAAAAAAAAACCCGCGAAAATGAAAAAAACTTTTTTCTTCATTTCCTTTTTTTAAACTGGAAGGCTGGCTACTCTGAATCTGGAACTTTTAAAAGCTCTGTAATGCAAAAAAAAAAACCAACCGAATCTCCTTGCCCAAATCGGTCAGGCAAATGATTTTCCCACGCCCGCCACTCTTCTCGGCGGTCCGGTTGCTCTCAAAGCACAGCTCGACGTCGACTCTGAATCCTTCCCCATTGAAAGATGTTCAAAGAAAGATTTTTACCGGCGCCTGTGGTAAGACAAGGTCATGTCAAGATCAACGGCCATCGACATGAGAACTGAGGCACAGGAGCCTTCGCTCAAAGTGAAAGGCACTCCATTGGAGGCGTTCGGAAGGTGTGGAGGTGAGGGCGGCGACGTCGAGGCCGAGGCCGAGACACACGTTGTCGCGCCCGAAGACGTCGCAGTTGTTGTAGTCGTCGCGTTCATCACATTGGCTGCAGATCCTCTGAAAGAGCTTCCTCAAAATTTTTTTCGAAAAACTAAAGTTATAGATCATATACAGCGCATCAATTTTCCAGGTTCCCTCAGCCCAACAGTGCACAAAAAATGGCGTCTCTCAAAAAAAAAAATCGAAAAAGTTGGATCCGCCTACTTAATTGTAAAAAATCGAAAATTCTGGACTTTCCGCCTTCTTTATTGGTAGAAATTCTTCTGAACGGTCTTTATTCGAAGCAGAATTATTTCACACGGTGAGTCATTTCACTTGGCGGTTTGGAAATTTCTACAAAACTGCTCGAACACTCTTTGAAGGCCTAGATGAAAATCCCTCATAATCGCTACCTGCGCAAACTTCTAGTTTTTGAGCTATGATTTTTAAAACTTGCGAAAAAACGTTTTAGGCCTAACTTTTCGACCTTCAAAATTAATTATCTCAAAAACTAGAAGCTGGCGCGGGTTGCAAATTTGATGGATCCTGATATAATCTTCGGATATTATTTGAGCAAAGTTTTAGAAAATTCCAAGTCGCAAGTTTGAATAAAACCCTTGTGGAGTCTAATTCTGTGTTAAGCGCAAACTTTAAAAATTATTATCTTAAATACTAGAACTTTGCGCAGGCAGCGACCCTTCATCGAGACATTCAGAGTGTTTTAGCGAGATTTCATGAAGACCAAACCGCAAAGTGAAATGAGTTCTCGTGTGAAATGGTTCTGCCTCGAATAGGAACTTTTCAGAAAGCAGTTTTAACAATTACGAAGGCTGAAGAGCAACATTTTTCCGATTTCTCATTTTTCTCAATCTCATAAGCTGCCCAAAAAAAAAACTTGTTTCAAAAAGATCGAAACTAACAACATGGCGAGCATCATGGGATTGGCGGCGGCAATGTTCATGAAAGCGGCGAATTGATTGTTGTTGTTGGCCTGCGAGTCGTCGCCGAGGCTTCCGAGCGAATTGGCCGACGCGGAGACGTGCGGCGATGCAACGGCTTCGTCTCGCAGCGGCGACGTCGACAGATGCTGCTCTTCCGACGCCGTTGAAGATCCGGCCTTCAGAATAACTTTCTTAATTTTAACCTTTTTTCCAAAGTTACCTCTGTATTGTGATTATCCTCATCGTCGTCCTTGATGAAGCCGGCGCCGATGTTGATTACCTCGTTGGACTTCGGCAAATTATCCAAGAAGTTCAGCGACGTGTTATACTGAAAATTTTCGATAACATTCGCATTTTAATGGTTCGAACTTACAGTGCCAAGGTGTCCACTCTGCTGGAGTTGCTGCATAGCGGAAGCCAGAGAGTCGGCGGTCGTCCTTTCTTGCTGGAAAAAAATCAATCAAAACATATTATATACAATACATTTTAATGGAAAAAAAGGTTATAAAAAAAGTTACCTGTGAGTTATTGTTATTACCACCGGCACGAGCTCGCTTCACGTAGGGCTGCGTTGGAGTCTGAATATTTTTTTATGAAAACAAAATCCTATAAAAAGTATTCAATTTGAACTAATCCAGAAGTCCTTTGTTGAAATATAGATTCATGTCCTTATTTTTCTAAGATTCGCGAGAAAAAAAGTTGAAGTTTTCGCCCAGTCCGTTGCTCGTTCTTCTTTACTACTTTTCACTTCTCTTTTATTTTTCCTTAAATTCTAGCACCAATCTTTGTCCTTGATTAATTTGAAAAAAGTTCAAGAACCTGTAATTCATCTCGTCTATTTTTATTTTTATCAAGTTTTAAGTCATGACTGTCAGAAGTATTGAGTTTTTTTCTCAAGTCATTCGAAACTAGTTGAAATTTTCCATCAAATCTTTTGCTTTCTTCGCCTCCAGTGACCAAGTAAGAAGTTGACTAAGAAAGTTCCCACTTGAACTTTGGAAATGGGTTAAAAAGTTCAAATTGTGAATAAATCCAATATATTTCCAACAAATCCACACCTGCGGACTCGACTGCGGCGTAACCTGCTCTCCTTCAGCGGCCAACAATTTTTGGCTCTTTCTGACGCGACTTCCCTTGATCACATCCGAATGGAAGGCTTGCAGATGGCCCCACATAGTTTTCGTGCTACTATCGTTCCTTCTAAGGACTTTCCAGCAGTAGGAGCACTCGACGTTCTGATTCTCGCTGAGTAACTTGTAGTGGTCCCAGATTTCTGACGTCTTCTTGCAGACTTTGGTCGCGGGCGCGCCGTTACCATTTGTCGCGGGACTCGGTCTTTTTTGTCCGATTCCAGAGGCGTTAAGTAGTGCCAAAAAATCTATATCCTTGACTTCTTCTTCTTGATTTTCGACGCCTTCGGTTTGACTCCCGACGATAGCGTCGATCCCTTTGACTTTGTCGGCGCCCCCAGCAGAAACTTCCGAGTGGGATGGCTGTTGTTGCTTCTTTCGAGCCATCTTCACTCTACGGATAAACGGATAAAAAGCCTCCAAAAAAGGAACGCGAAAAAAAAAAACAAGAAAAAAGACCTACGAAAGAATTCGAGAAGGGAGAATAAAGCCGCACTGCTAAAGAACTTTTAAAAAACTTTTCCCGTTAAAATGCGCTCAAAATACAGAAAAAAAAAACAAATCATGCCTCGTCAAGTTTTCATGGCGTATAATACATTTTTTTGACGTTTTGAAAAAAATAAATCAGTATGATCATTTCAAATGAAATATGCTAAAAAGCTGGTAATTTTTTTATCATTCAAACACCTTTTTATATATTTAATTCATGTTTTTTTAGAAAAAGTTTATGTGTTCAGCAAATCGTGGTTTTTTTAATTTGCTTTTTTTGAAGATTTTGCTAATATTAAAAAAATTATATCGTTGAATTTACTTCAAATTACCACCTTTTCACTGAAAACATAATATATTTTTCTCTCTAGGTAAAAGTTTTCTCAGCATTATACAGTTATAAATTGGGAAACTTGAAGAAAAAAATCAGGTCAAAATCCAAAAAAAGAATATGAAAAGGAAACGAAAAAATCCAGATTTTTCGAGCGACCATCCGAACAGGTGGGTACAACAATTGCCCGTCCGAGAAAGAAGGAAAAGATGAAGGAAATTCGCGAAAAAGAGAGAAAATAGGCGGCTGGCGAGCGGCCCCGCGGGGGAAAATGGAATCGAAAAGGATAGGGAGGTAGACGGGGGCGGCCGCCGCTCACCAACGCCACCAAAACGCTCGAATACATTTATTCATGTAGATTCCTATTGGTTTTTTTTTCTCTAAATAAAAAAAGGCTTGAATCATGAGGTATGAAAAAAAAGCAGAGAATTTTTCGAACGGCGACTTTTTTTCATTTATATTTTTTTGGTTTATAAAATATCTATTACAATGTTTTTACTTGAAAAAGAAAAAGTTTATCGAGAAAAATAAGGTCGGAAAAGGAATAGTCGGAAAGTTGCCTAGCGATATGAAAAAATCGGAAAAGTCGCCCTTCGAAGCTGGTTTTTTTTCATACATTTTAGAAACCATTACAAAAAAAAGTCCCAAAAGTTGTTAACACGCTCAAACGAGTGAGCAGGTAAACTTCAAACTTTTACACGGATATGCAAACTCTGGAAACGTCCAATAAGATTAAAGATAAGGATATTTCCTTTTGGAATTTTTTTACTCCAACGAATTTACGTTGTGTGATATAAATGAAAAAAGAATTCATCTGTATCAGATGAACTTTAAGGAACTTGAAAACGAAGATAAAAGTTGATATGCTCTAAAGTACGGGCGTTTAAAAAATGCGACCGCTTTTTTGTGCCCAACTGCGAATTAATAAAAAAAAACGGGCGTTTCTTAATGTTATCTCTTTCACCTTTATAAAGGCTTTATTGGAACTTTTTTTCAAATTTCGGATTTCCATTTGGAGCTTAAAAAAACGATTTCATACAGTACATGAATCTGTAATAAACCGGAAATGAGGTGAAAGAAAAATTGATTACGTGATAAAAAAAAAAAAAAACGGTTTAATAAAAGATGTTATCAAAAAAATAGCTATCGAAAAAAATTAGAACTTCGTTTGATTTAAAAAAAAAATGAAAATTCAAAAACGCCCGTATTTTTATTAATTTGCAGTGGAGCACAAAAAAAGTCGGTTGCATTTTTGTACTTAAGTATATGAATTTATATAAAATTAAGCATGCCGATATAAAATTTTGGCGTTTGTGACAACTGCGTGTCTGCGGACTGAATCCCTACAGTAACTTTGCAAACTCCAATTATTAAAAAAAGCTGTTTTTTTGATTTTTTTAAAAAAATGTTCACACGTTGAAATTACTCTAAACTTCACTATTAGATGAAAAATATAAAAACCTCGAAGCTTCGAAAAATTGCAGAAATTAAAAAAATTTAGGTTGGAAACTTCTGATAGCAAACCAATATGCTTTTTTTAAGATTATGGATCAGACAAGCTCCACGTGGTTTATAATTGTGTGTTGCAACTGAACTCAAAATCTGAATGCTCAGAAAAAGTCCATAAATCTTCGCCAGAAAAAAAAGAAAATCCATTTTGCAGCGGCTAAAAATGCAAATGTGAGGTGGAGAAGGATGTGTCGACGCCATTTTCTGCAGGAATAAGAAGAAAAGCGAAGAAAACGAAGAAGAGGAGACGCAAGGGGAAGGAAATGGCGGGGGAAAAATGAAAGAGGATGGTGCGGCGGGGTTTGTTGGCCATGGCTGCTGGCTGGCGGCTGCAACGAACGGACGGGGGCCAGAGGAGAGTCATGAAAAAGGCGCTCCTCGCGTTCCCCGCCCCGCACAAAGCCTTCTGTCTTGCTCTTCTAGGTACAAGGACTGTAATTGCGCCGTATTAACGCCGAGTAATAATAATTTTCTCTGGCAAAGTCCAAAAGGTCTAAAAAGGACTTTTGGAAAAAAGGCTATTGAAAAGCCTCAAAGGCGCCTTTTTTAGACCTTTTTCTGAAAAGGACCTTTCAAGGAGTTGTGAAAAAAAACAAAGCGGATAAAAAGGTAAAAAAAAGGAGAGAAGCTTTTTACATCTTTTTAAGAATTCAAAAAGGAGCTTTGAACTCTTCTCTTTAAGGCCTTTTTGAGGTTTTTTGGACTTTGCCTGTGTTGGAAAATTACCGCACAGACAAAGCCTTTCTTCTGGTAAATGAATATTTCAATTCTCGATTTTTTATCTATAAACCGAATCAAGAGGATCAACCAACCTATTCAGAACTTGATTATGGGTAGATGCAAGTGCGCAACTTTAAAGTTTTCTGTTACGCGCCTTCAAAAAAGTCTCGCTTGAAAGGACAGGTGAAGCTTAGAGATAAAGATCAAAAAAAAATCTTAGGGATCTGAAATTCAAAATTTAGTTCAACAATCAACAAGAAAGACGGCAAAAAACTCCTCTAGAAAACAGTTTTCAGCGAGCGCCGAGGCGTCGGGGGCCGCGAGGAACAAAAGAAAGGAATATATATGGAGGAGGTGGTTGGTCCTGCATCGATTGTTGCGATACGGGGAAAACGTGAGGCCGAGTAGACGAGAGGTACTTTTTTCTGTTTCTGTTCGCTTGTTCCACTTTTTACAAGGTTTTTCCCAACTTTACGAAAAATTGATGATTTGGAAAAATGGATATAATCATGAAATGCTCAAAAAGGGAAATTGAGGCGGAAAATTTAAAAAAAAACTTCATTTCTGCTTACCTGGGAACGTTTTTTACCCTCCGGTTGAACTTTTGCTGAAACTTTGCTGAAGTGTACTTTAGGACCCCGTGATTGCAAAACAAGAAAAAAATTTCTCGCAATAGATCTTGTTTCCGAGTTATGGAGCTTCAAAGTGTAAAAATTACGCAAATTAGGCCAAAAAAGCGCTATTTCGGGCTTTTGAAGTGTCCTAACTCGAAAACGAGATCTATTGCGAGAAATTTTCTTCCTGTTCTGGAATCAGGGGGTTCTAAAGTACAATTCGGCAAAGTTTCAGCAAAAGTTCAAGCAGGGGGTAAAAAAACGTTCCCTAGTTAGGTTTTTTTGTTCAAAATTTTTCAAATTAGGATCAAATCAGTATAATTTGCCCCTCAACGGTGATTTTTTTAGAGTCTTTGGATACTGAAAAAAACGAATCATTTTGGATTTTTTTCTGTAAATCTCCACTTTCCAATTGAAGATGCTCCTTAAATAACACATCCTTTTCCCCTTCATTCAATAAATTCATTTCACAATTTTTTTAAACAACTTTTTCTTCAGTTCTTGTCCTAAAAACTCCCTAGTAGGCTTAAATTGAAAAGATACCAGTCAAACTTTTGAGAACCTCGATGTGAAAATTGATACCTGGGACAAGCGGAAGCTGAACCGTTGGAAGATCCCATCGTCCGTGTGGAACTTCTTCAAATGTGTCCGCAAATTGTTGGGACTTCGGTCATCGCCTTGCCACGCACAGTGCAGACACATCACACCGCCGGTACCTTCTGGAGAATTTGCAATTTATTTTCGGGATTATTCAAAAAACTCACGAGTGTCTTTCAAATCACGAAAAAACTCCCAAACGGGGTGCGATTTTTTCCGGCCAGCGTTTCGCATCCACGGCGAGTACGGCGGATTCGAAGTTTCTGAAATAAATTAAATTAATTAATCTTTTAGAGTTCCTCAGAGACTGGGAAAAATTTTTCTTCGCAATCATTAAAATACCTAAAAGTTTTTTGAAAATTTTCAGATTCGCCAAACTACTCCCTATAACCACCTTGACTCACCTAGCATTTCTAAAATACCTGATAGTTCTAAAGTTATTACATATCAACCTCTAATCAGACAAGATCTTACTCACATCGTCCAAATTTGTGTCGAAGGGTTAGAAATCCTCTAAAACCACCCAGGATTATACATTATTATATAGAGTGTTTCAAAACCTCCTATGGTCACCTAAAAGACTAGAATTACATAAAAATCGCACATAATCATCCGGATAAAGCAGAAAAATCAAAATATTTTTGGCAGGATTTTTTTCTAGCCAGTATAATAAATCATAGAAATTTCACGAGACAAATTCGCACTTCTAAAACCCCAGCAAAGCCCTTGAAATAGACTATAGTCGCTGTGGAGCTTATTAAGGTCAGAATTAAACTTGTTTTCCATTCTCAAATACTATGTACGTTTGGAATTGAATTAATTGAATAATATGCCCTTCGTTATCCATTTACTTACGTCTTTACTTAAAAACGGAAAAATTTTTCTTCGAAAAAAATGGTCTCGGCTGAATTACCGAGAGGTTTTCTAGTCTATATATCAATCTGTGACGTTTTTCAGACACTATTTAGCTAGTTATTGTTTCAGAAAATCTTTCTCGAAACTTGATTTTCCAATGATTCGGTCAGAATTTAGCTATATAAAAAACCGGAGAACAAGTCATTGATCAGAAAAAAAACCGTTTTGAAAGTTGAAATTTCATTTATAAATCATTTGCAACGCTGCTCCTACTCACCCCTCTTTGGCGTAACGCCTTTGGTGGACGATCCGGAATCGCCGGCAAACGTCGACAAATCGGCAGCAGCCCCAGCCAACGGCAGTCCGAAATTCAGAAGACTTGGCGGCGACGTTACCGGGTCGGCGCCGATATTCTGGGCCAGGGAGTTGAACAAGGCGATGTGACGTTGTTGCTGTTGTTCCTGGAACCGTTGGATGGCGTCGAAGAGTTCACTGGGGGTCGACGGCGGCGATGTCGTCGTGGTTGTCGTCGTCGGGACCTCATCTGTAGTCATTGTCGATGACGACGTCATGATGGCGTCGATGGTGGTTGGCTCGGGTTCTGGGGATTCTGAACTCGCCGTCGTCGTCGTTTCAGATGTCGTCGTCGCCGCTGATGACTCGTCGTTTAGATGTTCGCACAACTGCAGAAAAGAGGAATTTATTCAAGTATATATAACGAGTAATATATCCTTCGATTTCAAAAAAATTAACTATTATAAGAAACTGAAAAACCTCATTAAAATATTCCAAACTTTTTAATTAATTTATCTTTATAAAATAAACAGATGCTGAGGTGGAAAAGCTTTCTGTCTCAAAGTACTTCGAGTTTCAAAGAAAGATCAGCGACTTCTAAAAAAATAATTATAAAGTTCAAGATGGAGAAAAAGAATTAAAGTTTTTTTGGCACGCCTTAATTCTCTATGAGGTCCAATAGGGAAGGTTTCTAATCAAGTAGTTTTCGATTAAACTTAGAAATTTTTAAAATTACTTCCAGTCGAGCAAGTCTGAGAGATCTTTTGCAGAAATCAAGTCTCAAAACCAAAAATGAGGTGTCCAGAAAAAGCCTCAGGGAGTAGTGCCGGAAAGTTTCAAAAAATCCGCATTCACAATTTCAACAGACCTTTTCTTAAAATCCTAAAGAGCTGATTTTTTGGTTTTCAAACGTCTTTCCTGGATATTTTTAATTTTCTCATTTTTGGCATCCAAGAGCTCTTATTTCATGGGTTCGATTTTTTTTTTACAAACTCCTTTTTGCAAATCGCGAAAAGTCTTTCCGAATATGGATAACTGGTTACCAAGTTGTTGTCGGCGAAGAAGTTGAGGGAGATTTGGCGATTTTCGGCTGCGACGAACGCGTTCGTCGCCGTCGGATGAGACTCTTCGTAGACGCCGCCGCTGTGGTCGCAGGAGGAGGGCGACGAAGAGTAGGAGCGAACCAAGTGGTCGCCTGAGATCATTCCAAAATGACATAAATTTTTCGTTTTTTTCGACTTCATTATTTTTTTAGTTCATTTTTAGTTTTTCTAAAAAAATAACGCGTAAAGTTCACGGTAAAAAGTCATTTTTTCGATTTTTTGTCAATTAACCTCAAATTGAGCACAAAGTAGATTTCGGATTATAATTTGGGATGTTTCTTTGGTATTTTGCGTGTAGAAACTCTCGAAAACTTTTCAGAAAATTTCAGATCCGTAGGAAATTCAATATTAGGAAAGTTGAATCATCGCGAAAAGAGCTCTGTTTTTAATTACACTAAAGACTCATAAATATTAAAAATTGAATTCAGCTTGAATTCTTCTAAAAAAAAACAGCTTACTGTAAAAAAAAGCTTGATTTTATATTGAAAACTAATAAAAATAAGAGCACTTTCTTACAAGAAAAATTAGAAAAAAAAACCAAAATTTCAAGTTTACCCATGAAAACTGGCCTAAATCGAATTCCTTAGACTTATAATAGAAAATTTCCTTCATTATTCACAATTAGCAATTTTTAATCCAAGGAAAGATTAAATTAATCAAAACCCTTCAAAAAACCTTCCTGTTTTGATTCTGAGAAAAAAAAAGGTAAAAGACAGGCGACTTTCCTAAACTTGTAAAAAAACACAAAATGAAACTTCCTGCTCCGAAAAAAGGCGGAAACTACAGGGAAACTATAACTACTGAATTAATCAGGAAAAAAAACAAAATAATCAGTTGATTCGCGTAAAAGCGTGGGACACGTTCTAATTGTCCACTTAGCTCATTAAAATACGGAATATTTCTCCTCCTCCCAAGTTCCGCTTCTCGAAAAATGAATCACTACTAATTTTTCAACTTCCTTTTTATCGTAGGAAAAAAAACGGAAAATTTTATTCTCTAAGGAGTCTGGTTATCAAGTGAGAAGCTACATGGCCAAACGTCATTTCGTTTGAATCAGCATTTTTTATTTTTCATTATAATTATTTAGGATTTCGAGAGGATCATGAATTCCGCATATACTCCATTCGCTGACTTGCCGAAATTTTAAAAACCGTTCGCAGAAATTCATTAAAAAAACTTGGACCAATGGGGTTTACAGTAACACATTTTTGCCAAAAAAAAAGACTTCATTCAAAAAATCCGAAAAGTCCATTCAATAATAGGAAAGCCTAGGTTTTTTCTTTGGAGTAAATGGTGAGAAAAATCAAATTTTTTTATTGAATAACTTCTGACAAAGTGAACACGAAACTTTCTAGACCTCCGCCTTTTTTTCATGTCGACCAATTTGTTGGCAATATCGAGGATGCTCTCGCCAATCAATGACGTCATCCTGAAAAAGTATAGATTGACAAAAAAATTGAAAATGAAAAAAATCAGGCCACGTGTGAAGTGAGGAGCAAGATGAAAAATGAATTTGAAAATTGATACTAACCAAAAAAAGGATTTTTTTGACCTACTTCTCAAATACTATTTTCATAAGTTCTTTTTTTTTTTTTAGAATATTTTTGGATCAGAAAAAGTTGCGAAAAGATTTAATTTTTCAATTCTTCGAAATTTTTTTAAACTTCTAAAGCTCAAATTACCCATAAAGAAATGTGCAAAGGAAAAAAATTGCCTTTTGAATTATTTCAAAAAAAGGTTTCGATCGATAAAAAGCTCAAAAAAAGCCGAAAATTGAGCCAACGGGAAAAAAATTTGAGAAGAAAGGACGTGGAGAGGGAGAGAGAATGGAAAAAAATATAAAATAATATATTTCGAAGCGGTGTTTTTTTCTCCCCGCCGCCAGCCACAGGAAATGTCATTTTGCATGTTTGTAATGGTTTTGTTCTGCGCCCACGTTTCGAGAGAATCGGAAAAAAGAAAAGTAATTAAAATGCAGTGAAAAATTAAAAAAAGGTGGGCAAAAAAGGGAAAAAATCTCAATATGCATCAGTTCTAGTAGTCAAAATATCAAAGAATCACTCAAAACTGAAATACCTATAGCGTTCCATGAAGTTTACTTTTAGAAACATGTGTTGAGAAATTCCCGAAAATTGGGAAAATCTCGAAAAAAAAAGTTGCGAAAGTTGGGAAGTTCACAATAATTGGCCAGAATGCTTTTCGATGTACCAAAAGTAGATCCTGGAAGTCTCAATCTACATGAATTCATAACTTTTGAGAAATTCCAATAAAAGTCAAAAAGAACCCTCAAAATCTTTTAAAATAGGCTATTTCAAAACTTTAGGGCCTTATTTCTCGAAAACTAAGAAGTTGTGCAGATTGAAACTTTCAAGATCCATTTCTGGTTCATCAAAGAGTGTTTTGGCGAAATTTCAAGAAAATCCCAACCGCAAATTGAAATGACCTCGCTTGTGAGTCACTCAAATCCAAAAAATGCAAAAATGCAAAACCTTTTTGTTTATCACATGATCCAAAGTTCGACTCCGATTGGCTGGTCGCAAATTTTTTAATCAGCGCGCTAGAGCGGACTTGTCGTGTTCCAAAAGGTTGTGATGAATCAACTATTTGCGCATTCAAGCATTAAAATCGGCAAGATACTACAAAATAATAATTTCGAGAAACGAAAAGTTATCAAAAATATGAATGATCCGAGTGAACTGCCTCAAAATATGTAAAAAAAAAAAAATGTTGAAACATCCAACTTCCTACTGAATCTGCACCCAAACTACATCCAAAAAGACCTATAATTTTGTGTTGATTACATATTTTAGAACTTCTTCCTTTTTTCGCAACTTGCAAAGTTGTAGGTTATGAAAAAGAAAAACAGGATTCACCGGTTTTATCTTCTTCAAACATTTTTTGATTTGGTATTTAAGTTTCAAGCGAGTATTCACGTGATAAATAGCTAAGAAAAAGCTCGAAAAAAATCCTCAAAAGATCTTCTTTTTCAAACTTTATTGGTTTTTTTCGAAGAAATTTCGAAAATTCGTAGCTTTGGCCTTTAAAAAAAAGCTTCACTAGCCAGTATAATTCAATTCCAAAAACACTTCAAAAGCAAGGTGGGAGTGGAATAGAAAAAAATGTTTCATGACTTTGAAAGTTTTCAAAAAAAAAATTAAAGCGTCGTTTTCAGCTTGATGTTGGTAGATAAACTAAGCTTGAGTTGAACAGTTTCAAGGTATTCATGTAAATAAATCAAAATTGGAAATTTTTTTATGATATTTATGAGCCAAAAAACCACAGTCGTCGCAAAAAGAGAGAAGAGCAAAACTAGAAAGCTTAATTAGAACAAAAAAACCAAAAGACGAGGAGAAAAAGCGTTTACTCATCTCAAGTCGCCTGTGAGCCTTCAAGCTACTTACAGTCTGTTCAGAACTCCTTGCTGAAAATTTTGAAGGAGCATAGACAAAAAATTGACTAAGTTCTCGATGTGAAGAACATATTCCTTGTTTTTACAGGTTAGGCTATGCAGACTCGGACAAGACTTCCAAATCATGATGAGAATTTCGGAACTATACAAAAGCTTCAAGAAAGCCGTAGATATACAAAATGCGAACGGTTTGGGGGAGGGAAACGCCGAGGGATGGAGGAGGAGGAGGAGATGTCGAATGCGAATAAAAAAAAAAGAGGAAGGAAGCTGGAAAAATGGTTGCGCGGAATGAAAAGCGGTGGTCGGAACCAGATGCCAAAACCATCGGGCCGCTGCTTTTCGAACTGTACCATCTTTCGCCTCCCGTTCTGCTGTATATGCGATAATATTTGCATTCATCCACAAGCTTCCAATAGTTTCAACGGTTATGAATTCCTTGAGAAAAAAGTCTCACTTAAAATCGAAAAAATCGTTCAGTCAAGCCTCGTAAGTTTGCTGCAGCCATGAAGACTTCTGATGGATAGGCGTCGTCTCTAAGTTGGAAAAAATAGCCGTGGCCATCCAATCTGAGGAGTAGTTCGGAGGAGCAGAGTTTCAAGGAGTTTTTAAACAATTTCGAAATTTCCAGAAAAAGGAACGTCGAAAACCAATCAAAAAAAAAACTATCAGAGCACACTTGTTAGATGCGATGATAAAAACGCCTAGTTTATTGTTTCGAGTTCGAAGTTTTCAAAAAAAAAAAATGAGAACTTCTGTTCAAAAAACAGGACTAAAATTTAAAATCCTTCAGAGACTAAAAAAAGTGATGAAATCACCACTATCACGTAATGGGCAATAAAATGGTTGTAAAAAAAATACCCAAGGGAATTTATGACTCGTGAAAATTTGTTCCCTTCATTTCAAACTCCATTTTTTTCGTTTTGAAAAAGTCTCATTACTACGTGGGTAAGAGTCAACTGAACTATTAAGAGGTTTTCGTCCCGAATATAATTTTTTTTTAAACAGTCATTTCACGCCTTTTTTCAGTCTTTAAAAATCAACGTTATCTCTTGAAACCTCAAGTTTAGTAAATTTTCTCCTTCTCTAAGCAGGGTCGTGGAGAACTCCCAAATCTTCGAGTCTCCAAGACGCAACTCAAAAAGACTCCAAAAAACTGATAAAAACTGAAATTTTTCGCTGATTTTCAGGCGAGAAGTGGAAAAAAAGACATAAGATAAGGGCTGAGCCAAAAGAGGTTTTGACAGATAAGACGGAAAAAAAAGTGAAGAGAAAGAGCCAAATGGGGTACAAAAAAAATGTACTGAAAATGGGCGCCAGAACGACAAAAAAACGGAGAAATTGCACTTTTTGCGACTACATCGAAACAAAAAGACAAAAAATTGGAGTCCATAGGGCTAGGAAAAAAAAAACCAAAACTGAGAACTGAGCCGTCAAAAAGCGGAACTTGAATGAGTGCTTGCGGTGGAGTTATGGATTTCTCTCTTTCAGCCTTATTTCCGATTCAAAATTAAAACAGATAAATGTGCAAAAAAAAAATCAATAGATTTCTAGTTAAAAAGCGCTAGAAAGTATTTCTTCTGCATTGGAAAAAAAAAATAGAAAAAAATTTGCGCAATTTAAATCGCTTTACGAGAGAGATCCAAAAAAGAAACTCATTTAACATAAACGTTTTCTATGTAAAAAATTTCAGTGT